TTTTTATTTTTTTTTTTTTTTTTTTTTATTTTTTATATTTTTTTTTTTTTTTTTTATTTTTTTTTTATTCCCCCCCCCCCCCCCCCCCCCCCCCACCTCTTTTATTTCTGTCTTTTTCTTAAGCTGTGCGTGCCTGGCTTGGTGAGTACTAGGTAGGTAGGTATATAGTAACTTCTGTAGGTGAAATGTATATATATGTATGTGCGTATGCATGTGTGTATGTATGTATATTATTAATATGTGAGGTGAGTGCGTGCATAGCACTGCCTTATTTCACGTGTGCTGAGTTTGTGAGTAGGAGGTAGGTATGTATGGAAGTGTAAATACTTGGACCTCTGCAGTAGCTTGGTAAGAGATACGTCACTGGCGGTGGGTTCGCCGATGTATTGCGTAAGTATATATGTATGTATGTATGTAACCTATTTACTTACCTATACTGTGTATATAGGTAGATAAATACCTACTTACTTAATCTAAATAGCTGCACTAATGTAGCCAGCCTTACCTCGTTTATTATAGGATGGGATATGTTAAAATAAAATGTAACAAAGAAGGCATGCATAGAGTAGACGTTTCCTTCCTAGGAGTTCAAAGCCTTCGTATATCCATCCGCATTTTCCTTTCTCTTACCACTTTTCATAAACAGTACCTAAGTAACAGCTAAATCGGCAAGTAACAACTAAATATTGTAAGTTAGTCACATAGCGCATCAAACGGTCGGTATTTAACTCCACATTTACCCTGCCCACTGGTATACTCTAATGTATTATGGTAAGTATCTATCTGCAGATCTATTACGTCATGTCACCTACTTATTCATCCTTATTCAAGCCCCTAGTGCAGGTTTACACGTCTTGCCCGAGCATATCCAGAAAATAAATACTTCAATTAAGTATTATAAATGAAAGCAAATATATCTACAATACCCCGAGATTAGACCATAAGGCATTCAAAAACATATGTTCATAAGGGAATTTTCATTATTAGACAAGAAAAAAAAAAAAGAGGCCGTAAAAATACATGAACTACTTAAGTTTCTGCCGCTTTACCTGCGTCTACTCGTTCCAAGCGAAAGGCCTCTCTCCCTGATCACCCCAGTGATTGAATAATTCGACGCCGTAACGTAATTAGAAACAACAGGATACTAATACCACACATTCATACTTACCGGCACCAACCTTCCAATCTCCATAGGCTGAGCAACGGCCCATTGAGCTACATACGAGGTGGCCGAACTTGCGCGCAGCGCCTAGCTAGAAGAGGCGTAAGCCTCATCCACTTGTTCCTTGTACTTATTTAGGATCGCCTTGCGATTAAGCTTCTGGGCGGCCGTTACAAGACCCTGTATCATGTTAGACGGCTGACAATTATTTCTCAAGTGGTGAGAGAAGGGTCAACATGTGACTTACGTTCTGTGGGGTCCATTCTTCATCGGATAATGCAACACCCTCGATAATTTCGATACCAGACAAACCACCAGCGCGTCCCGTATTCTGCAATTCTCTGAGCACAATGCTCTTCAACTTCTTGCTGTGAACCAACTCCTCCAAACTGCTGCCTTGAATGCCATTATCCGCCGCGAGCTTTTTCAAGCCTGGCTCAGCTGGGACAATGATGGCAATGGGCTTCGCCTTGTTCTCGTCTGCATAAACACAGATATTGCCGACCACGGTCGCGGATCGATACACAGACTCAAGCTTCTCCAGTGCGATATATTCACCGTTCAGCGTCTTGATTAGATTCTTCTTGCGATCGATAATCTTCAAATGGCCATCCTTATCCCACTCGCCGATGTCACCTGTCTTGAACCATCCATCGGATAAGTTCTCTTCAGTTTCTTTCGGGTTTTGGTAATACTCTTCTAAAACACTAGGCCCGCGGATCCAAATCTCACCCTGAGGGTTAGGCTTGTTTGTAGCGTAGTACCCGGCATCGGGAAAGTCCACAAGCTTGATCTCAATAGATCCGGGCATAGCACCAATGCTTTCTGAAGACCATTCCCAGGGATCCATCAGGGTACCCATGGCAGTAGTTTCGGTAAGACCGTAACCAATAATCATGGGTGCGATGGCCATCGAAATGAAGCGTTGCGTCTCCTTGGAAACGGGTCCGCCACCGTTCATGCAGAGTTTGAGGCGCCCTCCCGTGGCTTCCTTGATCTTCTTGAAAACAACGGAGTCAAGCAAGCCGGAGCCGGGAAGCCCCATGGACATGAGTCTACTCTTCAAGCCAAGAGCACCCCAGAACATGTTCTGAACGACAGGGCCACCAGCGTCTACCTTTGCAGTGATACCCTTCTTCACTGTCTCAAAGACTGCTGGCACACCAACAAGAACGGATGGTTTGAATTCACGGATATCACCCGCGCAGTTGCGAACGGAGTTATCGGATAGCGTCTTCGGGTTTCCGTAACCCATGGTTGCACCCCAGTAAAAGCACGCATTCTCGAACACAAGTTCTAGAATATGAGCCAAGGGAAGGTATGTTAGAAGACCATCACCTGGACCAATGTAAGGCTGAACAACTACACTGACACCGGCAACTGGGAAACAACGGTTAGTGTGGAACATTTGCACTAATAATGAGCCAACTCACCTGCAGCTACGAGGGCTTTGTGCTTCAGAGGAACACCTTTAGGTGTACCTGTCGACCCAGAGGTGTACATGATGCAACAGAGATCTTCCGGAGTAGGGGGGGTAGGCTCTGAGGGATTATCCCTGCCGAGTTTCTCAAGCTCCTTGGAGCTCATGACGGTGATGTGGCTGTAGGCACTCTTGAGGTTGTTAATGTGGTCTTGTTTCACCTGGTTTTGGCTGTTCCATATAACGTAGCGCACTTCCTTCGCCTCCTTCAGTACGTTGCCTAACGTTGGGATCAAATGAGGATCGAGGAAGACGGCCTTTGCACCTGTAGCTACCATAGAGTGCCGCAAACCCTCCTCACCTAGTGTGTCGTAGGCAGTGACAACGGACATGGACTGAGAGGCAGCAGCGTGGAACATGGTCAACCAGTTAGCACTAGTGGCAGCAAAGATATGGACTCTGTCGCCTTTGGCCATGCCCAGCTTCCTCAGACCAGAACCCACGTTGAGGCATAATTCTTCATAGTCGTTGAAGGTGATGTATTCATATGGACTCAGCTCAAAGTAGGTCCAAGCCTTGTCAACTTGCTGCTCCTTGCCGTCGACTATTTTCTTGACCTTCTTGGTCTCCTGGTGGGTACGGATGAGGCGCCGAGAGCCCATGCAGTTAGCGTTGCCATACTTCTCAACGCTGACACGCAAAAGTTCGTAAGCAGTGGAGATGTTGTCGGCGGGTTTCGTGATCAAGTCGGGGATGGCCAGAGGATGCCGTCGCGGCTTTGTCTCGCCTTTGACTTCGGGGGCGCCGGGGGATTCGACGGAGAAGGGGCCGCGCACCGATTTCTTGGGCTGCAGAGCGGCATCTTTGTGTTTAGACTCTTGCCAGTCGTGGTGTGGCATGGTGTTATTGTTATTGTTGTGGTGGTGATGGGATTAGGGCAGATTAAGGGAAGGGAATGATTATCGGAGGCGGGTGACGTAGAGAGCCTCTATGGTTATATCTTAAGATGTAGTTAGCGGAGGAGCTATCAAATGGAGCTACGGGCAGGGAATCTAGGTTAGGCAAGTAGCCAGTGGAGCAGAGCAGGGAACAGCTAGGCGAGTATAGGGGAAGAGAGAGATCAGCAAAACATACCTACGGATAACTAGAGATTTGATGCTGCTGTAGTGAGGATAACAAGCTGGTCAAAACGGCCTTAATGTCGATGATTAGAAGAGGGAGTACGTAGGGAAAAGGTAAAGTATGTAGGTAGGCAGATGGACAGGCAGACGGAAGGTGAGGTCAAGAGGGAGAGACGGATGGGATGGTTTTACAAGTCGCGGGCCATTGAGCAGACTGTTCAGCAGACCTGCCTGCCTAGGATCTAGCTAGCTACCTAGGTAGCTACCTACCTTATTTAATAGGTCGTCGTCACCAGTGTTGGGGGTTTGGTTGGCGGATTGCAGGCGCTAGGCGACGCAAGAGAGCTCCGGGAGAGGGAGATAGATGTGTGGTTAACTCTAGTGAGGCAAGAAGGTGGCCTTGGGTGGCCATCGAAGATGCTGGGCTGGGGCTGGGCGCCTCCGTCCCTTGTCCAGACCTCGTCAGTCAGTCCCAGACAAAGACCCCTGCCGGAGAACTGAGCTATCAAGAACCATATATCCCGACCCATGCGACCCATGACACCCCATGACGAAACTCTACATCTACCATATCTCGATGTACCTGTAAGTACAGCAGCTGGAGTACTGCCACATACACGTTGAGAGGTAGCCCTCTGGTGTCTCTGGTGCCTCTGTCTGCTCTGGTTTGACGATGGTTTGGCTCGATCAATTGCAGACGTGGTGGTATTGCTGCGGGGTTGGGGATAGACCCTCTTATCCTGTTTGGTGCAGAACTATACCATAAAAAGCAAGGTGTTCTCGGCATACTGGTTAAAGGTGATTACTTACCTAACAATTAAGTCCTTAGTAGGTAGCTGTCTGTGGCGTGCGTCACCATGGCCATCGGCGTCCAGTAAATGTATCACATCCACCATCACATCGGGGCTGATACTACGTTCATTACCTGCTGCTGATTTAAATGGCTGTCTGTCTAGATGATATGATGTAATACCTTACTACATGTTAACAGCTCTCGAGTGATGCGATATCCAATTTTAATGACATAAGAACTGATCGTTGCTTCATTGACGAGACTGAGTCTTGAACAGCTTAGGTAGGTACGATGTGGAGAAACAAAACAGAGAACAGACAGGCGGTATCGTGGCGCTCACCCGGAATACGCCACAAGACCCACCTACATACAGCACCGCACATTAAGCCAATCAGTTTCAGGTAGATCAATACTAAGAAACCATCCGTGTACTAGATAGCAAAAAGGGCATCACGACCTGACAAAGTGCCCAGAACTTTCAACACTCGCATGATCTCTAAGCCCTCTTAGTGTAACCAATTGAGAAACCACAGAGCTTGGCTTGTCTTGGTGTTGGAAAGCTGATGAGATTCTGCTGAGAACCGAAAAAAATAAGTTCAATAGGTGATGCCTCCGGTGTCCTATTTGATTAGACACTAGGTAGGCATATTCCTTGGCCGAGGCCCTCACCTTGAATCGAATACCCTATGGTTTCGTCCTTTGGCTTGAAATCACTATAAGCGAAAAGAGAAGAGACGCCAGAAGCAGTCAACCCCATTTATTGATTGGGGAGTATTCCTGCCAATAAGCTGTTGCGGCTAGGATTATGCCCACGGGATACTTCCACAACAACACAGACGCAATACGTGGCCTCGAGAAAGATCGCCGTCGATTCTGTGTCACATTATCGGCGCCATAAATCGCGTCATCTTATCGTTTCCGATCAATCATTACTGGGATCGCGAATTTAAGTTCTACCGGACCATTCAACCGCAATCATCCCGCTATCCTATAATTCGTCCGACATGGATCCCGGGAACCTGTTCCGCCTCCTCGGACCTGAGATTCAGGATCCAGAAGAAGGCATGTGAAAGCGCTCAGTAAGTGTAGCCAGGCATAGCTGACTATTTGCCTATCAGAAACTTTCTTGCTCTTCTCCCAGGAGATCCCCTCGCAGAATCTTGGGTTTGTGGATTCTCAAGCTACAACCATCGATCTGACCATCAGTGGAAAAGATTATATAATACACCAATCACCGACGATTCTAAATCGCCCAGGTAGCACGACGGGGGCTGTCATTGTAAGTTCTCATAGGTTGTTTGTTTTGCCTATTTTCCGAATTAATATACCTCCATTGCGCATTGGACATTTATTCTTGTAATGATTCTGCGTTTGTATATTCTAACAACTGCCTTGTGAGCGTTTCCTGTTAACTTACACTTACGGTAGTGGAAAATCACTCCGCTAGTAGCTTCATGGCTGAGCTCACCCGAGAATCTCCTTTGGAAAACGGGAGCGCTCTCGTCTTCAAGCAGCGTGCTTGAGTTGGGATGTGGAATTTCCGGCCTTGTCGGCTTGGCCGTCTCTCCTCTGGTATCCCGCTACGTGCTCACAGACCAGACATATGTAGCCAGGCTCGTGGAGAAGAATCTCGAAGAAAACATCCTTGTCCAACAGAGAGCATCATCTCAGAAACGCAAGGGAAAGCCGTCGTCTGCCGCTGCCAATCCCATAAAATTACACTTCACGCCCCTGGATTGGGAGCTAGATGAAGTAACACGCTCTCTCACGGGATCGCCTGATGTCGCCAGCTTTGACGCGGTCATCGCCTGCGATTGCATCTATAACGACACGCTCATCGAGCCTCTCGTTCAAACGTGCGCCGACGCCTGCGGTCTGCGACAGAGAGTAGACCAGGAGACTGGTGAGACAGCGCCACCATCCCTTTGTATCGTTGCACAGCAACTTCGGGATCCGGAAATATTCGAAGGTTGGATCAAGGCGTTCGCCAAACGCTTCCGCGTCTGGCGGGTGCCAGAAGAAATGCTCTCAAAGGAACTGCGTGCGAACACAGGATTCGTGGTGCATGTTGGGATCTTGAGAGTTGCAGGTGTGCCGTGAGTGTGTTCAAGTGAGATACGTGAACAAGTCAAATACACCACGAAGAAAGCCGGTGTCAGGTTCTGTTTATCGCGCTGAGGCTGCTGTTCAGATTGGCTGCCGAGCAGAAGTCATAATCGAGACTAGGTAAAAAGCACCAAACATAACAAGTCTCCTCTAGGCAAAAGTAGAAGCCCGGATCAAGACATCTCATCCAGCTCGGGGTTATCAGATGCCATGACACAACACATATACTCCGTACCGCTTCAGCGGGCCATATGAATGCACTCGAAACGTCGGACAACACAGTAGTATAAATCCAACTGGGCACGGCATATGCTCCTGAAAGCAAGGTGCCATTAAAGCAAAGCAAACAAGCAAGTCATTCAGGAAATGCACACGAGTCCAACGGACAGTCCAGAGTTCATTCCCCACGCTATTAACGCTTAGCAACTACACGCAGAAACCTGAATTCAATATAAATACACGTCATAACGAGCATAGAGTTAGAGGGAGCTACCCTTGCACTATCCACGCAATTGAATATACTTAACGTCGAGCAGAGTATAAACAATGTCATGTCATTTCATCTCAGCTCAGCTCACATTGACACCTGCGGTCTGAATAGTACTCCAGAAGACCGAATTTCCATCTCTCGATCTCGTATCCCAGTAGGTAGTAGTAAAAGTGAACGAGTAACCGAGCACAACGGAATTACATAACAGATCCCTAGACACTGCAGACACCTTAGAAACATCAGATAATCTTCTCGTCAACAAGAGAGAGCTCGTGCAACACACCCATCACCTTTAATTTAGCCAAGAATGCCGGAATGGCAGACACGCAAGTAGCTTATTCATTGCCGCACACACACACACACCACTTGAACAGCCACAAGTAGCAAAGCGTAACAGCACATTCGGGCACCAAAAGGCGTGAATAATATTTATTTCCTCAATAGGCAAACACACCTAACTCCATGTATTATCCATCCTGTCCCATCCGTGCGTATCCACCTATAAGAAGCCCCGAAACGCCATGCCAAACTGAAACCAGATCCTGAGGGTTTATGTGTGAGTTACAATAGATGAAGGAGGTTCCTTTCTATCTCGGTTATGGATAGATAGATGGATGGATAGATGTGTAGAAGGCAAGTAGGTGCGGAGAAGGTAGTAGACGAGGCGGTGCAAATAAAAGTGAGAGACTCAACACCTCTATGTTCAGTGTAGAGTCCCTCACTTTTTTCTTGCACCGCCTCGTAGGTAAGTAGGCAAAACAGCCAGTACTTAGGTAGAGCAAGCATAGTATGGTATAGTGAGTAGCACTAAAGTAGAGCAAGATTAGACTAGTTAGCCCTCACAGCGCCGAACTCGCTCTCGCCCGCAGCGCTCTCGACATCTGTCCAGCTGGAAGGCGTATGCATCCCGTCGTCGTCTTCGCTGAGCACATCGAACGATCTAGCGCCGACAGAGCGCATCTCGTCCGCTACGTCAACACCCGACCCCGCCAGCGACATAGAGTCTGTCGGCGTCAGCTCGCCGTCGCTGATGAGCTCTGCTTCAGAGGCCGGCGCAGCAGGCGACTCCGGCAGCGGCGAATAGAAGCTTGCGTCGAGCGAGGCGTGCGTCGCCCATGCCTGGATTGAGCTGTATGCGTCGTGGCTGTTGCGATCGTCCTGGCCTGCGGTCATGTACTCGTCTGCACCTAACTCTGATTCCGAAGGGGGTTGGGATCGGGACTGAGGCTGGAGTTCGGAGCGCGCGGTGGGGGTGGCGGGGGTAGTGTCTGGTTTCTTCTCAATATCCATTTCCGCGAGAGTGTTTGCAATTCCTTCCAGTTTTGGTTGCGGTGATAGGGTCCGCGAAGGCTGGTAGGCGCCGAGGTCGGTGGCGCTGTAGATATCTGATGCCACCTCGTCCTTGCCGGGCTCCATTAAGCTATTCTCAAAGGCGATGTCGTCTTCGATGCCGTGCTCATCGGCGAACGGGTCCGTGTATATCGAGTGGTTCATGCCCCGCGATCCGTCGCTGCGGTGGCGTCGTCGAATCAATCCTTCCCCATCAAGAGCGTCGTGGCCCGTCTGATATACGTATGTGCCCTTCTCGGCACTCTCATCTTGTTTTAGGAAGTCGTCGAAGCTCGTCCCAGTTGACGACCGTTGACGGTACTGTCTTTTTTCATCGTCGTGTTCCTTGGACTCCTTGGATTCGCGTATAGCGTTCCAGTACATCAGCTCCTCTCGCTGACGGCGGAGGGACTCGGCATCGGCCTCGAAGTCTGGGACACTCCCTGGTCCTAGACCGTGCGATTGTAGGAATCCCTCGGCATCTTCGGGACGGTTGAAGAGGTTCTGGCGCTCTTGAGGCGTGATGCTATCGCCGAAGGCGTGGAGCGCGATGGCAATGCGACGACGGAGATCGTTGGTGAAGCGCTGCAGCTCGGGGGATTCGTAGATGGCTACCGCGGCCGCAGCAGCGACCGAGATGGCGATGACGCCCACTGTGGCAGCAGCTCCGTTAATAGGTGGCATGATGAAGGAAGATAATGAATTGTAGTGACGGTGATGGGTATATATATATTGGCAATTATTACAACGGCGATGGGTACAACTCTCGAAGATGAACAAACGTAAGAAAGAAGTTTGAAGCTCAATCTACAGTAAAAATACAAGGTTTGCCGTATCCCATCATACAAGATAGATTATTCATGTGACACGGCAGAGCAAGCAGGTCGAACGAAGGGCAAGAAAGGATCGAGCTTGCGTGGTGCTCGAGCTCTTTTGCCACTCGAGCTGCTAGGCAGACACATTTGATTCGTAGTGGGCTGGAGGTTTGGCGTGGGGTCAAGGGGGGAGCAGTCCAGTGAGACAATCCAATTCGTCACTTACCCTTGGCAGCTAAGGGCACGGGCATATTTAGTGAGGCTTCAGCCGCGGTGCAGACTTCGCTCGATATTCTCACAATACTCCAATCCTAGCTCTGCTGTCGGAGAACGGAGAGAGGATACAAGAAGACGGCGATTCTTGGGAGGGAAGATCGGCTTGAGAGGTGTTGGAAGTAGAAAGAGTGAGTGTAGGTAACGTAGCGGTCGTAGTAGTGGTCGGAGGAGAGATTTGGGAGAGCGGAGGCGGAGGGGGTAAAGGGAAACAGAGGATTGGAGAGTTGCTGCGGCCTGATTTGCACCCTGACCGACCTTCTACGTCCAAGGCGTTCAAAACTTAACCCGCATGCACATGGCCAGAAAAAGGGACCACAGCACAAAACAACCTCAAACTTAAAAATAATAAAAAAGGGAGATGGCGAAATGTTCTGAGCAGATGGATACTATATCTTTACGGATGGTTGGGGGGTTGAGCACCTCTTTGCTACTAAGCCCGAGGCAGCCGGTCAGAAAAGGACGAGACGAGGGAAAATGACTGGGTACGTGAATGGACATTTCATGAATTGGTTCGCTCTCTCCTTTTGCTTTTAAGGATAAATACCCCTCGCAACTCTGCCTATCAGTCCTAGGTACAGACTACAGTACAGTAAGGCGGTGGCCAATTACCTGCCTACCTACCTAAACGTGGTGCTCAGCCCCTCATTCTGAAATCCTACACTCAAGGCAGACGTATAATGTACTCAAGTACCTACTCATTGGCACGAAGGGATTCGTTTCTTCTTTTATCATACCTAAATCAGTAGACGACCGAATTGTCCAACGACAGAGCGGTCAGTCTCCAAGTTCTTGGCAGCTGAAGTATCAGTGGTCTAAAAAAAAATTGTTGAGAGTTTTACGTCGAACGATGCGGAGTCGGTGTCGAGTCCGACCGTACCTAATTCTTTTGAACGTGGGATGCGGGGTGCAGCAATGGCGGGGGGATTGAGGGACCAGCTATTCACCGCGTCTCTGTTTTGTTCGCGCAACAGATGGCTATAAGTGGCAGTGTGGCATTTATATTGCCTCCTAGCAACCTGTAGGAGATGATGTTTCGAGCATCTGTATGGCCTTTTTCTAATCGTACGTCCTTGATGTAATCAACGTACTCAAGAGTTCGGGGCGCTGCAAACAAGACTCCATCACCATACCCTTCACTGTGTAGGATATTCTGTACAGTTTACAAATGCAGAAGGTCAATGGTAAGTGAACGAAGATACGATAGAATTCATTTTCATTGTTTTGTTGAATGCTTCCTTGAAGAAGCTTTTAGGTCAATTTGATCCTTAACTCATTGTGCTGTCGCTTCAATGTCGACAAAACGCCTTATTCTTCCAAATTCATCCGACTATTCGTCGTGTTAATCCTCCTAATCCAAAACGCAGGCTATACCGTCCCGGCTGGTGTGCACAAACTCCACTGTAAATGCATAGAATGGGAAAGCTTAAAGAGAGAAACAAAAGTCAACTCTGCACCGTCACACCGCCCGCTCCGCATGTCAACTGATGAGTCTAGACATTGCGATACACACTCCCTTTTCTGGGCAGAATGTTGCAGCTCAGGGAGTTCCAAGACCAATGCAGCATGCCTAGACGAGCCTCGGCGGGGCCACCGACTCGCTAGCTGCAGGCTCTGCCCATTGGCTGAGATACCCAGGGATTTGGTCGAAATTTTCTGAAGCGGCGGACTCAAGCTCGCATTCGCTTAGATGGCGCAGAGAAGACAGTTGTATGGTAGATCTAGTGAGAGCTAGAGGAGCCTGCCGACGAAGATGACGAAGTCGAGAGGCCGGAATCTGAGCGGGAGATACCCGGAACAACGTCCGTCATCGGGGCAGCAGAGGACCTGGTCTTCTCACTGTGCGTCTTTGGTTAGATCCTTTGTTATAAAACTATAGGAGCAATTGAGGACGTCTAGATACTAGCGTCTAGAAATGCCAAGAAGAAATTAGATAGCAATGAGGCAACTTACTATGCGGCTCTGTTGGAGTGAATTTGGCACTTCCATGAACCACCGCCGGTCTTGATGCTGAAGGTAAGGGGCTTGGTAGCCAGGACGTCGTTGATGTTGGATGAAGGCATTTTGTAATGGTGTGGTGTGGTGTTATTGTTGCTATTTGCGTAAGGATATGTATGTATGTGTGATGAGTTGATGAAGAAGAGATGGATCAAGAATGGCTTTGTGTAGTAGATAGTTAAGTACTAGCAGATTGTAAACGTGGAACTGGAAGGATAGGGGAAAGGGAAGAGGAGATGGGTCGAGGCAGCGCGATTTATAGGTATCCGACAAACAGCGTCGTGTATTGAAGTTGGAGGATGGGCGGACAGAGGCGGACAGAGAGGATGGCCCGAGATGGATCTTTGGAACTCCGTGGTGGTACACGGTACAACAAACAGAGACAGACCCCTAGACCCCTGGATTTACGCGCCGCCCAAGATAGTGTTTGTCGTTCCAAGTGCAGTGCCAATGTGCTAGGTCAATTAATGTCTCCTGTCGTGTCCGTGCCAGGCGAGCCCAGGAGGAATGAGGCATTTTGTTCGAAGGCTAAAAGCAGCCCCATCAGGTGGTACCAGGAGCGACTTTCGCTTCCACTTGTACATGCCTGCCTACATAATGCCATTCACACTACATAATATCTGCAATGGGTGTCGGGTGTCTATCCTAGGCGATTTGTACATAATTGTACATACATATAAGTGCTAGGCAGGCCCGGAGGTAGTAGCGACCGGAGCGGGTACAATTGTCCTTTGTGTGTGCAAGTGCGCACAGGAGGGCCGGAATTGCAAAACTCACGATGTCATTCGCTGTCGGCGCAGGGACGGGGAGTCCTCACCCTCGACGCCGAAAGTATCCACGAAGTACCTGGCACCCAGGCCGAGGTGCGTGGAACCTGGAACAGATGGATCCCTTGCGTGATCAAAGGCCCCCCCGGTTTTGGTAAACTTCGTCCAACTTGGCCCTCCTACCAGACAGACTACTACATAGTATCGTACTATGTGTAGGCTAGCGCATAGCAATGCATCATCATCGTGTGTAGTCCTGCTTAGTGGCTGACCATCCCAAATGACTTGGTCTACACTAACCTCTCGCCTGTCCGTGTCTGCCCGTGTCCACGGACTGATAGATAAGTACTTAGGCATTCGAGGCATTCTAATGTTTGACGGACTGTTTTGCCTCTCCAACCCGTTCGCTCGGTTCTCGGGCAAATTGGAATTCGCGAATGTGGCAAATTTCAGAAATTTATTTGTCCTGCTTTGTTGGTATCGCCGAACAACCAACTATCTACTATGTATCTCCACGGGACTGCATCATTTCAGTATTAGTAATGGCGTACAGAATACCCACACACTCCTCCTTTTTTTGAGAATTCACGTATTTCAAGAATGGTTGTCAATGTCTGTCTGCCTCTCCCCCACGCCCGAGACATCGTCCGTCCGTTAAGCATGGTATTGTCCAATGTCGTACTCCGTACTATAGGCCGTGTCTGGCCGTGTATCGATGGGAGACCCTGAACGCGCATGATTCAGCAAGCAGCAGACGTCAGCACAGCACATAACGGCACCAACCCTGATCACATCCGATTTGTGCAATGTAGACAGCCAGGGCTGGCTGGTTGGTTCATGTAGTAATTGCCCTCGTGACAATACATGTAGGCACTGCATGAATCGGCACACGTCTGCGACAGCCCAGAGACAGCCATCCACGGCCATCCACAGCGTGGGAGGAGGCGTCCATGAGCAGACCACTTGGAACATCTGCTCATGCTACTTGACGCCTTCTAGAAGGTTTTCATCTGCATGTCAGTCTGCTATGGAACCAGTGATTGGGCAATGCCTGAGGGAATTCTGGCTCTGATTTGCAGCGGACCGTACAGCAGATAAGCCACTAAAGGCTTGTTTTTCTGCTACTGCCCAGAACTGCCCTCCCCCCTGCCGAGGCCCTAGCACTGCCCAGACTGCCCTAAGCCTCCTAAGCCTTCTAACTGCCTCGGTGGCCTTCCGAAAACGGTGCACGACAAGGGCTTTGACTGGTCAGTTTATCGCAGCACGGAGCTCCCCAGAAAGAGACCCTGGCTTCACCGGCTACAGTATAGTACTCTGGATCGTCTGGTGCCTGGTTGCATCACTCGATCGAGTCGATATCGTGGGCGCCGTCGACAGAAACTGGAGCCTCTCCACGTCCGAGACCCTCACGTTACATTATGTGCCTACTAGTCCGCCTGCAAAGCCTGGGGGTGGAAGCTGAGGCGACGGGTTATTCGCTCACCGGGCAATATTGCCCGGGGTTATCAAGTAGCGGTATCGTAATTCCCGACAGTAGTGTGTACTATGTAGTGTGGGCGGACATGGGGCAATACTACAGGACTTCGCGAACACTTGCTCATGAGTGATGCTCGACCATAGAGCAGACATGAGACGGGAAGGTGATTGCTGAAATCAGTCTACGAATTTCTCAGTTTCACATGCTCTACGCCTTGGGCCGTTGTTTGCTATCTCCTTCATTCCCGACTTCTTTCCAATGATCTAGGCCTTGGCGAGTCAAGTACAAGCCGAAGTTGAGCCGCTCGATAATTAAGTAAAAACGAACTTCCCACATTTCCAACAGTAAACCCCGTGGAATCAGATGCTAGTCCAGCTGCTAATTACATAGTACAGAATAGTACTTATTGCGGGAACCCGTCCATTCAGCCGCATGCTTACTCCATACTCTATCCATACCTACATACAGTAGTCCTGAGTAGAGAGATGGCGTAGACGATCACGATAGCCGAGCATTGGCCTTGATCCTAATACTGGAGCAAACTAAACGTTTCTAGTTACCCAGCTCAACTGGAACGGAGTGAAGAAAGGCGTTTCCGATACTCCGTACTGTAGACGAGGATGGGATAAGAGGAGGATATTCCTGCCACGACACAATGAGATCAACGTTCCCCACACACATTCAACCTCCTTATGCTCCATTCACCACGTCCCCAGCAGGCCCAACATACTTGGTACATGCAGATGCTGTGCTCTAGGGAAAGATCTGCCCGCTGAAATCACATCATATTATTCGTCCTCTCCCTCGATAACAGATAAGGCCCACGCCGACACAAGACGGGTCGAACTTCCAAAGATATGAAATAGCATGTTCCATGCTTGTGTACCTGGTGCTAGTCAGTGCTACCGGCGATCCTCACGAGATTAGAGTGTTTCCTAAGGATGGCACACGACCCCCACTGAACTGGACACCTCATCTCAACGTGAACGGCTCCGAGTGGCTCCCTTTGGAGAGCGAAGAAACTCCTTACTTATTGCCACTTTTATGTCGGGCATATTCAAAAACGTGGGAACGACAACCACGTTACTCCTGACCACCTACAGGACATAATACATAATACACTACATATGTAGGTACCCCATCTCCGGAGATGGGATGGGAATATGCCCAACCCACAACTCCACTCAGACGTCATTCCGTGGAACCCTCAGGTTCTTCCATTTCGGCAGTGGCTCGTCTTGGCGCCCCGTCAAATCCCAATCATCCGGACCCCGTGCGGCGCTGTCTCGATGTCGTAGGCTGTCTTTGTAGTTGGCCACCAGGGGGTTCCGACGGATATTTGATTACATATCACGGCGTCTCGCGTTTTCCTCGCATTTGCCGGTGGCCCGATAAATAACCGCTACTACATATCACATAAGGGAACACTGCGGAAGCGGTGATGTGACCATCGCCAACTTTGTCTTCGACGCTTTCGACGTGTCAATCGATGTAGCAATCCGTTTTAAGTCCTTTAGGCCTCTATACCTATGCATATGGCAACCCCATCCACCCTGCTTTCCGAGTCGGTAAGCATAATGAGTCTAGGAAGTTCTCGGAAGCATAGACAAACTCAAGTCGTTCAACCTTAATGTTCTCAATACCACGGTTGCTTTGGCAAACCCGTTGTCTCAATGGTGCAATTTCCCTAACACTCGACTTCAACCAGCGGAACTGGCGGGACCGGCGGAGAAAACAGTTTTATGTTCTTGTCTTCTAGTACCATTCCCACTAATTACATTGACATACAGAGTACACGACACGCCCCATTTGCGTGCGCATTAGCCGTCGAGCGAAGAGTGACCGCTCAATTGTGAAGTTTCCCACATTCCTATCACAATATACCGAAGCTCTTCGTGTTCCATTATCGTGCACGACGCAAACGGAGCTTGCATTGGCGAGAGTAGGTTTAACGCATTGAGGAAGAAACTGCAGAAGCAATTATCCACCGCGCCAAGATCACCCAACACCCGTCCACCGCGCCCATGGCTTGGAACTCAAATCTGAGCAGTTTTTCGGCCCTAGTATCCAGGCACGAAACACCCTTTGAGTTATGTGCATTACCAGGTCGCTGTCAGGAACGACAAGATCTATGAAACGTGGTGTTTCGCGATTCGTCGTCTTTTGTCGCACAATATTCTGTAACATTTGGCCTTGTCAGAGTGCATCAAATTTGCGACTCGTCCCTGTACGCCTTGTGATGTGCTGAGAGTGATCAGATGTTCGAGCGAGTGCCCTAAACGATCACCCGGGAGCTTCCATTGTTGGACGCAAAGCAAAACTAAGTATCAAACTTTGATATACTCTAATTGATTGAGCGATATCTAGGCCACTTCCATGGTGTTCTGACCATGCATGCATACTGGTCTCGGTCTCGTACCTGAGCTAGTTAATCCTCGGCAGTACAATGCCACCGGAGCCTTAGTTATGTCGGTCGGATGGCGGTGGCTCGTTCAGGTACGATGCGACGCGATGTCATGCCATGCCATGCGATGTAGAGCCAGACACTCAAATTTCGGGCACATATGGGAGTTTGCATCTCGGTGCGCTGCAATCCCGATTGGATACAAATTTCTTGAGGTCATGTATTCCATACACCTACCTAACCCAGTCCAAATGATGTCCAAAAATTCTGGCAATGGAAGCAGTTACTGTTTCCTAGCCTGAAAAATTCTTGCGCAACAGACTGGAATCCGGACTAAGTGTTCCACGTACGAATTGGCGCACTTGCAGCACAAGCGAGGCCGATAATCATGAAACTACTCATGTCAATATCTGGTCATCTAGAACGAGGTAGGTGCCTAAGAGAAGGTCGAGAGCGAATCGATCAATAGCATACAGCAGGCGGATGTCACATTCACTCATAACATCTGACCAAAAACCCTTCTTATGCAAGCTTTAGCTTCACATGTCCTGATCTGATCGCCAAGGTCACGTTCATGGTGAATAACCCCGAGAAGTTCCCCATCTCATGAAAAACATGCAGCGAGTTCGTCCCGCAAAGACACTCACATCACAAGAGTCCATCTCATTAGTCGGTGCACTATGGGAGCACGAACTACCCGGCGTCAAAACGGCAACGCCAACATCCCTTGTACTCCATATCATAGGGTCTAGATGCGCTCTGTGACCCCATATCACGAGGATTCGGACATGCCGACGAACTACCGACTTCGTCTCCCCAACTCTGGGATTGTACTACATACATTACCAGGCTGATTTCATTGCTCGAGACCTAAAACTCGGCGTGACGCCGCTTGGAGTCGTGTTCCGGAACTACTGTACGCGAGAGATGCAAACTGCCGGTTTCGCAAACATGACTAGGCTCTTTCGCTGTACTACTCGCACGTAAGATGGGATGTTCGGGGATGTTCTGGCTATCGCAGTAGTAGATCGTGGGACCGGGGAGAACTAACTTCGCTTCTTCCTATTGCGCATTGCATTCGATTGCTCACGCTGGAGCTCCCAAGCCAGATTAGTGACCTGTTTTCCTCCGATAGCACGGCCTTTAGTGGTCCCCGGTGGAATGGGGGGTCGATTGTAGGGCTTGCTTCTAACTTCTCGGTCGGCGGAGCACTGAAACGGAAATGGACGGCTGACTTTCTGTGAGGGAAGCTGCGGGGAGACTGTCTTGTGTATATAAAGGCCTGATGGTAGAATTCCGCACCCGGCAGGATTGGGCGGCTTAGTCAGCAGTGTACTAAATGTTAGACCAAGGGATAACCTACACAACCCCGATATATCAGTGCGAAGGGGAAATCTTGCACTAATTGCACGGTTATAATAGTATTTATAATGTATCAAGGTCGTAGTGTGATATGATAGTTATTGGGGATCTGTCTTTGAGACGACCTGGCTTTATCGCTGATCGCTTCTTTGAGGGAGAGAATACCAAACTCTAATGCTCATCCAAAAAAACTCTGAAAAGCATAGTAATTTTATTAAGAAAGCCACGGTAGGCTCAATGTAATTCCAATATGCATCTTACCCCAAGACTATACTGGTCTTCTGCATTTCGTTAGTCCGCGTTCACCATGCGTTATAATGATCTACTACTCCCTGAACAAGGGCACAATCTGACTATTCAAGGGTCACAGGAATAAACGATCTCTACATCCGGATACTTAGATGAAAGAACTTGTGAATTAAAGAGTAGTTGGGCACACGGGGCATACTTGTGGTCGTTGCCGGATTCTAGCTATCCTCGGTTCGGGGAGCAGAGCTTACATCTTATGAATAGGAGGTGTAATTCACTACATATGGGGTCTGTATATAGTTAAAATCCACGGGATAATCTAGCACATACGACCATAAGATCTGGAGAACGCGGGGTCCCGTCCGCTCCCCCTTAGCTAAGCCAGATACTGCCGGACTAGTAGTTGGGTCGGTGACGACCAGCGAATCCCTGGTGTTGTATGTTTTGACATTTTTACTTTCCTTAGTTTCTTTTTGCTCTTTTTTCTATCTCGCTTTCTTTTTCTTTCATGGCAGTACAGTTCATTATTATTATTTTATTCGGTCTTGTTACTCTTATTTGCAGCAGTTTACGGTTAGTGTTATCTGAACTTGAGCCTTGTTTAGTTGTTCCCATTTACCTGGGCTAAGCAACATTAAATGGATTTTTTGTCCAACATCTCCCGATCTAAGATAAGTGACAGCTAAGAATATAAAATGGTACTTCTGATCATAGGGTCGTTACATTACTCACAATCTGTGAGGTGGGTGACAGCGTAGAGGTAGAGGGCATTCAACTGCTTATCGTTGGCTACGATTAATTAATATCTAGTGATAAGTTCTCTATAACATAGATCAGGTGGTTTCATGTCGAGTTTTACAAGAGGTTTTAGCTGATGTTTTATATTAACTACAACCTTTATCATGAATAAACTAACAGATCATTGTGATTCGGTATATTGAACCCGTAATTACTGTATTGCCTTCATCAAGATATATAACCCTTTCTATTTTCCAATGTATTTGCTGGTGTATGTGACTAAGGAATTACTGCATGTAAGTATACGGTAAAGATCAAAGGTCTTGTTTATAGAGAGGTCTTCGCACCTCACTCGTGAAGTAGATCATTGAATTGTGACGCTCGTATCACTACAGTGTCGACAGTGCACTCGTCAAACCAGAACTCGGGATTGTTTATTCGTTGAGAAGGGAGAGGAATAGCTAGGTTAAAGCCGTGCTGACATCTTATATCAAGCCGAACTAATGTGAAATCATAAAAGACAGTGGTCACCTGCGTTGATTATAATCAAAATGGTAATAGGACGGGATCCTGCCTTAGTATCCCGATAGGCCTGAACCTCAGCCAGGGGTTCATGCTGTTGACAGGATTGATTCATCATAGGCCTTGGTCTGCTAGAATAGTATACCCTTGACATTGTTGAAGGGCCACATAGTGTGCACAGGATTTGGAAGAGCCGACATTATTGACGCGGGAGAGAAATGGAGAGCTCTGCCAGTTGACCTGAGCTGGACTTTATACCTATGGCTGAGGCAATCTCCCCTCCGCCGAATCATTACTGCCCCAGTCGATTATAGCCTTTCACCCTGCAAGCGGAAAAAGCAACGCGGGCGTGGCGAGAACTATAATATGTCGCAAACACAGAGCAGATGATGAAAAAAAAAAAAAAAGGTAAGAAAAATGTAAGAAAAAGTAACATTCTTCGGGTTTGTTTGCGGCCAAGACGATAATACCAATCAATCGTAGGCCGTTGTATGTTTGATTGGAAAACTCGCAGTGTACTTGAGTAGGGAGAATGTCAGCTACGATTAGTGGCTGAGATATGGGGTGGCCTGGAGGTGTCGACAGTGGGCACAGCCTCTGAAAGCCGGGGTCATCAAGACGCTAATTGTCTACGTGCCTCCATTCCAGTTGCACCCTCCCCTCCGCCCTTTGTCAGAATCTGTAACCAAACTGTGCCCGCTTATGCATTTGTCGGCATGGAGTCATGTTGGATCTTGGAGTCATCGCATAGCACAAACATCAGTCATATGAGCTATCCGGACGCACTAGCTTCCATGTCTGGGCCACTCAGAGCTAGCTGAACTTGGCTCGTCCAGAGGGATGCCATTTATAACAACACAACAACAGGCAACTTGCTGACCAAGATATCTCATCCATCTAGGTTAAGAACTTACAAACAACACCTCTTCATCTTACAGCTCATTCAGGACCGACTTCAAGGAAAGTGAGTAAGTGAAACCAACTTGATGTAAGAGAAGGTTGAGAAGGATTAACATACGCCTTTAGGTCAGCGACGAGATGGGAGGCCTTGCCTTTTCATCAGGTCCCAATGCACTCTCGACGCCGCGCATGAGACCTGAAGTCTACCGAGCTGTGCGCGACCGTTGTCAAGCAAAGTTGCGGGAGCTGTTCCTGGCGGTTGCGACCCCCATCGAGGGACCTGCTAAGGATACGTTTGGGGATAGTAAGTCGATAGGAATACCTTTAAAAGCACATTATTATTATTTTTATCAGATTTCATAATCACTTATTCTACGCCTTTGTTTTGGGGTCGTGTGTACCCCTCAAGGCAGCTGTTCTGTTAATAGATCGCACTTAGAGTGATTATGCACTGACTCTTGATGCTGCAGTTGATATGATCGTTGCATATGATAAGTATAGAATCTCCCCAGTCTCAGAGCCTGATACTTCCACTGCATCCGTCGAAGCGCAGAAAGAGGCAGTATCCAGAGCTCTGGGTGCGATCCGATGCAAGACCGAAAACCCAAACACGATGAGCATGGCGATCCCATGGCCCAAGGACTTCCCATGTGAGGAAACAGTGCCTGAGAGCAATGGGCCGGTGTGTATCCAGGTAGACACCCACTTTTGCAAGTCGCTCGACAATTTCTACTGGATGCTATTCAGGCATGCGCACGGCGTGATTTGGAACATAATAGGGTCCACGATCCGACCATTAGGACTCACGGTCGATGAAGTAGGCTTTCACATCCGAATACCCGAGCTTGAAGAAATCAATAAGAAGAAGGCCAAGGTCTTGCTCACTACCAACTCCGAAGAGGCACTAAATTTTCTTGGCCTCAAGTTCGACGACAAGCAGTGGGAGGAGCCGTTCGCTTCCGACCAGGATTTATATGAATATGTAGCCACATGCCGCCTATTCTGGGTCAAGCGGAAAGCTGCACGCGCGAGCTCTGACGATAAAAATGTTGTCGATCTCGACAATCTCGAAATCAAAGAAGATGACGAAGTAGCGGATGATAAACGCATGCTCAAGGCCAACGATCGACGACGAATGGCTCAGCGCCCCCTCTTCAAGAAGTGGATTGAAGAATTCCTCCCAGCATGTCGCGTATCAGGACGCTATCCCTCGACCTGCCCCACGCGCGACGAAGTCCGCGAGCAAGTATTTGGATTCTTTCCCGGCGTGCGCTCAATCTACTACACCACTCTCGCGAATTGGCTCGTTGAGCGACAACGGCAGACGCTCTGGAAGGCCGTGATCAAGCCCGCAATTCCCGAGGATATCGAAGTTAACAGGAGAGGCTGCTGCGCCGCAGCGCTGAAGAAGATTATACTGAACGACGACACCAGATTTGACGGCATAGCGGCACCTTCGAACCTGAAGGACTCTAATGGCATCTTCGACGAGGCGCTTGTCCGCGCTTGGGTTGAGAAGATCTGGCCGGTGGTTTCTGACATTGCCTGGAGGATTAATCAGGAGCGCAGCATGGCTAGTCAATTACACAAGGAGGCCGCAAAGCGCACTGGTTCCGGCGAGGAGAGACCCGCTAAAAGCGTCAAACTCGCCGAGGATCATGTGATGAATTCAGAGCAGAGAACGGAGGAGCGGATAGAGCAAGATGGGGCGGCGGCGGCTCATTAGACGCTTCAGCTTGAGATCGACTGTTCGCACCACACGTGCCTCCTATGTACTAGTCGGTCTCTCGTCCCGGACTGGGCGTCCTCGTAGGCCAGTTTCATGACTTACGACACTAATCATGGCTTTTAGCCGTTAGCCATTATGGCTGTATGATGACCGATAACTTGACTTCTCTATGCTAGCGGCACTTATCCTGGGACGGCGCATGATGCTGAGTTTTAGTTGGATTGGAAGTGCGTGGCGTTTCTGGAGTTAAACGGCGCGCGGGAGTCGCACTCTAGGATAAGACGCGATCATATCTACATAGCTAGATAGCTTTCAGAGGACATTGTTAATTAGTCTCGCCTTAATACAAACGCGGCTTCATGATTTTCTTCCATTTCCTTCTTTCTTTACCCTGGAGTTTGGATTACCGCATGTCCTCGGGGATTGGTCATTCATGCTACGACTTTGTAGTCCTCGGCATTTATAAAGCAGTCAAGATCACAAATTGTACAGACGACGGTAAGGTACGACAGAGGAGTTAAGAGCATGATTTATGCGGTTTAGTATCGGATCCTTAATACATCACTCGCTATACCATACAAACCCTCAGCATTCCATACTATACTCAGTAATGCCCGATTCCTCATAAGACAAGGCTTCAGCGTCAGTGAAGACTACAACTTGAAATCTGCATTAGTCTTCTCCCAACCACCACCACCTCCTCCCCCAGCCGCAGGCGCCTCCAGAGTCGCGACACGACTGGCAAGGCGCATCTTCAGATTCTTCGCGCGATCGCTGCAGAGCTCGTACATGGTCGTCAGATTGAAGAGCAGCGTGTGCGACGTTTGTCCGGCGTCTACGAGCTCTTCTAGGAGATCTCGGCCCTGTACTACATATTAATCATGATTTTTTTTCTTTCTATCTTTCTATCCTTTCTTCTTTCTTCTTCCATTTAGATCTCGTGGAGAGAGAAGGGGACGGGGGTAAAAGTAGAGTAAGTAATAGGGGAGAAAGGAATAACTGAAAACATGACATACCTCAGACATCCGCCCAGTATACAACAAGCACACGGCAAGATTAACCCCGACCATCTCATCTTCAACCCCATTCTCGCTCATCTCATCGCGCAGGGCGCGCCACTTGTCTATGGCAACGGCGTACTCGCCATCCGCCATATCAGCCAGGGCATCGACGACGCGCTCGCTCGTCTCGGCGCCGACACCGTTGCCCATGCACCGCCGTGCAGCATCGACGTCGCCCAGATGCAGCCACAGAAGCGCCCGACTGACAGCGAGCCGGGTCCTGTCGGCCTGCGTGCCGCCGCCACTAGCCTCGGGGAGAGAAGCGAGATGTGCCACGGCGCCAGCCAGATCGTCCATCTCAATCAGCGCGCCGGCAACGCGGATGCCGAGATCAACGAGCCGTCGCTTCCAGGTCTCGGCGGCCGAGTGGTCGTGCACGCGGCCCGCGCTCGATATCTCGGCGCGCGCTTCGCGGGCTAGCTCGTAGTAGCTCATGACGGCGCGTCTAGGGTCGCCAAAGCCGACTGACGAAAATCATCAGCTCACTCCTCACGTGGAGAAATCGGATCACGAATTGTGCAGAAAAAAAAATAAAAAATACAAACCAAGCGAGAAGCTTTAATTCGAGAAACGGCAGGGGAAGAAGAGAACGTGACTCGACCTACTAGTCTGCAGCCGCACGACGAGGATGCGCAGCGCCCACGGCGCGAGATGCGTGCCGGTGTCCGGATCCGCGTAGAAGGCCGAGTTGAGATCTTCCAGGGCCTTAGCCTCCTGGGCCGCGAGCGGGACGGCGTCGACGAGACACAGACATGACAGACGGACGTACAGGAGCTCGAAGATGCGCGCGTGATCGATGGGAGCGGCCGATGAACTGGTGCTAGAACTGGTGCTCGTGAGCTCCTGGGCGGCGGCGATGGCGGCGGCGCGGAAGTGTCCGTTGGCTAGCAGCGTGGGGATCGGGGTGTCGGCTGCGGGCTGTCTGGCTGGATCCCGGAAGGGCGGCGGGATATGGAGTGGCGAGAGCTGGTGGTATATCTCTGGCTTCAAGAGGAATGAGAAGTCCCGTCTTTGAACGGGTGCTGTGGTCCGTATTGGGGACCGCGTCTGCGAGAGACTTGTCCGTGGGCTTGCGTTCTGACTCGTGCTCTCACCGAGGCGCTTAGCAACAGTGGTGGTGGGTGAGGCGAGGGGGTTCCTTCTCATCTTGATTAGTTCTCTGCACGTTTGTCCCGAGGATCCGAGAGCGTACTCATCTACGTCTAGCGGCCCCTTTGTCGATGACCTTGGTCGGGAAGCTAGAGTGTGGAAGAGGTTAGCGAGCGGCATGTTGGATTCATGGTACGTTGTTTGCGATCGCTACAGGGTCTTTGTGAGGATTGGTGATACATGTTTACAAAATGCTCAGGCCCAATCTACTGTAGACGAGAGGCAAGTAAAATGAATAAGGAAATCATGAGTGTAAAGGTGGGAATAAGAAAGCACGACTTCGACATGGTATAGAACGATGCCTTCCATATTGTCTCAACTCAAGTAGTACTGCAGGAATGATGCCTAGTGCACGACGCCGCGAAGACAGTGAGACAGTCGGGCACTATCCACGGTTTTCAGCAACATGCGCTTACCTTTCGCGGCTGACTGATTTCTTGTATGACCCCTGAAAGGCAGACTGCCCTTTGATTGATCCATTTTTTCAATTATAAAACGCTTCGCGATCGAAGTAGACGACGAGGTACATACAGCTACAGAGAGCAGACAAATGAATGGGACGGGGAGGGATGACGTTTGCTGATTGGTGCCAAGTAAACGTTGAACGGTAAAAGCTCGGTAAACCTGCACCCTCTCTTAACTTCATCCCAGCCAGCCTCTACCTACACCACCTCTTTTGCACTCTCTGTCGTTTGTTCATACATCTCCATCGCTTCATGTTTCGTCGAACGGCGTTTGCATTATGATATTTCTAGAAACAATCGTTCGTTTCTATGAGATCGAATATTCGCACCAAACCCAGCCTTCAATCAACACTAATTCCACCAACTCGTTTGACAAATTGCCAGGTTCTTCTTCTGCCATTGCCTAAGTCGGCCATCACGCATCATATCCCGCCTTCCTAGACATGTATCCCTTGATCTCGCATATGTGATATAGTAACGTAAACCCTGACTTCTCCCGCGCCACTTCTATGTTTGAGTGACAGGCACTTATTCTTGATTGCCCAATAACTTTTGTTAGCGGGGACGCCGCCCGAAAAGTTCTGTTTCATCTTTCGGTCTGAAGTGGATTGAGGACATCTGGCGGTCTTCTCGACGTCATCGAGCATTACGGCCGTCGCATTAGCTCTCGGAGAAGAAGTGGCATTGGTGAACATCCTTGCGCCGTACTTTTGATCCCAAAAGTCCAATACTCGGTTATTGGCAGCCTGGATAGTAGAGTAAGTACTAATAATCTCGACGGTCGGGTGGCTGCCTGTCAAGCTGTTGATATGGACTACTCCAAAAACGGAGTTTTCGCTCCAGCTAGGAGGCAGATCATCAGAGCCTCGCTTTAAGGCGCGAATGAGCTTGAGCGGATAAATCTCATCTTCAAGTTGATACTGGCGCTTGTGATCTCTGTCCAGATTTCGAGCGAGCATAGCACAGTCATCAGTCCGAAATGAAGTGTAACCAGGAGCCGCTGGGGGATCTGTTTCAGGCAGTAGTTCATAGCTCTTGGCCATCGAGGTGGGGCAAGTAGATAATACTGGGAGTCCATCGGATGGGTTGGAGAAGCTACCGGGGTAGAAGGATGCCATCGGCGTACGGCCAAAGAAAGAAGTGCTATGAAAGGGTGAGGGATTAGGTGTGAACTGGTAGTCCGATGGTGAGGAACAGAATATATATCGATCGCGAGGATCCTCTACGTCTTCCCAAGGCCATCTGGCAATGGGGTATTGCGGATTCACTAATTCAAGTTAGAGCTGTCCACTTCGAGTCGTTGCCATTGATGCCATTGACTAACTAGCAGCTTCTTAGCTCTCACCACTGCCCCCAAATGGCGGTTTTATGCGGCAAGTCGCTCAAGAGTTCCGGCTGATTTGAATTGCAATTGGCGTCGAAGCTGATCGCGTTCTCGAGCCCTGTGTTTGTGTGTGTGGCGGCAACGGGCTGCACAGTACTGGTCAACAACAATGCATCTTGCGAGCTAAGAGAAGAGAAGAGAAGCTTACATTTAAAGACGGGATAGTGTAGCTTGAGAATGCTGGGCCAGCTCTAGCGGTATAAGAATAGCCCTGCCCGGCAAGACACAAGTCGAAGGATGCGTAACGAAGATGGTGGCAACTCGTAAACAGTTGGGAACAAGACTTGATTGCCCATACCTACGGTCAGGCGGGCAGGTGGGCAGGTGGGCCTAGCAATGGATTCAAGTGGTAAAAAGGAAGGAGGGAAGGTACCCCATACAAGTCGGTAGTATGCACCTTCCCACTTCACTTCATAGGTGTGGTAGGTACTTCCCAGCTAGAGCAGCTTCCACATGTTTCCTTTCCATTGGGAGAGGAGATTTTGAGGCAACATCGGTGCATCATACACGGACCCTTGGAAGTATTGACTACTCCGTCTCATGCCGTCTTTTCTTTTCTTCTAGGGAGTTGCCCATGTACTTATTCGGGTCGGTACGTGAGGTGGGTAAGTTGCCATTTGTACCCGGTCCCTGGACACCCTGGGCGTTTGCACATGTACCTCCCGAGCAACCAATGCTCTTTTGTGTCTCCAGTCTTTGGACAACGTCATCTAGAGGACAAACGAACTTCGCTGTGACCTATGCTGTGCCTATGACCAACTGGCTAATATGGTAGAAGGATGATGTGAATGGAGATTGCAAGGCAGCCATCTGAAGTTATATGATAAATCGACCTAGAGGAAATTTGAATCGTGTTTTAGACCGCAAACATGTCCTTCTACTTACACTTCTCGAAGTTTTCTAAAAGTTAGTTGGTTTACACGCATCGTGTAATTACTGGGAATCTGTAGATCAAGCAGGTAATGCCTCCATGAACTCATGCTTTATACACAGTATAGAAAACCTAGAGATCATAATGCTGATATGAGGGAATAAGCCTTACAGATAGCAATGCTATGAAACCACCGCTCCATTCCTTAGAATACATCCGCTTACTCTACCCAATGCTGTAGATCGCTGAGCAAGGCAAGGAAAAGCACTGAAACCACGCTTCCAATATTGCTATTGCGCCCCGAAACCATTCAAGGACCTGCTGCCATCCGTTCCTGGATTGCGTATGGGCGAAGGGTACGAATTGGTTCTTTCATTCCTGCCTTTGAGGCTAGTCCCTTACTAGATTAAGAAGTATAAGCATTTAACCTTAGCGAAGCTTGAGGGAAGATAGAGGTAGACGTACAAATCCTTATTTGGAGACATGGCGATGAGATGGAACAGACAAAGGAGTCGAGCCAGGTAGACCATTCGACCGGGGACTAGGTAAGGGCTTCTGAGGGGCATTTTGAATTACTATATCGGCGCGGAAAGCGCACGAACCGGATCTACCGAAATTTGTGCGTATACTAATTCCACCGTGAGACAAGAAGGTATACTTGTAGCAAAATACCACCTTCGCATGCGCTAGTAACCTCCAAATATGCTCGGTTCGTATCAATACACACTCGTTCGCATGATTGAGGTTGTTTGCCCGGTTCGTCTCCGTATATTCGGTGGAGAGCTCCGCAGGGAGTGTCAGGGTGTGGTTCTCGCGCTTCATATTTCCTACTCTGACCTCCTTATAGAGAACGTAGAAATATGTCCCGCCGGGTTGTAGGCGCGGCCTCTTAGGACGCGTTGCCTGCCAGTAGAGCCAGTTGAGAATCTCGGCTGGGTAGACCTCCTAGAATTTGTCCGGAGAGATTTCAGGCTTCTCCGTTGGATAGCGATTTGCCACGTTCTTGACATAGTCGTCTGCAAAGTAATAGATACCCATGGTTAGAGATGCAGCAACAGTTTTGAGGGGGAAAATGGTTCCTATTGTTGATGATAGGTGAGTGAACCTGTTGATATCTTGCAAGTTATGACTCACCAGGATGAGAGTCCGGGCGCTGATTCTCGTAACGTGTTGTCAGGAGCGTCTGTCGCATGGTAGGAAGGAAGGTATATTCAGAATAAAATGTAGAAAGGAAAGATCCTTCTCAAATAGAGTAGGTGCCCTTTAGCTATGGGCCACCATACTGTCCTGGGTTCCAGCGCCCTGGGCTCTGACAAGCAAGGAGGCATTAGGTAGTCGACACATACATTGATACAGAACGTTCACTGATTAAGGTCTGTACAAACCACCCGTTTGAAGGACTAGTATCAAGCTTTTGGATGTAATACTGGTTAGGATAGGACGGCAATTCAGAAACAGGAAGGGTTAATTGGTATGTGTAAGTAACCCATAGTAATTACAAGAAGTTTTCAAGAGAAGGCATCGGCTGCAGATTGGTATCCGCCAAGAATATTTTTGCTGAGTCAAAAGATCCTCATTCAATAGAGTACATATATAATACAATACAACATCGCACTATAAAAGAAGTATCGGTAGGTGGAAGAGATATCGGATGGAAATGCGTATTTAGTCTCATACGTTAAATCAACAGTCTCTGCTCTAACTAAGAAGCGAGCACTAAAATGACATCTAGATTTATATCAGGTATTATCTGTAACCCCTAAAAGCGATTACTAATGCGATTTGACAGCTGTCTCTCGGGCCTTTTGACAAAACCTTGGCATCCGGCCAGAACGCCACGCAATACAATCGATCAATTCAGATCGATTATTGCTGGAATATATCAAACTCTACGAAAGGATCAGACCGCCATTCGAGATCGAGAGCATATGTAACTCTAATTCTGTTATCATGGGCTGCTAAGAGCTGGGCAGTCTCTCTTCAGACATGGTCAGCGTTTCTTTAGTAATTGAGAGAACAAGGGAAAAGGAGTATATCTCAAAATCTGGGGCCTTACGTGTCGTCAAGGTGCGCGATAACCATATACCCTCCGTACACAGGGTGGTCTTCTGGTCGCGGTGATACTCGATTGCGGATAGCGGTTGGAACCTCAGAGAGTTCCAGGACAATAATGAAGATTTCCTTGAGTCGTTTGAACTTCCGTAGCAACTGAAGGTCGAAATCTGTGAAAGTGGGGAGTGAAGGGTGCCAGACTACCTGGATTCCAAAAGCCAGTCGACGAGCGGAGAAGATTCCCAGCTGAGTTTCACCTTTCGGTGCTTCAACGTGATCCTTCATGAGCTGCGCAGGGAGACCGAACCAGTTTGCGATCTGCTCTCCATACGATTCTTCCATGTAGTAATAGTGACAGCAAGCTTTGGCAAAAGAGAAAATATCATTTTCGTAATTAACGGCGACATATAATGGCTCTTCGTTTCTCGATCCAGGGTAACCAACTCGATGAGGATGTTCGGAGAAAACGGCTTTAGGCATGGCCAAAGCTCCACTGTTAAAATTGTGAGTTCATTAACATTATTGGGCCCATAACAGTGATTCTCACGGCTCAGGGAGGACTTTGACAATGGAGAACAAGATAAAAGCGGTATGATCAAGTTGGATCAAGAGGTGTAGAAGTAATTGAAAGCAACATACTGAACTGATGAAAATCCGTCCTCCTTCATAAGAAACTTTGTCTCTATATTGGCCAGAACCTTGGGATAATAGCGCATGTAGTGGTAGGTTGTAGAACCATCATCTCGATTTTTATGCTTGTGGAGATCGTGGCGAACGTCAGGCAATGAGGCGCTGTAGAACTTCCAGATCATATCCTGAAGTTCCAGTGGAAGCTTGGGATATAAATGAAATTCATTTAGTGGTCGCTGAACTTCCATATTGAGCAAGCTAGTAATTACCTCTATCAAGGCTGCAAGATCTAAAGTGGGCTGAAACTAGTAGACTCCTGGTTGTGATTAGCTATTATATCATGAGGGGACTGTCAATAATAGGCCAGGGCTCACGACCTAGTGCCCTGCTTGTGCTTGTCAAAGCAAGTGCTCTGAATATATTAGAAATGAAGAGTATTGATTGCTGGTGATGATAAAATTGAACTCATGAAAGGGGCGATGCGGGGAATTGGGCCATATAAAATCCGACCGTGTCTGAATTGAGTCTGATATACTTACTTTCAACAAAATCAAGTTTCGTAGTTTTTACTGTGGGTAATGCAAAGCTAGAATATTGATTGCTGGTACAGCACTTGAGACTATGGCAGAGAGGGATATGTAAAGATCTTGGTAGCAGAGGAGCAGAAAGAAGTGATGATATTATAGGAAAGAAAGACGACAACAAATATCTGATGAGAGATTACCCCAGCAAACAATTTTGGGTAGACTTGAATGTATATTCACCATCTGAATAAGTGAGGAATGGGCACAATGAATGTACACTCAGGCCATTCACTACCAGTTAGGAGGCACGTGCACTTAGCGCCCCTTCACTAAGACTTGTATTACAAAATGAGATGTGTACAACATCCAAGGCGCTCCATTGTCACAATGGTTACTACAGATACCATTCATGAACTTAAGAATTAGTACATGGTACGTTGTATGCAATTCATTTGAAAATCTAGATGATAACCAGGATTTGTGTGAGATATACCTGGCAACATGGATCTCTAGACTATCTGTCAGAAAAGGGGTTTGTAGATTCATCATCAGAGGGTAACTGAATGCAAGTGTTAAGAAGAACAGTCATGTTACGATTCATTGTTGCAAATCTTGTTTATGTAATGAATGGAAGTTTTATTGTTAAAGGAATGACTATCGAGAACTTTCGACAAAGTATAATGAAGGTAATCCAGGTTATACATGTAACCGGGGGCTTTGCAGCGTTGCAATTTGAAAATATACGTATCACTGAATTTCTGATACAGCCTTAAAAACCACAAGAAACACACCTTTACTCATTTTTTGAGCTGATACCAAGCTTACAACATATTCTTTCGTCAGGCTTGCAGAGCTCAATATGAGATAGGAATGAAATCATTCCTGATGATCGGAGGTAGTAACATCAACGCCATCAACATCACCACCGTCAAGACCACCGTTGAGGCCGGCATCAAACTCTGCGCAGCAACTTTAGTTACAAACACACTTGACGAGATCCTTGTGCTGACGAAATGATGGACCTTTGCTTACCTGGCTTGGGTGCAGCGAACTCTTTCGCAATCTCAATCGCTAGAGTTTCGCGGTCAGGGCACCCACCACGACAGCAAAACTTCTTGTATCCGGTCCAACAGCAAGCTCCGTCACCGCAACCACTGGTGGCACAGTCTTCGTAGCCCGTAGGACAGCTTCCCGCGCAGAACGGGGATGTGCCGTCCCAGTAACATGTTGCATCTGGTGCTCGTGTAGAATTCCCAACGAGTTGGGTATCTGGCAGACTAAATGTCAGCATAAAAATCATGGTAAAGATGAATCTATGACTGCAGCGTACCAATGGCTGATGCACAAGCCAGTGCTGAAAGAGCAAGCGCAGTCAGAAATTTAGGACCCATATTTACGGTGGAAAAGATGGGAGATGAATCAAGGTGGTTTGATGTGTTGAATAAGTGATCGACTGTTGGTTGAGATTCTTGGAAGGTGAAGCGTTGTCCAGAATCCGAACGGTATCAGGATCCTCGGTATTTATGTTGCAAACCTGCTCACACTGAAGGGCAAGTATTGAATTGTCTGCGCCCCACAATGCTTTAAGGGGCATGCAGTTAACTGGTCTTACCTCGTGATGCTATACTTCGCTATCGTTTGCCACACGCCTAGGGCATCGGGTTTTGGAAGAAGTAATAATTGTATATGAAATCATGCAAAATGGCATTTTATCTATTCGGGTAGCCGTCTCTGTTTTCGTGTTCGTTTTCGTCTTTGTTTTGAGGATCAATTCTATTTGGTTCAATCGGGAATTAGAAGACGGGAACGGGCGAGCAGATGTCCCTTTAGGGGGCTTTCCAGGCTCCGTTCCCGCCCTCATGGGATCTTCGTTGTCGTCATAGTTGTTCCCGACGTTGTCATCAGTTATCGTATTTAACATCAGAGGCGTTTGTCACGCCACAATAGGCTGCGGAACCTCCATTTGGGTATGCTGGCGTGCTGAGCCAGGTACCACAGCTCATACATCCAAATTAATTGGTATTCCAACCTATCCAGGAAGTTTGGTCTGTAGACGGCGGATGTTTGAAGCCCGTCAATTCCTTGATCCTGCTTCCCGTTCTTCCCGTTCAACGTGTTACCTACTTGGCTAATTATTGGAAGAGTATGATGCTCATCATATAGGTATGCAAAAGTTGTGCCACCCTAATTGCAGCTCTTTAGCAGCCGAACAGAAGAAATATGCTCAAAGATCTGTTAAATCTGAGTCTCGATGTTTGCATGTTATTTATCGCGGAGTTCTGACGCACTGATAGGAGGTGAACCAGTGCACTCTTCACGGCTGGCTACTGCATCCTCATGGACGGGAAGGGAAGCCTCATGAGGTAGCACATTTTCGTCTGTTGAGCTTAGTAATTCAGATGTCTCTGCATTGTCGCTGGCGCAGGAGAGCACTCAACGTAACGTCAAACGTTTGTCCCGAATAATTACGTAAAGTCCCACTTTGGAGGCGGGAATGGATAGACGGCTATTTTATTAAGGCCCCCCTTCTCAAGGCTGGGAGGATCGTATGTTTGGAAACGTATATAGTATTACTCATGTACACAGGATATGGGACTTAGTATTAATTATTCTATCTACTGCTACTAAAACCTTCAATGTCTATTTTATGACTCTCCTCACATGCACCTAACGGTATGGCACAGGACGAGGCTCTGACAGCCACCATCTACGGCTGGCGGCAGGGAATGCTAGGCATAGATCAAGGATCTCTGAAACAGAGTCTTCCGAGCGCAGCTCATCGTGCCTGTGCGGGACGCCTAGTAGTTCGCGCGGGTATTAACATAGACTATATAACGATGTAGTAGTGCTGGTGATGTAAGGTGTTGAAGCTAGGCCAGGGGTATGCACAAAAGTCACCGGCGAGACTACGTAGCACACACCGAAGTTATACATGCGCCTATGTAATTTGACCTACACCAGTTGTCCTTCAAAATCTATGGTCAATACTACAATATTAGGCGGCTACTTGCATACACATATCTCGACCTGACATTTGGCAAGAATTTGATGATATCGGATAGCTGCTCGAAACTACCCCGCCCGCTATGCCCTCCAAAGATCCAGACATAGTGTCAGATCCGCCGCGAGTCACCAGGTTCTATCAAAAACTCTTTTCTAGCGAAGATCTGTAACTATTCACAACACACGCTCCACGCTACAAATGAAGATTAATCGGTGGCCTATAACCATGGGCTCTTACCCGCCCATTCACCATCCATCGAACGATCGGCGTTGACTAATATGGTCCTCCACCGGATCGCTCCCAAGGGCGGTTCCGGCGCGTCCGGTGCATCCAGGCGCCATCGGAAAACGCACCTTTGTAACCTTAGAAGGTAATCTTTTTGTATGAAGAGTGCATAAAAGACATCCCAAACACCGAAGTTTGTGCGGGAAGCGCGGCGGGCGTTTGCATGAGCACCAAGAGTTGGGCCATTGACTTTTCTGGCGTTCATGTTCATTCTCAAAATACACGTCATGTTGCAGGGCATCAACGATTGACCAATCTCGATTTGTCTCTTGGCTCCCTAGACAAGGTTGGCTTGTGCCTAATAGGAGCGCCCGCAATAAGCAGGGTTCACCAGTTCACGCGCTCCGTAGTCCCTCACGCTCCTCTGCTATTTTATCCAAGTCCATTGTCATACGGTGGAAAGCCGAGCGAGCTCTGATCTTGGGTCCGTAGTGGTAGAACACATACGGCATTGGCGTCATCGCAAGTGCCACGAATCCCAAGACTGAAGTCCCCCAAGCCGTCCCAAGATTCTCGTACATCTGCCGGGAGAACAGCGGAAATACTGCACCAAACAAGGACCGTAGAATTGCATTAGCAGCCAATGCACTTGCGGCGTAGCGTCCGTAGCAGTCAATAAGATATGAGGTGATGCCTAAGAACAGCGTCACGAAGCCAATCCCGAAGGGTACGCCCGCCACGACGCAGCTCGCCCAGTGAATTGATGCGGATGAAGTCCAAGCAAACCAGAAAAGTCCAATAGGGATCAGCCAAGCCAAGATGACGAGATGGGGAAGCCGAGCTTCAGGGGTATGGCTCCCCAGCTTCCGTACGTAGTAGCTATATATACGGTTGATATACGGCGAAGAGGCGGAGGCAAGGGCCATACCAATTCCAATTCCTTTTCACGTCAGGCTGAGTAGAAACTTATAAAGAGGTCGACTGATACTTACCAAGGAATGTCAACCCGGAGATTCCCGGCGTCCAGTGTCTAATCTCTTGGAAGACATAGGGGTATGCAGTGAAGTCAAGGTATAGGATACCATAGAGAAATGCCATGTACAAGGACAAGAGAAATAATATGGGCTCAGTGAAGAACATAATACAGGGCCGGGTAAGGTTAGTCTTGATCATCACCTTGAGACTGATTCGAGAATACTCTATACCTAGCCGCTGCGCTTTGAGCTGTAATAGTCGGGGTGCATAGGTTTCAGGGAGAAATGCGAACATGCAGACATAGACGGTAGCACCCAGTATGAGAACCACCCAATAGCACCTACAGTTAATATGTTAGGCGACGCGTAGTTAGCAGAGGGATTTGCGGAGGGAGCGAAGCCTTACCATCTCCAGGAGGTATATTGGCAAATAAAGGCTCCAACGATAGGGGCGAAGACAGGGCCAAGGAAACTTGCTGCGGTGAACAGGGCAAGAGGAACAGAACGATGGCTTGAAGGCCAAATGTCCGTGAGTGAGCCCCCCGAATTGGTGACTTGCGCCGATCGTGTCAGCTTGCTACAAATCGCACATTGCTAGGAACGAACGCACCAGTTGGGGAACCAAAGAAACCGCACAGAAAGCGAAATATCAACAAGGCTTCTATATTGGGCGATAAGGCGCAACCGAGATTAAATAGCACGAACAGCAATAGAGTGGCGCGGTAGACCAGATTACGACCGTACACCTCGGAGAGAGGCGCGAAAAGCAAGGGTCCAGAGCCAAAGCCGAGCAGGAACGTAGTGACGCCAAGAGTCGAGACGGTACGCGAGGAAGAGAAGGTTTCCTGCACGCTGCTGATTGCGGCAGTATGGATTGAAGAGCAAAAGGCTATTACGGCAGTCATCACAGTCACTTTGCTCCGCGTCAGTCCATGCAAGATTCATCAGAGCGAGACTAAGTATGGGGCGGGATATTGGAATGGTCCTAGTACCTAGGATGGTGCAAGACCATTTTCGCACGGACGTGAATGTGAGAGGATTTTCGCGGCCGTCCAAAGTCACAGAATCGAACGTGCGCGTTTGGACGCTCTCAGCGTTTTCTCCAGCCATGGATGCCAGACGTTGTTGTTGGTGGTGTTGTTTTGCGCAGAGTGGCTGACTATTAGACGGCAGAGTTGTCGCAGTTTTTAAAAGATCGTACTTCATTCATTCATACCAGAAATCACGTTATCGGGCAGTATAGACCGTAGACCAGTCGTCTCCTGAGTATTCATCGTATTCCCTCACTTGCCGACTGCTCCCCACGTTGAACATGGGACCTCTGCTGACTATTCCAGGGATACTGGCAACGAGCAGTTCGGTGGGGAACGGTTAGTTTCCAATTCATCTGCAGATCCTCTGCTCGGTGGGTCGAAGATGGTATGGGAGACTCCATTTCTGATGCTTAAATCTCTCTTCCTCGGGGTTTCCATACTAATACTTCCACATTCATATGTAAGGATAGCATAAAGATCTTGAGATGCGTAATGAGAGGGAAGATCTGCAGGAGGCATGAACAGTCCCTCTCAGCTAAATAAATCGAGCACCGAACTATTGATCTCCTGGTCTAGTCAATACCACCCAGCAGTGAGCTACTTAGAAGTAGACACATCAGAAGTCCAAACATCTCTCGTGAGATTCTTCTCGGGCGGGACCGCGTGCTCTGGTTGGTGTTGACGGGCTTACGCCATTTTAGTCCGGAATGAACAACATTGGCTCACGTGGTTACTCACATGCCTCGTGAAACAGCAATTCGGTCTCGACTACAAGCTACCCTGATCATATTATAATGAACTTACAATACTTCTTGAAGTAGAAAATTTCTCATATCGGGCAAGAAAGGATTACCAACCGTCGTAAATTGACGAGACTCATAATATCCCATTATCCTCTTCTAATTATTGGAGCGAAACGAATTCAAACACTCGCCCGAACCCCAGAAATCCAATAAGGCGTGTTGTGCGTCATCTCCAGGCGCACCCAACCCCGCACTTCACCCATGCCTCTGATTTTAGATACCAAGAGCCTGGTATCTTTCGTTCATAAGATTAACCGCGATTCATTCGATTCTTACGTCAAGCGACCATGGCAACCTCAGTCCAGAGTATTGGCATAGATGCCATGGCTGTAGGTTACCAAACAGGGTCTGATGTGATATTTGAACAGTTCGACTTGCCCCCCTCAAATCAGCGGCAGCTTGGGGTACCACATCCTACGGGGACAACGATTCCTCTAGCCTTGCGACCGTGTCAGAGTCAGACGGAGGATATAAATCTCGACGATGTTATCACGACGATTAAGGGGTTGCAGTCTCATAATAAACTCCTTACTAAAAAGCTGGCGTTGCACGGTACACTCCTCTTTCGAGGCCTGCCCATTCGCAACGCCGACGACTTCAGTAGATTTGCTCATGCCTTCGGGTTCAAGCCACACGAAATCATCGGCATCGTTGTAGATAGACCAGTGCTTGCTCCCAATATTGCGCCAGCCAACAAGGCGCCGAAAGAAGTGCTCATTCACAGTCACAATGAGTCGCCGCAAGTGCCCCATGCACCAGAGTACATCTTTCTCTATGGGCATAAGGCACCATTAAAAGGAGGAGAGACGCCAATGTCGTCCTCCCTTGAACTGTTCCAGAGAGTTCAAGACGAGATCCCTGAGTTCATAGCCGAACTAACTGAGAAGGGTATCCTGAGTCGGATAACATACAAGAAGGAGCCTCAATTTTCCGGTGGATCGACATTAAAGGAGGCTTTCGGAAAGACGATTGTTGATGGAGATGACTTGGCGAGTCGGCGATCGAAGATCGAGGCTCAGATCGCACGCTATGGCAGAGGCATCCATACAACTTGGGAATGGTTGGACAATGACGAAGGAATCATAGTAACACATCGCTTGCCCGTAATCCGTACACAGCCAGGCACAAATCTGCCTACCATGTTCACGGGCTTCGCATCTTTGTACACGCGCAAGAATGTCACCGAGCAACTGTACGGCGACGGCACTCCCATCCCAGAGAAATATCTTAAGCGGTTGGTGGCTATCACGGAGGAGATCCGAGTGCTGCATCGCTGGGAACAGGGTGATGTGCTTATCTATGACAATATCATTGCACAGCACGGAAGACAACCTTGGGAAGGGGAGGAGAATGACCGGGTTGTAATGGCGAGCCTGTTCGATGGGGACGAGGTGCCTGGGGCATACGGAGATGCGGATTGGGCGACGGTCGTTCAAGCCCTTGAAGGATGAGATGAATTATGATTATACGTAGGAAAATCCTCGGAATAAGGCTGAAATTGCGGGCAGATGATTATTTACCTAATTATTTCAGTGTGTCGCGCTAACGAAACAGAGGAATGCGTATCAGTTACATTTTCTGACAGTATTGTTTCTTCCCAACCTTGCTCTAGTGCTCTTGACAATATACACAAAAGTGTTATTACTATGACCGGGGGGGCGGGGAAACCGATTACAAGACCTGACGATTGGTCTGGGCGAACAGACTCGTCGATTTACGGATTGCCCCTTAGTATTCACCATGGATGACTCTGTCCGTGCACTGTCAGCTTCAGCGGTCATATTCAAGGAATTAGATACGTACCCTTCCATCCCAGCACCAAAAAGTACCAGTATCATCTTTCCCCTTTTCCTCTATCACCTTTAACATACCGGTCACACTTTCAGAAGGGCTAATCGACCCTTTCACTTCCCAGCTCAGTTCAATATCCGCCATATCCCTGACAACCTCGTCAGTCGCGGCCTATTCACTTCAACGGTGAGCACTCACGTTTCAACTTCTCCGGGATGAAGTGCTAAGACAGTAATATCACGCTTTTTCTGGTCAGGCGATCGTTTTAATTCTGCCGCCATGTGTCGTAGCATCTGATTAAGCGCGCACTTGCTCGCGGCGTAGGCCCCGAAGCCATCCTCAAAGTCTAGGAAGCTCGTTGTCGACCCGGAATCAGACGAGATAAAGATGATTTTCTGTGGCAGAAAATCAGGATGAAGACTGAGAAGCTTCTGTGCGCAAATTATTGGCCCGATGGTGTTGGTATGCAGATGGAGAGCAAAGTCAGAGAAGGACCTATTTGCCTTGTTAATACCAACCACTTCAGATCTGATTGTGCACCACCGTACTCACACTTCAGTGGCCCGGTTAGGATACTTCAATACTCCCGCATTAAGTATAACATTGCCCAACTTTATGCTATCGTTTATATAGTTCCGGATGTCACTGACGAAAGCCTGTAATACGTCAGTCTGTTTCTGATCATCTAACTTGGACTTCTGCCTCCTAAGATCAACCTACAGTAATGCTTTCATCACTTGATATGTCGCATTGCACAACTGTGCATCTGTATTGTGCTTTTTGTGAAGCAATCAAGTGGAATAGTTTCGGAGCAGCAGCCACATTACGCACTGCTGCAACCACGTGGTGACCAGCTTCTAGCAACTGCTTGACAAGCTCCAAGCCGATCCCTTGAGATGCGCCGACTATCACCCAAGTCTTGGTATTCATATTCAAAGTTCTCGGTGCCGACTTGTGTAATAAAAGGTTGCATGGCAAAGGTGAAATGTAATCGTCTGAGCTCCGTCACCTCCTAAGTACCCCGCTTGACAGATAAATACCTACCAGGTAACTTAAGCCCCGTACAAATGACCCACCAATTAGTAATCTTGTGCGATCATGGCTGATAGACTTGTATAATTGATTGATTAATAAACAAGAGGATAACCCAAATATTATATCCGTTGATTACTAACTTCTGGAGTAGTTGTTGTACCTGTGCATGGAAGGGGTGCAATGCTGATGCTACTAGGCCTGTGCGTGGCGTAATAGGCGTAGCTATTTGTGATAGCTTCAGTAAACATCAACTTTCCTCCTAGTTGTTCAAAGAAAATCTTATGAGTAAGAGTAACTTGGATAGTTGCTATAAGACACCATAGTCCAAAGAGAAAGAAAGAGAGCCTTATCAGTACCAATGTTGTACCAACATACCTACGAAGCCAGTCGTTGTATCAAACATGTTTGTAGTATATACGCTGCATGTATACATTTGAAACTACATTATGTGCCGCCCCCTTGCGACGAGTCTGTATTTCAACCTAGTTGGTGTCTTGATTGATTAAGGCCACGATTAAGGACTCGCATCAAGCCACGTCCAGCTCTTACTAGGCATATACTGCGGTCGGTTATAGTCAAGGCGAATATAGATGACCTGTCAAGCATCAAGGCAGTTTGCTTGTTGTTTGCATGGCACATAATCGACCAAAAGTTAATATTTGTATGAGTAATCTCTCGAAAAGGCTCCCGGAATAATGCGCCGAGAAATTACTGAAGATTGATGAGCAGAATTTCCCATTGTGCCACTATCGGACATCAGTGATGCACCAACACCCACCAGCCAGCCAATCGCCATACAGGGCTTAGAATCGGGCTAATTATCTATTCCGCAGCTGGAGGGAATATCACCCCGAGGCTGGAGCATCCGTTTCTAGGATCTCACTGCGGGAAAGTCTCGAGGCCGAATTTACCGCACTGTCGTGACGTTAAAGCTTTGGCAGTCTCCTGTTATGTTAAATTCCAACGGATCCCCATCCCAGAAAATGAACATATCTTTGTCTTTAGCGACCCGGTTTGTGTACCCGCGTCCCTGATTCGGCTATTTTGTCCTTACCCGTCTATACAAGCAACACAACTACTCAAATACGAATAGAGTTACTTGGACGCGTCGTAAGCATTCCAACATGTCACGCGACTCTGGTCCCAACATTAGGGACCAATTGTCACAAGCTTTCCCACCAAAACCAGGCTTTACCGAACAGCATCTACCTGACTTGCACGGAAAGGTACGTTCGTTCAATCATTATCCAAAGTTTGGAATAGCACCCTAATATCAATTAAAGGTTTACCTGATCACGGGTGCAAACACTGGTCTAGGGAAAGAACTGGCCCGCATGTTATATTCAAAGCATGCGAAGGTGTATATTGTTGCACGATCAGAAGCTAAAGCTGATGTCGCTATAGCTGATATTAAAGCTACCTCTCCTAAGTCTCAAGGTGCCTTAATATTCATTAGGCTTGATTTAGCCGATCTTAGCACAATTAAAGCTTCTGCTCAAACGTTTCTTTCGCAAGAAAGTCGGCTTCATGTTCTATTCAACAACGCTGGAGTTATGAAGCCTGACCCTCCTAATTTAAGGACAGCCCAGGGTTACGAACTACAACTCGGAGTAAACAATATTGGCACATTCATGTTTACAAAGCTCCTTACGCCACTCCTTGTAGCTACTGCGAAAGCGGAAGGCCCTGGTTCTGTTCGAGTTGTTTGGGTCGGCTCGTCTGCTGGAGAGCTTCCCTTTGTACCAAAATCCGGCGTTCCAATGGATAACCTTGATTATCATCACGATCTATGGTGGATGACCAAGTATGGTGTCAGCAAGGCTGGGAACTACTTGCAGGGTTCAGAATATGCCCGCCGTTTCAAGGCCGACGGGGTGATCAGCGTCACTTTGAACCCAGGTAATCTTGACTCCGAACTCTGGAGAAACCAGCCTTTTGTCATAGGCAAAATACTGAAGTGGTTCTTTCTTCATAAACCTATCAATGGGGCCTACACAGAGCTATTCGCGGGCCTATCCCCTGAAGTTACGTTGGAACATTCTGGTTCATGGGTTGCACCGTTCGGTCGATTCAGTAAGAGCCTCCTATTATGACCTAATCCCAGGTCTCTCTTTACCTTGTGATGAATACCCTTGTTACGCCATTTTTGGAGAACTAACCTACGATGAACCATAGTGAGGCCTCGTAAAGACTTGAAAGAGGCAACAAGGACCAAGACTGAGGGGGGTACGGGCGTTGCGAAGGAGTTTTGGGAATGGAATGAAGAACAAATACGGCCGTTTCTTTGAACCCAGATACTCAGTGTTTTGTATTGTCTTTGTGTATATGAAAAGGCAGCATGGGGGACAATCTTCCATGATGTGTCAAATTACCTCATATTCATCGTATACCCCTGACAGCTTCCTCTAACTCCACAAAATTAATTCCATGGCTACGTGATAGGACTGCTTGGACACCCTCTTTCAGTAAGGTAAAAATACATGGAATGACTCCCTAAACTAGCTCCCTATTCATCCCAGCTTTAGAGAGCATTGTCCCAAGGCGAAGCTCTCTTGGGATAGGGGCTACAGCGTGGCGAGACCTCTTCAGGCTTTCCTTCTTTATTGGAGTACCATGATGGACAGAACGGGCGAAAAATCAGCCTCGAGTCAGTATCTATCACAGTACCATATAGTTGAGTGTAGACGCCTAGGGTCTTGACCTAATAATATTGTTTATATCTATCTTTTGGATAACGCAACAGTATCCTCCTTCATCTGCCTGCCCGATTCTTCAGGGGTCTCTAGACTTGGCTCGATCACTCCAAACACATTATTTCTAAACATTTCCCAATAACAGATGCGACATGATCTCCCATGACTTAGAAGCTATGGAGCCAGATAACTCCCACAGCCGCTTGCATCGCGCCGATAATGACCATGTAGAAACCATATAGCGTCGAAATACCCCTTTCCACCCATACCTTGTCAAAGCTCGGGTTATTACTGCCGATGATGCCCATTGTGACCAACTATGATATCTTTTCGGTGGGCGCTGCTTCTACTACTTCGGGCTGTGCTGCTGGTTTTTCCATCTTCGCTGTGTCGGCTAACAACTTGTCTTCCTCTTTTGGAGATTCCAGTGTATGCGTAAGTTCAGCTACCATCGCTTGTATATCCTTTTCCCATTTTTCAAACTCACTTGTTCCCATGTCGCCCTTGTACTTTGTGAACATCTCTAAAGCTTTCCGGTGCAGATCCCGACCATACACACCGAAGCTTTCGCCCTGAAAGTAATCGGCTCGGGCGGCCAAGACACACCTGCTCGCCAAAAATCTCGCCATCCTTCCCCGGTACTCTTCAGGGGCGAACTTAATGACCGGGCAAGAATACTACGCAAACTGGATTAGTATCATTCAAAGTTGGAATGCTAACTAGCGCTTAGTTTCGACTTCATTTCCCCCTAAGCTTGATATAGAGCACAATACACATACTATGATACTTTCACGCTTCGGAGCGTTAGAACCGCTTAAGACGGCGTGATAGTAGGTTTTCGCTACGCCAAGTAATTGTAGCTTACATGCCGGCGAGTGTGCAAGTGTATACATTGAGCTGGCCTGTGATCAGTCTACTGTCAGCGATATACGCCTATACACTCCGGGACTCTGTCCTTACCCTTTGTAGCAAGCGCGCAGTAACAACCAGTCCAACTAGTTGGGATAGGTTGGGGGCAATAAGGTGTATTAGACGATTGAATTCACGACGCTCGTGTTCCGCCCGCTTCGCCAGCTTCAGGCCGGTACAGGCGGCATCAAGTGTAGGGTTTTGGCTTATTTTTTCCTGGTTCTCAGACTTGTAACGTTCTACTTGGTTCATTAATTGCTGTCGATCATTGGTACCAGCCAAATTTGGATTGCTGATTTGGAGTTCTGGGACAAGGCCGGAGAAGCTTTAAAAAAAATTAGAACTTGGCATGATTGTCACGGAACGACATAAGGAGTATGCCATTGCGCTACCAAAAGGTAACGACGAGTTATCAAGTCGAGGGCTTGACGTCTCTGCACTCACTATATAGTACTGTACTGTGACAATGATACACAGAAAACTCTGAGCGGAATCAGAGCTGTGGTGGTTGGAGGGGCGCTTAAGTCCTTACAAGACAGATATAAAGTATCTGATGGGATCATCATTTACTTGGGGTAGGCCCTTCTGCAAGTGCGCCTCAAGAGTTCGTTTAACCTTTAGAGACAATACGAAGATGGCGGTATCGAGCGATCCAACTCTGGCTCTCGCCTCCATCGCGTCACTATAGTTGAGCGATGTTTGAACTGCTCTCACCGTCTTGTGAGAGGCGGCCGTGCCGTCTTGGCCCGCGGTGGACATGGTGAGCCGCAGACGACCTTGAGTAGAACGGGTGATTCTGCGCTGCCTAGAACATGACTTCAAGAAGAGATTCCTAAGGTTTGCATGGCGGAGTGACACTAGGTATATATATACCTTCCTCGTCTTTCCAGCCAAACCGTACTCCAAAGCATAATTCGGAGTGGCGAAAGCATATTTAGGCAGGCAGGCAAACACCTGCCACCTGCCACCTGCACTCGCAGAGTAAAATGGGAAAGAAGGTGACACACCCTGTCACCCACACCTTCCACAACGTCTACGCCGAAAAGCTTGGCGATTATCTCTCTGAAGCAACTTTTCATTTTAACCCCTTTTTTTCTTGAGTACATTGTGCCTAACAGGGAGCCATACGAAGTATTATCTATGGTTCATTCACTGGTTGGCCACCGTTAGTGCTCCGTATGGTCGGATGTGACCAACAATGCCGCTTGGTGTATACTAGTTCCTAAAACGCTTCTCCAACTTCTTGGTTTCTTTGCAGTTAGTACAATAGAAGTCATAATTAGTTGACTCCCCTGAAGCAAGAACCGAGGCCGGTGACAGAAATCTTTGACACGTATCATCCATGTTCTCTCGTGGTTACGTGTCGTTGGTAGATCCTGCCATCAAACACTAGAGTGGGCGTTTCCAATATCTCCAAATAGTGTGATTCTATTTCTTGACAGCCCACCGCATGTGGTGTACTTTTTAGGGTGATCAAGGATATGGGGCATATGCTTGAGCTCTCTTTTTGACAACCCGATTTATTCGGTCACGTACCTAGCTGAATAAACTGCAGTACATTGCTCGCAAGTCTAATCAACGCAAATGTAGTCATCTCCAAATGGCGTTTTGCACAAAGATAATGAGAGTTAGAGCTGGCGCTGCGTAAGTCAAAAAGAAACGCCATCTGGGAGAGTAGAAGATAGCCAGGTGTCGGGTTCCTCGGCAAGGCACATCAAGCAGAATACCAGCGCTACCTCATTCCAACTACTCCAGGTGTAAACTGACTTTTCTCTCAAGTAATAGTTGACATGACCAACTTGATCAAGTGCGCCGGCGTGTTCGAACAAAATTCAAATCTGCTATCCCGCAAAATCAATCATTCGTCAGAAATGTGTGAGGAAATATTTCTTGTTTCAACTACTTGAGGAAAACACTCCGCTCAAGTGCACAAACAGGTCTGCTTAGTTGAAACCAGCGCATTATAGTAATCTCAGGCTGTTGCCGGGGCTGCTTGGAGGTACCTAATTACATTCACCACAGCAACGCACAATAAAGTGATTGCAAGTTGCGCGTAACTTCCAGCTCTTCATCCTCCACTGGCGTTGATAAGGACATTGTCTCTTCTTTTCTCAATCGTCCAGGATACTTCCAAGTCACTGCACAGGCTTGCGGCGGCGCGGCAACCATCCAGCCACATCATCGACGAGATTACTTCTAATTCAATCTAGCGGCAGCCTGGTACTATCCTCACGAGGCGAACTCTAGACCAATTGTCGTCATGGCGTTAGTCACCAAGTCGACAAGACAGCCTTTGGCGACCTATAAAGACTTGCCAGATATGTCGACTGGGTGAGTATTATCCCCAAATCCCCTAGGAGCCCAATTACTGACAACCTCAACAAGAGGCGAACTCGGACATCTAGTCACTGTTGCCGTAGGTCATGAACGCCGTACATTCGGAGTTCATCTGGGCAAACTGGGACCTCTGGCGAAACTAGTAGAAGATGACGCCTCGGACGTCACGGTGTCATGGGCCTCCATAACGCTCCCCAATGAGATCCCGGAAACATTCAATGCGCTTGTCAATTGGGTATACGGTAGTCCACTCCCACGAGCTTCGAAGGCAATTAATTACTACGATGAAAACGGCAATCTCATTACTAGTACCGATGTCGCCCAAAAAATGCCATATCTCGCTTGGTTTGATGACTACATACCTGAGGGCGAAGCAAAAGACTCCGCAGCGCGCGACTGGAAACTCAGTGATGCACTCGCAACCCAGTGCATGCTGTTAGATCTTATGATGTTCGCGGATCGCTACGAGTGGGAAGACCTTTACAACGCCGCCATCGACGCCTTCCGTGCCGGTGAGATCAATATGATGCGGAATCAGCCGAGCACACTGCACATCGCGGTAGTGTACAGCCGGACAGGCGCAGACTCGCCGGTCCGCGAGTTTCTATGTGACTACGCCTATGCATTAGCGAAGAAGAACAGAGATATCATGTGGTATTGGCGCAAGAACTGGTTTCAGACGGTCCCGGAGTTCCTGGCGGACATGTTGAAGAGGGTCGATGGGAAGGGTCCGTTCCAATACCCATTTGAGAATTACCGAATCCTAGACGACGACGACGGCGACAAAACCATAGATATGAGAACACTCTATGAAGAGGCTCCGTTGGACTTAGATGAGACTACTTATCATGTCCATGGAGGGTGTCTCTGGTTAGACTGCAGACGCTCAAGCCAGGGTCTTTGTGCAGCAGAAATGGATGATGCATGACTCCAGCGATAGCGAAGATAGGACGAACGATCTGGAGGAAACGTCTGAAGGGAAAAAGACAAGATAAAAATAAAAATGGTGAGACAGAGGTCGAACAAAAAGTCAAGCAGCTACACATGATAGGTAGTCAGGTAAAAGTCATTGTACACGGAAGATCAATGCACATAAAGCTGAGATTCAGGCGAGCATCAACATTGATCAACCCGCGCGCCATATGGCCACTTACGTAAATAGAAACTGCGAATTATCAATCTGGTTTCATCCTTGTCCCAAATATCCGGTTCTAAGTAAGTCCTCAAATGTGACGGCAGGATATGTTGCTCACATTGACGCCGCTCACTCTTCTACTGTCTTTCCCGCTCTCTCTCTCTCTCTCGCATCTGCACTGGCAGACAATTCAGTCAACGAAACCTCTGATTCCCATCGATTGATTGCTCATTTCTCCGATGCACGGTGATAAGTTACTAACAACCAACGGCCAACTCGACGCGTATTCTAGCAAAGACATCCAACGGTTTCCCGATGTAGCCTTTCGGTAGTGGGTGCATGAGCATACATAAGTAGTAAGTAGGGTAGCACCACCCCACCCGATTACCTAAGTAGTCCAGGCTGCCTGCCACGCCTTCTTTTTCCGCGTCTACCTAACGCCAGAACTCCAGGCCACAACTTTCACCGCCACGCTTACCAATCTCATGCCACACATTATGGACGCCTCATTAAATCATCAAGAGGTACCTAGGTACCTAGGTATGCGCCTCACGGAAGGCCACACTTCTGAGCCTCAACCTAGGCAGAATCGCTAGACCACAAGGCTCATTCCAAAAGGGTTTCGAGGGCTCGGCAAGGGCCCGATCTCTTGTGGGCACGAACAATGACTCGCCTGAATGTCATTGTTCAGGTCGCCTTTTCCCCTTTTCAGCAAGTGCGGGGTTAAATCTCCTGGATTGTGAATCTCCCCGCCGTCAGTCACTATGACCCATAACCCCGCCATAACTTGATCGTGGCCATGGATCCCGTTTCGGCGATCGGCCTAGCCGCCAGTTTACTTACATTTATCGACTTCTCCTGGAACCTCCTTAGTGGTACACGCGAGGTATATCAATCGGCAAGCGGAACCACAGCCGAGAATGCACATATTAATACCGTCCTTGCCGACCTCATGGAGGTATGCTCTGGCCTACACCTCGATCACAAGGAACGTCAAGGCTCCACGCACCTCCAGCAATTGGGGTTCCTGGGCGATAACTGTATCCAGCTTTCCCAGAAACTTATTAGCTTGCTAGAAGAGCTTCGCCGAAAGGATGGAAATGCTTTGTGGCAAAGCTTCAAGGCGAGGTGGAAGAGCCTGAGAAGAGAAGGTGAGGTTGAAAGTTTAGTTAGACAGTTAGGGTTCTATCGATCACAGATCATACTACGGTTGAATTTGATTCTAAAGTACGTCTGGATCTCTAGGTCTCATGTTTGAGCTCCCCAATGAGGACTAATTTAGCGCATAGGGATCAGCAATGCGCGCTGCTTTCTAAGATTGAGGAGCTCAGGGAGGAAGCCGTTGCTTGCCGGATGGAAACGATGGGGCATTTTGACAATCTACGCGAGAAGCTTATCCACGCGTTGGAAGCTGTACAGTCACAGCGCGACGATACCACGGGCGCATTTTCACGCCCGGTAGATGCCATAACGGCATTAACTCCCCGGCCGGTAGCGCAGACTTTCGAGCCGTCAGAATTTGATCAATTAAACCCGATCCGAATACTACTCTCCCAGCTTCAGAACCACGCCACGGAAATTCAAGTCCAACATCGAATTTTGCGCGAGCTGGTCTCCCCTTCGGTCTCCTCTCGCGAAAACAGCATAGCGGACGCTGTTGACGGTACTTTCGACTGGGTTCTCCAAGAGAAGGATGGTCCACCTATGACCGAGCCTGCTGTCGGGTATGAAAAGCCAGGCGATCACACAAGACCTCTTCCTCATCACTTTGGTCTCGCCCCCGAAGATGTAGTGCCTGGTCGACCATGGAGACGAGACACAAGAAAAGACGAAGCCAACCGCAGCTATGTCAGAGCTCTATTCAAGTGGTGGCTTGTGTCTGGAAGCTATGTCTTTCATCTATCTGGGAAGGCCGGCTCGGGCAAATCCACCCTCATGAAGTATATCTGGCAACATCCGTTGACCAGACAGAGACTCCAGAAATGGGCAAGCCCGAAGACGCCAATCATGGCTCACTTCTATTTCTGGGCAGCATCAGAGGATGACCGGCTTGTGTCTCTCCATGGTTTTTACCGCTCAATCCTCTTCGAGATTCTCAGGCAATGCCCGGATCTGATATCTAAAGTGTTTCCGAATCAATGGAGAGCACTCGGTGCAGCTGGTAACGTTAGCAAGAATATTTGGTACGCTTTCTTCCATGAGTCGGATATCGTTGACGCCTTCGACCTTCTCATGAAGTGCACCATGGATGAAACTCGGCAGTTTTGCTTCTTCATAGATGGGCTTGACGAGTTCCGCGGTGATTTCTTGGCTCACAGACAGCTGACCGAGAAGCTAATATCTTGGACTACAAATGGCTGCGTCAAGATATGCTCGAGTTCGAGGCCGGATCCAGAGCGTCTAAACATACTATCCCGATCCTCTAACATTGTTGTTTCACTGCACGAGTTGACGAGAGGCGACATCTACCAATTCAGCCGGGCTATGTTTGAGAAGGATCTCAATTTCGACCGAGTACATGGCCACTATCTGGAGCTTGTTCAGGAAATCGTCGACAAAGCCGATGGAGTGTTTCTCTGGGCTTTCCTAGTTGTTCGGCTGCTTTTAGAGTCTGTTGCCTTTGGAGATGATATCGACATTCTCTACGCCAAACTGAACTCAGTGCCATTAGAGCTAAATGACATGTATCGCACGCTTCTTCCGCGCACAAACGAGGTTGACAGGCAGCGAAGAAACAGGATGCTTCTTTTCGCCCTGGCGGTCAAAGAATCCGCGTCTGTTCACGCATACGCATGGCTAGACAGGCTGCGGGACCCGGGATTTCCGTACTCTTTGAATATTCCGTCTTGGTCCCAGGCCCAGATCGACTCCAATGCTCAAAAAGCTGCATTTTTGATCCAATTTCTCGCAAGAGGGCTCTTGGAAACTATTCAGACTTCATCGGATTACGGGCTAGGATACTTACCACACGGTGGCCGCTTGGCTACCAGCTTTTCGAAGCCTTATGTAGGCGTTCGCTTTCTCCACCGCAGCGCTTACGATTTCCTGAAAGAGCCCTGTCGAAAAGCAGAGCTCCAGGAGTCGTTCCGAGGCCCCGAGGTATTTGAAGAGGATTGTTTTAGACTGTTTGTGGCCGATATCTTGATTCTGCATTGCAGTAACTCTATTACATCCAGGAGCCAGTATCTTCGCGAAGGCTTGATACATCTCCTTCAGGGGAGATGTCAATATGATTACCCCTTGGAAATCTTAGAGCCATTCTTTAAGAGCCTGGAAAGTCCAGCGTGGTATGGCTGCTTGTACCACAAGCAAAGCCAGTCAAGCTACGCCAGCCGACTCCGGGCATCAGTAATCCATCTGGCTACTTTCTGCGGCCAGCTTAGATATGTGGAGAATAAGATTGGACACATCAACGACATCAATGATCATTCATGCGGGTCTGAGGAAATGAGCCTCCTCCTAAGCGCGGTTCTGGGAGGTAATCATCTACGCAAGGCAGATCTTGTGTCCTGTTTGTTGCAACACGGAGTGTCGCCAATGGAAGAAGTCCGACTTTTCGCCGAAACCGATTCGTCGTTTGCGCCAGGAGGGACGTTCCCAGTTCCCTTCGAGTCGAGAGATTTGGCTCCCGTTTGGATGCCGATTGCCCTGTACCTCGCCCACTTTGTCACATCCGAGTGCTGCGGAAAGGCGAAGGAAGAAGTACTGGATACGATGGAGGCCTTCAGGCAAGTTTTCGGCGCATTGACATTCGAGGTCGAAGATAGTTGCTTCATTTCCTTGGCTGCTTACGACAAATCACAGGCCCACGATGGGTTTCTGGAGGCTCCGCTACGATGGTTTCTTCACCCGCCACCTCACGGGTTTAATAATGCCGGTAGCGATACGAGACTGACGCATTTTTATTCCAAAGATGAGCAAAAATACGCAAGACAAGCTTCAATGCGTGTAATTGATGGGCTGTCAGTTCGTGTATCGCCTGTTTCGAGGCCCCAAATATGGAATCACAGCAAGCAAAAAGGAAACGTGTTCAAAGTTGTTGCACTGCATTGGGAAGGTATATCGGTCGATTATAATTTTTACCAACGAGTATTTTAAGTCTAGAGTTGTCAAGCACCATAAGCCTGACAGGGTAGGTGACGGAAGGCAGGCCAAGGCAGGCCAATTTGTTCTTACTAAGACGATTGTGCAAAGGCCTCTTAAAGCTGCGCAGAAATCGTGTGATCATTGGCCAGCCCTTGAAATGCCTTGGGGAACAACAAGGCTTCTTTTACCCCGTCCTCAGCCACGCCAATCTGAACGTCTACAGTTCCTAGGCTACATCTCCTGTACTAGTGTTGCCTGACCTGCCTACGAAGTACCAAGTACTACCTACCTAATTAACCCCGCAAAATTCAGCTTTGTAGGTAGTGGACGATACAGAAACCGACCCTCCAACATCGCGACGTTGTGGTCAATCTACTAAGTAGTAAGCGGAGGTGTAAGTCTATCAATACTGGATGTAATGGTAAATGGTACCTACCTAGGAGCTTACCTAACCATCATAAGATTTCAGTAGCATGACAACACAAGCAATACCAAAGGGCACCAACCCCGCGGCCAACAAACCTCCCAACCCCACCTGCCCAACAGCCCAAAGTCATATAAGTGAAACAGAGTACCAACCGAGTTAGGTATATAAGGTACCGAGAGCGCAGTACGGTAGATAAGGCAAGGGTAGCTATCGTACTCCATCGGAAAATCAATCAGAGCTTCGGGTCCCCCGACCAAACAAATACACGAAAATACCGTCGATCTTATTCATCGAGGAATACATACATACATGTGCGCGCGCGCTAGAAAAGAATAGTATGCAAGTAGGGTAGTGGTGCGTTATTCAGGTCTATATGAAAAAAAAAAGAAAATCTGGGGTAATAGTCCGAGGCAAGGGATTGATAAGTCCATTCAGCTCTGTTTATATTACGGTATTGGGGGAGTCCGAATACCTAGCACATGTTAGCTGCGATATGGAAATGAAAAAGAGGATACTCTTGACATTAGTGTTGCTGGCTTACAGGGGTGTTATGAGAATAGCGCTCTGGTAGTGAAAGTAGATCTAATAGTGGGAGCAAGTTCACGATGGATGAGGTCACAACACGCAAAGGGCCACGTGTCAGTCAGAAAGGTAGAATGAGCGCTTCATTATTGTTTGTATACTAAAGTAACCTAACCCAAGGGGCAGCTGATTCGGTGACCGCTATCATTATCATGCTCTTTCTAAATATGTTGGTTGAACGGGAATGGGATCATAACAAGTCGTGACATGACGTAAACGTAACGTTAGACCAACTCTATGTGTGCTGTTTTAACCCATAATTTTTTTGTTACAGTCTGAAACTCATGCCACTCAGCTAGGATGTATCGCTTAGTTCATCATAAAAATTGCGAAATCGTCCATCGCATTCAGAATATGGACGAGGGGGATGGTACGTATCATACTCGACCCAAGGTCGAGGACGAGGAATGCGCATGACGCGGCGCGGAAGGTAGCGACTCTATCGGTTACCGCCGAACAGGCTGCTGAACCGGAACCGTTCCTTGCCCGTCTTCTGCGATGCGCGACTGAAGGACTGCTGTGAGTTGATGCGACGGCCCGGTCCGAAAGGTGGTGCGGCGAAGTCCTCATAGTCCTCGTCATCCTCACCTTCGACGTCATCCCCAAAGCGTCGCGCACTCATGGGCCGTTGCTGCGGTCCGGGGCCTGCCATCGTGGTTGGGCGCTGCAGTGGCTGGATCTCTCTAGGAGGCGACATGGGCAGCTCGCCCGACATGGCACGCTCAACGTCCGCGTACTGCCGTTGATACTCGTCGTGCTTGGCTTTAGCGTCGCCAAACCGCTTCTCCGTTTCTGCGCGGCGCTCCTGGAGGATGCGGAGTTCCTCATCTAGACGTTTGACCTCTTCCTGCTCCCTTCGCATGATCTGGTCATACTCGCGGATCTTCTGGTCTAGGGGCTGTAGCACACATTCAAGCACACTTGGGCTCTTAAGGCGGGGGATGGGTGCTCCGTTGCTGTCCCGGTCGCCATTACCGGAGACGGGCCGGCTACTGTGCGGGTGTGTGGGTGACGAGCCACCGGACACGGGAGGCGTTGGTGAGGTGGTGCGCTGCTGTGATCTCGCAGGCTGTTTTGATGTAGGGGCACCACGTCGCTGGGTCTGACGAGCCATCTTAGCACCCGAGTTCCTGTCGACGAGGATTTCCTCGGACCGGCTGCCAGAGTATGAGCCGGTGGAGAGACGCGAGCGCTCTGGGAAGATGTTGGTCACGGGCGGGCGGCTCTGGCTGGGTATATTATTCCGCTGCTGCTGCTGTTGTTGTTGTTGTTGCTGTTGAGTTGGTGGCATGGGTGCCGGAGGGGGGCTCCTCTCTCCGGCACTGCTGACGCTGGTGCCCATGGGCGCCATTGATGGACCACGGTTGCTGTCGAGGAATGCGTAGAAGTCGTCGTGACTACCGAAGTGAGAGTTGTTTCGGCGGTGGGAGTTCATAGGCCTGTCCTCTAGAGTCACGCCCCGAGGTGAATCCCGCTGTTGCAGTGGTGGCTGCGAGTGCGGCGGTGGCTGTGACTGCTGGGAGTTGGCGGCGGCGGTGTAAGGGTCCATCGCCGTTGTTTTACGATGACGACCTTGAGGTTACGTTCAGTTCAGTGGCCGGGAGGGGTTTCAGACTTAAAAGAGACTTAAAAGACTGGTTGACTGACGCCAGAACCGAGAGTCCAAGGGAGGCACAAGCCGACAAAAAGAAATGATAGAGATGAGATGTGAATTGGCAAATGAAGATAGTCTATCCAACATGGGCGAGAATGTAGCTAGCTGAAGCGGCAAGGGAAAGAAAGTCGAGCGAGAGTTGAGGATTGATCAATCAGTCTCGTAGGTTCGGACAGACGGGCAGATAAAGCTGCTACTATGTACTTCCAAGTGGGTAAATATTTCCCAGGTGGTTGGGTCGAGATGTCCCAGCCACCGATCGCTGCTAAAAAAACGCACTAACCTGGCTGGTGTGTTGTTGTACTTAAGTAAAGTGTGAGGCTCCCGTGCTAAACGTAAGTACCTAAGTAAACCCGCGAAATTCAGAAGGCTGAACCAACCTGCAGGTACCCGCAGCTAATCAGAAACCGCCAATTGCTGGTACCGTCTGTTTTAACCCCTGCTACTTCCCTGTTACCTGACTATGTATATATACTGTGTACATAGTACATACTTACTATACTAGCCTACCTACGTAATGGCAGCGGTAATGGCAGAAGGAATGGCATGAGCGCTTGATCGCGCAACGCTCTTTCTTGGCTTCGTATTCTATCTAAGTACTGTATCTGTACTGTACATTATTTCCCTTCCTGGCCATTTCCTTTCCATCCCTACTATGGGATATTCCTTAGCTTCAATGCCCAATGGCAACACCAGACATGGCCTAACGCATTGTCTACGGGAGGTTATTCTTGTTTCAGCAGAAGGGCAGCCTGGTTTAACTAGGTACCTAGGTAGATATTCCGTTCCAGTCCGTTGCGTCCGTGCGTCTGTTCATGCTGTCAAGGCCAAGAAATTGCATTTTACAGTGTATACCTACTACTACACACTATTATGCACTGTATTTATAGATGCACCTCAGCCATTCATTCTCATGATTACAGAGGCGGTACCTTGATTGAAGGTCCCATCATGGAGGCGGATGATCTACAATGCAGCAGCATGCCCCAGACGACCCATTCTCATACTACAGTATGTAGGTATCATTCTGAGAAGTTCACTTCGACTTCAGATCCCTAAAACGACAGGTATCTCGCATAATCGCGTAATACAACCTCGGCCTCATCGAATACGCAATGAACAACTTCAACCGCGACCTTGCTGTCGCTACGCTTCTCATCCGAGAACCATAGTATGGAAATCAGCAGTACAAGTATGTAGAGAAGATATGTTATCAGACCTTTCACCAAAAGAAAATGCGCCGGAAAATCCAACCAACAGTGCAATGCTCCGGAAGTACGCGCATGAGCATATGCATGTAATACATAGCAAGCTCTGGAACCCCGTGCTTTTCCCTATATCTCCCTCCTTTATATCATAGTGATAGGCTCTCACTGTCGACATTACTGGTTGCCAACATGTTCAAAGTAGGAATCGCAAGCGTTCAAGGGTTAGTTAATTCATTGATAATGCCTGCTTGTTCAGAGACATTGATGTAACCCGAGCTAGGGTGGGATAGATCAAACGAAAGCTTCAAAATTCATAAAGATTATTAGAACGATTGCTACTAAAAAGTGAACAGACTCGCCTCCTCAAACCCAACACCCCCTCGTTAAAGCCTTTTATTCTCAATGCAAACCCGCATGTCATCATGAAGCAACAAGAAATGATGAAAATGAAATAGCTTTCCAAAAGCTTTCCAATCACGAAATCAACGCGTTGTTACGTAGATACCCTGGAGATTTCAGGACTTGCAGACAGCGGCTTTGCCGAATGGTGGCGCCGTCCTTCCCCAGGTACCTCTCCGTCTTGAAACTGTTGTGAAGCAACATGTTAGCGAAGAACCTGCAGCAATTCTAGCGATCAGTGAATGGATTTGGCTAGTAGACTTACCTCCAGTACAGATTAGCACGAACGACATCGGCGATACCCTTGACATAGCTCCTCACATGCTTGTTGACCTCTTCGCCCCAATCTGGTATCGCGACAATGGCTCTCTCCCAACGCTCGTACCTGCTCTCCAGCATGGTCCCAACATAGTCGAATGCCTCCTGGGCTCCAAGGCCCCTCATCCTCGCTATCGCTACGAGGTTATGAGGAATCGTCTGTCCCTGTATCTCGGTCAATGTTATTATCTCGTAATTAGGGCTTTGGCATGCGCTTACTTCTTCCTTCTTGTAAGACATGATATCGTTCGTGCTGCCGTGAGGTCAGCTGCGCGTCTATGTAGCAAATGTATACCAACTCACATTGCGCAGAACTCGATGCCCAGTTCCACGAACTCCTGGATGACTGCATGTTCGAAGACATAGTCGGGTAGCTCAATTCCATGCGCATACTCGATTAGCGCAAACAACGGAGTGACCCCGATTGACAATTGCCGCGCCTTGAGCAGTTCTTCAGGAGTGGATGGCGGTCTACGTTCGGAAACGTCCTCGACTTGTACTACGAGGCCGGCGCAATAATCAGTCATTGCCTTGGTGAATCGCGTTTGAACCCCTATTTTCAGTTTCAGTGTTAGAGTATTGCTATATTCAACTAGAGATTTTCACAAACCGCTTGAGGAGCCCTATCAAACATTAGTATACTGGAGCGTGAGTTTGATATTGAATAGCGCACTTCTACAATTCTCTGCCAGACTGTATCATGAACCTGAATTATAGGCAGTCTATCTTCCTCGGGAGGAGTCTGCCCTGGGGTTGTGCGAGATTCAATCATTGGACTCATAAGACTCTGTAACACCATGGTAGCAGCCATTGGCTCGTCTTGAAGTTCGCCATCGTCAAACACTAATATTCGAACTTCAGTTGATCAACCACAACGTGTTAAAATACAAACTGGCTTACTGTCATCGAACGGAAATACCTGATTCACTAAATCAGCACGAAATGATTGAGCGCGTATTAGATGTGTATCTACCCAGTTATTCCAGTCAACTAATGTCCGGTATTTCGCACGAGGTGCATCAGGCGCACATATAGCCATGAAGTAACCAAAATCTCCTCTGCTTAGACGAGATGACATTCTCTTGTCAAAGGAGCAAACTCTAGTTAGTCACTTGTTAATAGCCATTCACGACTCACTCTATCGATGTAGAAAGGGGCGTACTTGGAGATCCAGGCTTCTGCCTCTGGCTTCACCTGTTTATAGTGGGCATTAACCCTGGGAGGTTCCGCAAGAAAAGAGACGAACAAATCCGGGATACGGACTGTGACTAGCTCGGTATGAGGAGTGATTGGAGCCATCTTTACTATACAAGCGTAATGGGATGATGACCTCGATAGAGCTGGTAGGGACGAAAGATCTGGGAGAGTGTGTTGCCTTGTGTAGGCTTTTCAGAGAACGCGGGAAACTGGTAAATTTATAGACATGTTAACTGTGCATTGAAATTCACAGCTATATCTCATTGCTATTATTATCGCCACTTAGTGGGATGACTTTCTCTGACGTCCCTCCTTTCTATCATTCTGGACTCATTTCTAAGTTTGCTGTTCACGCAACCCCTGACGCCGAAGCAGGCCGGCTTAGAGCTAAGCGTGATAGACGCCAACTCATGTTCTAGGCTGAAGCCTTAGAACGAAGTGGGTGTTCACTACTTCGACGACTAAAATAATTACCCTTGCATCTCAGTCGTCGAGATATGAAGTATCACTTGGTGTAACGGGGCTTTTGGCAACCTAGTATGATAACCTTTTATGTAGTGAAACCTATGACGGCCATGTCAGTTAAAGCCGTCACCATGGTTAAAAAGAAGGATTTTGATTTAAACTAGATACAAATGGCGATTGGTTCCTTAGACTACCGTTATCATTGCAGCCGGCTTCTTACGGCCATCACAAAGACACCAGCGCCCACGCATAATATTAACGATATTATGTGAGGAGCCCGCGCAGCATAGGCCCATTCGAAGAAAGCCCAAACAACGATGGACCGTTAGCATCAAACGCATGGCGCCACTACTGCTGACATTCCTCATAAATGAACAAGTTAAGCAACGACATTCCTCACCGCCAGACTCACACTCAAGACATCGCATAAACTACCACGAACTATTACGCCATCGGACGGTTCCGCCAAGACGTGATTTTAAAAAATGACGTGGAGGAAGTTTGTTCACGATCGTTGACAGACTTGGAGTAGATGATCTGGGCTCAGCTGAAATGTGGCCAGCGCCTCTTTCACTGTTCCACAGCGTTAGATCTGATAGGAATTGCCTCGCGGGGCTTTTGCGGGCGCGAACACCGTTCCCGTTCGTCCACACATTCAGGAAGCTAATCTGCTCTTAATCAGATCGGCGTGGACCAGAACGATCATGTGTCGTGGGAGTTATAATCCGCGTGTTCCGTATACCCACGCTATTTTTCTTCTTCTTAATACCCTTTCGAATACGAGCTCCGGTGCTAGTTTAAGATACTATTGGTATCTTACGCTTGTTTCAAAGAACATTGGTAAATGGCTAGCCCTTTAACGATGGCTCAAAGGTAAGTTCCATCCTTAATCGGTGGCTTGATGAGGTAAGACAATTCTGCAGACAACTTCGTCTTTGCAATCCTCTATAGCCTATTCCACAGATAAACGAGATGTTTTGAAAACGCCTCCTATATGATGCGGACATCTAACCTGGTCCCGGCCGCGTCGAGGCTTAAACATGCGACCGAAGTGGATGTCAAAGGCAGAAACGAAAGTAGCAGCTATAAGATCGTCAATTATCATCTTATTCTTGTCCTTGGGGGTTTTTAACTGGGCATAGCCCTGTTCGGCTTGATCTCATAAGTCCAGACGTGCTTTATGAGCTTTGTTGGTATGGTAAGCTATAACAAGGGCAGATGACTGGGCTTGGAACTTGAAGCTATTCAGATTACAATGATCAACTAGGGCTGCATGAGGACTTGACCAACCAACTCCTTGTCGGTTATTGGTGGCTTGATTCGACTCTATATACAACTGGTCTGCCAGCCCAGACCGCCTGGGTTTCTAGGGCCTGTTTCAAGAAGCGAAGTCTGTATAACCTCACTTTCCAATATTGCCTGCATGTCTCTGGGTGATCATGAACAGCCCGAAATGGCCTTTCGTACGGCCAAAGTGCAAGGCGAACTGCGGATTCGGCTAGTACAGCTTGTGCAGCTTGTACGCGTGTGACACAAGCCTACAGGCTCTATCCATGTGCTTGATACGGTAAGTGACCATCTCTATGGCGGAGTGAATATTCGTTTAATTTAGGTATGAAGATTCACTTGAGGCTATAGTACTACAGTATGAGTGAACCGGTTTATTTAGGTACGACACGGGATTCGGTGAGTTCTATCAACACCCCAAGACACAGACCGGTGTCCGCGGCATCTGATTCGTCAGCCGCTAAGCATTGGTGTAATTCCATTCTGTTAGTGTCAAAACTAGCAATGATTAAACACAACATCCCTCATTGATATGCCGGCGCAGCAGTAAAGGGAGTAGCGTAGAGGATGTGTAAGCAGCCACATACCTAGGGCTATCAAGTTAGCCTTCCCAGCGTGATGGGCAAATGGTAAGAAGAGGTTCGGTGGCTTATGAGAGTTACATTGCATGGCAAGTCTTTGCGGAAGTTGCAGACTCTGTACTACTTAACTGAGCTGTTAAAGTTAGAATAGACCCATTCAATTGGACACTACGTATGATCAGCCTTATTCGGATAGCCTATTGTGATAATCTATGTACTTGCCGATGACCAAACCTATAGTACTATTTTAACTTGAAGAGTTAATCGAGGAAGTTAGCGGGATGAGGGGCTCGTGAGCTGTTGGGAATGATAAATGGGTTGGTCCATAAAAAGCAGAAAAGATTTATGCCTTGACCGTCAAAGTCTCGTTGAAATAAGACATTGATTGATCTGAATCATGCGTTTAAATCCCAGAGTTCCTTCGAAGATTAAGGCAAAAAGAACTATGAGTTCCAGAGAGCTACTGCGACGAAATATGGCCTAGATGGAGGTTTTCAGACAATTATGCCAAGAGGGTTCCAGCTGTGAGAAAAACGATGATGCCCCGCCCACTCAACAAGTAGGTAAGCATCCCTTCTAAACGTATAAGCACTTGAAGTCAATCATATTACCTGGCAACATCGCGGTCATGTCAGGTGTAGATAGCGGCAGGGATTAGTCAAAAGGCAGGCGACTGCATGAATTATATATCTATGACGAAAGGAAAAGTATACAAAGAGTGAAGATATATACTAAAGACCCCATATCCTGGACGCCCACAAGAATACTCACAGTACCCCAAAGTATATATAGTAAAGGAAATTCGAACTCCGTAACGCTGTCCGTGACAAAGTAAAACTATCTCTTAGAGACAACCTGTCCAGATCCCGAAGACATGATAAGATTTTGCGCAACCAAGACGTAAGGAAACCCAGCTCTCTTCGCCTCACCCATCCACAACAGCGGATCCATCGTCGGCAACTCCAGCCACTCCGCATGTTCCGCGAACCTCGCCAAAGTAGAGCTATTAATATCGGCCCGAGCCATGCCAGAATACGGTACACGAGTTAGCAGGTCGGCCTTTGCGTCTTGGTGGAATACAGTATCCACCACCTGGTCGATAAAGTCGCCTGTCTCTAGTAGATCGATGTAGCCGCGGAAGCCGTCGAAGCCAGGCCGTGCTCCGACTTGTCTAGCACACTCTACAAAAGCGCTGATGACCGCCTGATCACTAGTTGGTTCAGCGTCCGGGGGCGCAGCCTGTGGTGTGTGGATATACACCGGAATGTTGAGTTGAGACGAGGCATTCTCGAGTAGTTTCTCAGCGGCAAATTTAGAGAGTAGGTAGCCATCGGTAGTGACCGGCGCGGCAGCCCCCGATGAAAAGAAATGCAGAGGCAGTTGTCGGAAAGAGGCCAGATGAATAAGCTGCTTGACTGAGAGAACGTTGATCTGTCGTAGGGCTTCATAGTCATCCCAGAACGACCGGTTTGCTGCACAATGGATAACTATATCGGATGTTTTGGCAAGTCTCTCATATACGTCGCTTGGGAGCCCTAGGTTGTCTTCGCTGAGCTTGCACACAAGGATCTCGATCTTGTCATGTTCTTGTAAGCCACTCTCGTCGCGGACTAAGCAAATGACTTTGCTGACTCTTGAGTCTTCAATAAGGCGAGGGAGTACGTGACGACCAAGATACCCCGTAGCTCCTGTTAGCAAGATAGTGAGATTTTCCTTGCCTGGAGGTATCAAGCTCTTCGGACTAGTTGCCCATGATGCAGGGATCAAAGTATCGGAACGCCAATCGATCTTCGAGGTGCATGAAATCTTGTCGACCGCATCGCTCATTTCTTTGAGAGTGCTGGATGTCATCAAGTCAACTAGTCGGGGAGCGGAATCAAAGCTTTCTTTCAGTAATCGCTGAAGCTTCACAAGCAGCAATGAGTTGCCACCAACATGGAAGAAGTTTGTTTCTGGCCGTAATGAGATACCCCGAGAAGGGAGGATCTTCTGCCACTGTTCGGCAACTAGCTTTTCTGTTTCATTAAGGTTGGTGGTACTACTGGCACCTTGTGAGCTATTCAGGTACTCGACAGGAATACTCCTAAGTGCTTTGCGGTCTATTTTGCCGTGCGAGTTCATGGGCATGCTTTGTAAAACAATAAACTGGGATGGCTGCATATAAGGGGGAACAGGGAGATTTGACTGGAGATTTGTCAACCACCCCTGGGGATTGGTGATGTGATGCTGAGAGGAGAAGACGATGTATGCAACTAAGAACTTTGACTCGTCCTCTCCGTGGGCTGCAATTACTGATTGTGAGATTGCGCCACCAGCCGTGTTCATAATGGCAGCCTCTATTTCACCAAGCTCGATGCGGATACCGCGGAGCTTGATCTGAGTATCGCCGTCGATCCTGCCTTCGAAATAAAGAGCACCATCTTCACCAAGATAACCCCGGTCTCCGGTGCGGTACAGCCGATTCTGTTTTGTGTTGATCGGTTGTACAGTATCAAATGGATTTTTGATGAATTTCTCCGCCGTCAGCTCCTCTAGTCCGAGATAGCCTGCTGCAACTCCCGGCCCACCCACAACAATCTCTCCGGAAACGCCGACAGGAGCAGGTTTCATTTGTTCATCAAGGATATATAACGAGTAGTTAGGCAGCATGTGGCCGGTGGGCAGGACCTGTTCTAAACCGACTTCGTTATAACGGATTTCGCTCTTAGTTATAGCAATGGTAGCCTCAGCTGGTCCATAGACGTCGTAAAGCTTAAGTGAAGGCAGTGCTAGTTTTGCGAAATCTCGGATGGTTGTCTTTGGCAGAACTTCTCCTCCCGTTAAGGCCCAGCGCCAAGCAGTGCATTGGGATAGATTGGCGGCACTCTCATGGTGCCACATGTTGTATTCCGTCGGTGTCGCTATCGTATAGCTCACGCTCTCATCTAACATGAGCTGGGTAATTGCCTCTGGATCGCCTCGCTTGTGGGACGGTACCACACATAGTGTTCCGCCATTCGCCAAAGCTGTAAAGATCTGATGCAGCGAGAGGTCAAAGCTTAGCGTAATTTGCTGTAGAACCACGTTGGGACCAACACCCCAAGCTGTCTCAATGCCTTCAGCATGTGCAGCGAAACATGAATGAGGCAGCTTGATGCCCTTAGGAACACCTGTCGAACCACTAGTGAAGAGTACGACGGCTGTAGAATCTTCTTTTGCAGCATTCCGAACCTCAGGGCAAGCCTCAACAGTTCGAATTTTTGAAACGTTAATGATCAATTCCCCGCTCAGCTGAAGCTCGGGAGCTTTGATCGCTGTCCACCGGTCGACTAGAATAGCATGAGGGCGGGCGACGTTGATAGAGCCTACAAGTCGATCGATGCCGTTCTTGAGGTCAAGGGGAATATATGTAGCTCCTGTTCTAAAGATAGCCAACATAGAGCACATCCAATCTGCACTAGGCTCTTGGAAGACGGCTACTACTGTGCCTTCTCCAACGCCTAGCTTCTTCAGTTCCCTAGCAATGGTGTTCATACGGTCAGCTAAGTCGGCATAGGTGAGAACATTTTCATAACTATCCTTGATAGCGGTAACTGAAGGATATAACTTTATGACCTGGTCGATCCGATGAGAGATAGTAGGAGGCCATGACAAGCTAAGCGATGGCCCTATGTGGTATTAGTAGATGACCCCTATCCAAGGCATTTGTTGTTTTCAACTTACCTTTGGCTACTGTCAAAGCAATATCAATGTCTTGTTGCGACCACACTGTCGGCTTATCGAGGGTGATATCGCCAACACCATCCGCAGTGAATTGCTTCAAAACGTGGACATATGTTCGAAGTAATAACTCAGTGTGATACTGAGAGTATAACGCATCCTGTAGCTTGAGGGTAATAAGTGTCTCCCCAGCATTTGTATCAAGTACTTCAAGCTGTAGATCGTAGCCAGTTGATGCATTGTTCCATGTGACTTCGGTGTCACAGCCAGCAAAGACCGTTTTCTGCTGTTCGCTCAACCGGTAGTCCATGAAGATCTGGAAGATTGGAGTGTGCTCTCCCGAGCGTGATATTTCAAGCGCATCCAATAAGACATCAAAAGGAACTTGGGAATGCTCGAGCGCCCCGTAGACTTTATTCCTAGAAGACTTCACTGCGTCGCCGAACTTGGTGTCATCCCCCCTATCGAATCTGATAGGGAGCAGGTTTACCAGGCATCCCAGTGTCCCAATGAACTTACTATCTACGCGGTTTGAGTCCGCAATACCGACGAAGACCTGGTCATTTTCCGGTAGCAAGCGGAAGATCAAAGCCTGAAGTACTGTCAGATAGACGTGGAAGTTTGTACAATGAAGCTTCCGCGCAAGCTGTTTAATAACCCTGGCCGTTTGGATATCGACGCTCATTTCAGCTTTATTTAATCTGCAAACTAGTTAGATCAAGTATACTCAAAACTGATTTAAATGCGATTACCTGTAAGTTGTCATGACTTTGCGCGCCTTGAGTTTGGAAAATGGGAAAAGCTCAATTGGTGTAGGATCCTCAGTGATGATCTTACGGAAGTATTCGATGTCTGGTTTCATCCGACCTGACTCGTGCTGGTGGCGCTGGTGTGCTGAAAATGCCCTGTATTGTGATTCGGGCAACATTGGTTCTAGCCGTTGGTTCCGATATGTCCTATCAACTTCGGACATGAAGATATGCATACTCTGTCCATCCATGGCAATGTGGTGACAACCAACAAGGAAATAATGGACATGCTCGGATAGCGATAACAACTTCATGAGTACTGCGCCTCCGTTTTCCAAATCATACGTGTGGTCGCGAAGTCGTTGGAGCTCCTCCATAGCCTCAGCTTCGGACGTAATTTGCCCCTTCTCCAGTTCGATCAAGGGCCTATAGCTAATTCCTTGGGTAGGGATTCCCGAGTCCCCAGCAGCCCAAAAGAAGGTTGTTTGGAATGCTTCGTGGCGCTGCATCACCAAATTTACAGCCCTCTCAAAAGTGCCCAGGTTGAATGGTCCCTTCATGCAAGCACATATCGAGAAATTGAATGGTGTCTTGTCTTTCAGGAGCTGGTGCAAAAACCAGAACCTAGTTTGACCATAAGACATCTCAGCTGTAGCCTTAAGGTTAGAGAGACTCGGCAGACTTATTATGATGCTCTGTTTATCGTCTCCAATATCATGCGGCTTTAGCAGAGGGGAAGATTCACTCGAAGATGGTGTGGCATTGCTCATCGCACTACTGGGGGTCAGCGTGGGTGACAAGTTGGGTGTGAATACAGGAGTTGTGCCAAGGCTGGATGCAGTAGTGGCCGTTATTGATCTTGAAACGACGGTTCGAGCTGGTGGGTGGATGTTTTCGTTGTTTTCCGCCGCGCTTAGGACCGTTGATTTGACGTGCTGCACGGATGGCGACTGTTGAATTGAAGCAATGGATGGGGGTGGAGATGATGTTGTAGGCAGGCCCGGCTTTCTGCTATCGGGGTTGCTGAGATTAACTAGAGTTTCTGGGATTTTGTCAACAGCAGTAGCAATCAAATCAGAAATAGAGCTTCCGCCGAGAACCTTTAGAACAGGAATGTCGACTTCAACCTCCTTCAGGAACCAAGAACGAATCTCCACAGCAACTAATGAATCAACACCCTGCTCGACCAGGGCTACTGAATCATCAACTGCATCTCCATCTGCAGTTTGAAGAACCCGCTTCAGCTTCATCAAGAATGCTTCTGTAAACTCTCATTAGTATTTTGACGTACGAGGAAGGTGTTACAGGAGCTAGCATACCTTGCACAATTGTTGAAACGTCTTCTTTGGTCTTTGCTTGCTGTAGCTGCGCCTTGACACGAAGCGCTACTTTACCAGTACCTGGGGTGGCATTGTGGTCCTCTTTAATGATGAAGTGAGAAAACTTCACATCCCTCCGGTGGGCTTCTTTTACCTGAACATCCACGGGAACGTAGTTAACGCCAGTGATCACCTCAGCCTGTTCAGGGCAATTGGGACGACCAGAGATAATAGCCTCGGCGAACAGGGTACGGAAATCATGCTCTGATATAGTGATGTAGCCGATCGAGCTGAAGTAACCGAAATCAAAGTTGTCGCCTTGCGCCGCGTAACCCACACCAGCTACTGCAGGGATATCCATCGAAGATCCAGCTACCCCTCTTTTCTTTCTTTGATACATCATTGCAGTCATGAATGTGTTAGCGGCACTGTAGTTGCTCTGCCCGGTAAGCCCTGTGATGGCAGTGATCGAAGACGTAACAATGAAGAAGTCCAACGGCGTGCTGTAAAAAAGTTCGTCGAGGAGCTTTGTACCTTCAACCTTCGGCCTGATAACTTTCTGGAACTGCTCATATGTCATAGTGTCAAACAAACCATCTTGAAGAATCATAGCGCCATTCATTACGCCAGCGATCTCCGGCATGGTCTTCACGATTTCTTTATGGCACTTGTAAAGCGATCTTCTACTGGTCACGTCACTAGAGCCCACAAGTATCAGTACGAGGGAGATTTTGCCAGGGATTTAATACAGTACACTTACAGAGACAGCGTCTTTACGTTGGCGCCCCTCCGCTTCATATCCTCAATGAACTTGGGGTTGACTTTCGGGTTCCGGCTGCTGAGAACAATATTCCTAGCTCCGTGAGAAACCATCCAGGCAGAAAGTGACTGGCCAAGTTCACCAGCCATGCCAGTAAGCCAGTATGTCTTGTCAGATTTGAAGAGAATGCCGGTATCTATTGGTAGAACCTTGGCACTGATAGATGGCGCTGTCCAGTCAAAGATAGCAAAAGGTTCTTCACTTTCTGATCCCATGGAGATACCCTTGGGGTGTGGGAGCTTGGATGGGCTGGCTTGGGTTGTCTTGGAGTGGTAAACCCAGGCGCGGAAAAGCGCGCGACTAACGGTCTCTGGATCGATGCTAGGGAGGCTCTGAGCTTCGTTGCTTAGGAATGAGGAAATCGAAACGGACATGCACCGTGCGGGTAAACACGTAGCTATGAGGCGTTGCGTCGCCGTTGAATCTCTCCCGCCTACGAAGCTCACCATTGCTCCAATAGAAGCAGGGAGTGTATCTTGCACATTAGACCGGGATGATTCCGGGTGAAAGAATATGACATCTTCATGGCTTGAAGGGTAAGCCGTGGTGAAGTAAGGTTCGACGTTCTTCTCACGAGCCAAAAGCTGCACTGTGGGTATAATAGCTACATCAGGTTCGTGTATCAGAATCGCATCCCCGCCAAACACTAGATTGGTGATACTGTCGGCAATGAAATAGGCTGCCAACGTGACAAGTAGTTCCTCAAGCTCGACTAGCTCTAATGAGCCTATTTCACGCTTCACACACCATTTTGAGGGTATCACTGCGGGCGATTCGTCCGAGCTTGAGAGGGCTACCACTGGCTCTCCATTGTCGATGTCGAAGCCTGCACAAAGCCTGAAAAATCCGACACTGTCAATTTTTATAGACTTAAGGAGGGAGTGTGTGATGCGAATAGTGCGACAGTCTGCCCTGGCGCTAGCGGGTTGCCGTAAGGGGGATATATGTTGCAATTCGCAGGCATTGTCAGATCCAACGAGACGAACTGTCCCGACAGCAGCATTGATATCTCTATAAATCGTCCTTCGTTGAGAGTTATATCGGTCATTTTTTTCTTGATTAGGCAAAATCCTGCTAATCATAGCACGGCCGTCTTGGATGGAGATTTCGGGCTCAATACTCCATAAGATGCGCGCTGCATCTTCTCCCCATGAGGTCAAGAGATAGTGTCGGATGAAAGCTTCGGTTAGTAGGAGGGAAGTGCCATTGTCGAGAGTGTCGATGTCGAGCATCTGGAGATTGATATTCGGGTATTCTGTTTTGATAGCTCGTCCGACACCCATCATCATGTAGGAATATGGCTCTCCAGATCGAGCGTTACGAGTAACCCAAACAATCGAACCACCGATCCTCCAAAGGCATTTTAGACTTTCGAACTTTTCCTGAGAGTTATTCTTCATATATGGTTCGTCCAGGTCGGTTAAACAGAGAATGCTCATACCCTGGGCTAGTGTTCCTTGAGCTCTGGACATTTCCTCAAGTGTCTCAAATACTGTGACCTCCGAAGATAGTGGCGCGAGATGTGCTGTTATCTCCTCCACTAGCTGATAAACTGGTAACGTAGAACCCCCGATAATAGCTAGAGAGCCGGTACGAGCACCCAGCTGATAACTAGCTGTCATAGGGTCGCGAAGTAGAGACACGCGATCATCTATAGCTTGGGATACGAATACCGCGAATGGTAGAAAAGAGCTGGTATCCGGCGTAATACTATCAATACCAGAGAAGCCTGTTTGTTCAAGCACATGGCTCCATTCATTCAGCGTCAAAGCTGAGTCCCATGGACCTGGCAGAGTTCCAATAGTCATTCCGCTCAGAAGATGCTCGCTATTCGTCAATTCAAGTGTTAAAAGATAACCACCTGGTTTCAAGAGCCGTCGAATGTGAGCTAGAGAACTCTCTACATCTGATGAAGTATGGAGGACATTTGCAGCTATAATAACATCATAATGCTGCTCGGAAAACCCCTGCTCGGTTGGCGGCTTCTCCATGTCAAACGCCTTGTAAATCATGCGATTCGAGAACTTTTCGAAGCGTTTCTCGGCCACAAGAAGATTTTCCGGGGTGCTGTCGGTAAACGTGTAGGAAGAGAATGAATTTCCTAGAGTCGAGAGGATCGACTCTGTGGCGGCCCCAGCCCTGGCACCAATTTCAAGTATGTGAATACTTGGATAGCGCTTCGCGATCTGCGCTGCGATATGTGCTAACCAGCGGTATGATTTGGCTGTGTATTCGTTGTCGTAAAACGTGCTCAGTAGATCATCTTGGTTCACGTGGTCTTGTATGCTTGTACCTGCTTGTATAACCTCGACAAGATGATCACCAACAGTCTGGATACAGCGAACATCGCTTCTTCCTTTGTATTTATCCACGATTGCGCTAATGTGTGCACGAGTGTCGGACATAGCCTCTGGAAACACCACCATGTGTTCCCCTCGCGACACTAGATCTACAACGCAATCACACCACCTTAGGTAGTGTTGATAATGAGGCAGAAGATTACCTCTTTCTTTTATGGCATGTGCCGTATTATGGACATGCCAAAAAGCGATTCGGCTGATGTTTTTATAGAGCTCAGCATCTTTCTCGGACAACGAATCTTCTTCGGCTACAGCAATACCATCTGGACTTGCGAGGCAATACTGAAAGCTGGAGAACATTGGGACATCGTTGGCTGCAGAGGCAGGCGAGAAAGGAACGAGCTTCACTCCCTCGAATTTCACAAATGAGTGGCCGCTGTATTCCGTAGTGAGATGGATGTCAGCTTCCATCGAGGAGCCATAACGAGCGCGAACAAGGGCGTCGTATTTCATGGTTTTCTGCTTCCCAAGAGCCATTGGTGTAAAATAGGGGTTGACGACTATTGAGGTAACGTGTGTGGGGATATGTAGTGACCAAAGCTGCCCATCACCAGGGAAGGATACGGCTGCAAATGCAGTTTGTAAAGCAGAGTCGAGCATACCCGGATGAGCAAGAACATTGTCTTCCCAGTTAGAATCGGACTGATCTATTAAAAGGCCCGTGGAATACTCTGGCTTGCGCCTGATCAACGACACTCCTTGGAACGGTGGCGAATACTCATAGCCAATGCGATTAAGGTCTGCGTAGAAACGAGTAATGTCCACGTCAACTAGATTATAAGCATTTGTTGAGAAGCCAGGCAGAACATCAGCCCTAGCAGCTCCAAGATGAACAGTCGCGTACCCCTGAGCGTGTAATACAGGGGTCTGATCACTAGGAAGAAGCGTATGGCAAGCGAATTGAGCTGTGATAACGTGTTCTTCCCTGCTTATTGAACTGACACTGAATATAGTCTCAATGCCAGCTCCGTCATCATTAATTGAGATAGCGCGATTGATGTCAAGATCTGAAATTTTAAAATAGCTGATCTCATCCTGGCCCGCCAAGAAGTTCATAGCTTCGATCGCCATGGACACATAGCCGGTAGCTGGAAATACAGTTTGGCCTTGGAGCTTGTGCCCCTTTAACCAAGAGATCTCGCTAGGATGTAAAAAATTTCTCCATTGTACCTCTTTTGTTGTTGTAGCCATTGTACACAAAGTGCCAAGAATAGGATTAGGAGACTCTTTCCGATTCTTGTGGGAGTTTGAGATTCTCGAGCTAGTCCAGTAACTTCTATGGTGGTCAAATGGATATGCTGGAAGACCAGCCAGTATGCCATACGGGGCAGATGATTCAGATAAAAGTGACTGAACTGCAGCGAGCTTCACTTGGTCGGGCCCTAGGCGAGTCCACAGGAACCCGAGGAAGTTTGCAAGTTCTTCGACGTCGCTTTGACCTCTTGACAAAACTCCCGTGTATGGAACTGTGAATCCTAACTCTTCTAAATTCGCTGTCGCTGGCCCTTTAAGCGCGGGGTGAGGGCCAACTTCAATTGCCAGATCGAATTGGCCATAGGTCGAGACGGCTTTAGCTAATGCACTAGAAAATAGTACAGGGCTACACATGTTATCTACCCAGTAACTCTCGTCAAGTGTATTTGCTGACATCTGAACACCGTCCATTACACTTGAAAACCATACTGGACCAGTGAATGTGCCTGGTTGAATAAGCATTTCTTTCATGGAGTTCAAGTAGGGCTCACTGCAAGTTAACATGTGCGCTGAATGATAGGCTGTGTCGACCTTTAGCTTCCGGGCAAAGACCTCTTTTTGCTTGAAATGGCTGTAGGCTTCGTCGATTGCATCCATGTCTCCAGACAAGGTAACGCTAGACGATGAATTGACTGCGGCAACTGCAATACGACCAAAGAATGTCTCTTGCTGGCAAAATGCGACGGCATCTTCATGGGACATGCTAACAGCCATCATAGATCCCTTCGATCCATTGGGGGAAGCAGCTAATTTGGCATATAATCCGCGATAATAGGCGATTCGAATGGCATCAGTGGCCGATAAGAGACCTGCAGCATATGCGGCTCCAATCTCTCCCGATGAGTGGCCAACTACTGCAGTGAAACGTATACAGGCGGTTTGCAGTATATCCACTAGGAGGATCTGAACTGCGGTGCACAAGGGTTGAGAGAGCGCAGCTTCGCCGATACGTGATGTCTCCGCGTCAGCGAGGAGTTCATGCAGTATTGTCCAGCTAGGGCGATCTTCTTCTGGAAGACTCTGGAGCGCCTCGTCAAGTTCTGCTATCCTACGCTTAGCAAAGGGAGATGACTCAACCAATGTAGCGCCCACTAGATAAACACCAAGGTTAGTTACAATCTCTTCGTACAGCAAAGCTAGTTCTTCGAACTCTGATTTCTTTATATATCCGTGATAGTCCGCGCCCGGACAGTTGCTCACAATAGCAGGTAAGAGTGAAATACTTACTACGTGGCCATTGTGCACCTTGCCCAGTAAAAACACCCAAGACTAGAGGTGTATGTGAAAAGCTCGATTGCCGTGCGCTCAATTCAGGATGCTCACTCGTTGTTGAATTCTCAAAAGATGCTAATTTATTTAGGAGAGTATCAAGGTTTGCACCGGCAATTGCTTTGCGGTAGGGTAATGTAGAGCGGTGTTCCTGCAATGTCCAAGCCAAATCCTCCAGCTTCATATCAGGATTACAGCGTAGGTGTGCAGAATGATCAGATAGCATGTTGAGTAGCGCCTTCTCAGACGCTGCAGAGAATGTGAGAGGAGTGAAAAGAGCCGGCGTGGTGTAATGATCAAGAGACGGTTTTGGGGACTCGTATGCTTCGACTATGGCGTGCGCATTGGTGCCTCCAAAACCAAAACTGTTAATGCTTGCACGTCTAACTTGACCGGGGCTGAGTTTGGGCCATGGAATGGCATTTGTTGGGATATGGAGGTTCTTATAAAAAGGCTCAACTTTCGGACTTAACGAAGAGAAATGCAAGTTAGGGGGGATTACCCCGTTTTGCATTGCCAAAGAAGTCCCAATCAAAGATGCCAGGCCCGCACAACCTTCAGTATGCCCGATTATGGTCTTAATGGAGCCGACATATAGTTTTTGATCAGTTTCAAAGTCCGTTGGAAATAAAGAAGACTCGATTGCCTGGGCCTCTTGAGGGTCTCCAGCTTGAGTCCCTGTGCCATGAGCGTGGAAAAACTGAGGCCTGTCTTGAGACTTGCGTATGTCGAGGCCGGCGCGGCGATATGTGTCTCTAATCAAGGCGGCTTGAGCGAGATTGCTTGGCATTGTCAAGCCAGTTGTACGACCGTCCTGATTCACACCTGTTTCACGTATCACGCATTCTATAGGATCGCCATCGGCAAGCGCCTGACGAAGAGTCTTGAGCACAATTGCGGCAATCCCTTCACCACGTGCATAGCCATCAGCCTTAACATCCCACATGGCACAGCGACCCGTGGGCGAAAGCATACGGAGATTGGTCTCCGATATGTACATGTCTATCTCGATTAGTCAAGATCGTGAGTAGTAGTATAAGAGGTATAGACGCACTGGGACTGAGGATGAGGTTCGTTCCGGCTGCCACAGCAACCTGGGACTCTCCGTTACGGAGAGCTTGGACGGCGTGATGAACTGCAACGAGGCTTGAAGAGCATGCAGTATCAATTGTCATAGAAGGCCCGTGCCAATCAAAGCAGTATGAAACTCGGTTCGACATTACAGCACGACTCGTTCCGGTGGCAGCATATGTTGGGAGAGCTTCCAAATCACTGGAGACCATTGTTGACCAGTCATCACACATCATTCCGACGTAGACGGCAGTAGAAGAGCCGCGCAGCTTTTCCATCTTCATGCCAGCAGAACATAGTGAATCGTATACTGTCTCCAAAAGGAGACGTTGTTGGGGGTCAATAGCCTCGCTCTCCAATGGCTGAATGTTGAAGAACCCGGCATCAAATTGCGAGATGTCTTGTTCAAGGAAGTATGACTTTGTGGCGTTAGTAGTGCCATGATGTGTAGCCTCTGGATGATAGAATTTGTCGACATTAAACCTGCTGTTAGGCACTTTTGTAGATAGGTCCCGCGGGTTCTGTAACAGCTCCCATAGTTTAGAAGGGGTGTTGGACCCCCCAGGGAATCGGCATCCGCTTCCCACAACCGCAATAGGTTCTTGTATCGTCGGCATGATGCCGTTACAATGAACCCAATTGAGGTTCTAGGAAAGGATAACTTTCTAGACACTTGTTTTACGGATGTGCTGCGGACATAGCTGAGTTATGGGATGATTTAATAGTGAAGAATCAAAACGTCTGCTTGGGTTCCAAGCCGCCGGGTCCCCTAGATATAGACAAGGGTGAAGAAGTCCTCGTGAGACCCCGGATTAGTGTAACCAATCCCTGACAACGCCGCATAGAGAAACTCCGTGCTAACCTAAGTGAGGAACTGGGGCTCGTGGGGTTCAGAATTCCTTTACTGTTCTCATAGTGTAGGTACTTAGGGAAGTAATTTTAGTTCACCAGGAATAGATTGCTCGGGAGGATCCCATGGCTCGTTGAAATTTATATTCCAAATGGGAATCTGACCCATCTGGTATGGTTCGTACAATTCTGTGGCACCTGACGTGAAGCTCTCTTCTTCACCATCATTATATCAGCATCTCTAATTCAGCTAGTCGCCATCGAGAAACTTACCCCGAAAGTAGCCCATGATGTTGAAAGGGTTGATATTATCAAGATCCATGGTGCCTGTGAAGTCTAAAGACGAGGACTGCGGACTAGGAGGTGATGAAACTTGGCCCAGTTCTTTTTTAAACAGAAGTGTAAGAATTTCAGAGGCTTTGCGAGCATCACGAGAAGAGCTACTTAACCTAGACCATATATCATGAGCCCTTTTAAGAGCCATCTTTATCTGATCTTCAGTACTTGCGGCGTTATCTGGCCATAGCCTCTCGACGCCATGGTGGAGTATCCAGCATAGGATCATAGTCGCTGTTAGAAATTCGTGATGTAGGAAAGAGGATACTCTCCATCGTATGCTGTGTAAGAGGCCGCCTGGTCGAGTTTCTTCATCAAATATTTGCTGCATATCTACAAGTTGTAAAGAGGCATCGAGACAAGCATTACGAGAGTAAACAAAGGACACATCGTCGCCTTCAGCATTGCGCGCATTCAGATATTTCCTGTGCAGTATAATCGTGCCCTTATGGAACATGGTGGAAATAAAGAGTCGATGCATGATGACTTGCGGAGCGTCAGTTACTGATAAATGAAGAGGCTTCATCTTCAAGGGGGGTGGGATGTTCTCTTTCGCAGTTTGCAGAATGCGATCAACTTTCATGACTTCACTGTACGGTATAGGTACCACCGCAGCTGTTAAATCAATCGCCACACCCACAGCCCTGAACACTTCTCTCCTAGCGATAATATGTAATGAAGTGGTCATCTCGGTGTCGGGCCTACTTGGAGGGAGCACTTCCGTGTCCTCATCAAATTCTGTATCATTCAAGTTTCGAGGCTTTGACACGTCACACTGCCATTCCTTGATGAGGCGTGGCATTCCCATTTGGGTTGAAATGAGTATGTCACCCTGTAGAAGCGTAGCCCACATGCGGCGTCGCATCTCTCCGACGAATGGGGATATGCCAGGAAAGTTGGAAGAGTCACGATGATAACCCATTCCCATAGCAAGGTTCACAATGATACCAAGCAGAAGCCAGGTATTCTTGTCTGCATCTTTCCGGACAGAATACTCTATTGTAAGGTAATGGAAGAGTGTTTCCATGACGTACGGTCCTTGATTAGTGTATTGCCCGATGGTAAGACATTGGACGATCTTCTCACGATATAGGTCTATTGGGGGACTATAGTCCTCCCCTGCCCATGTATCGGCGGTTTCATCAGCTAGGGCTGAAAGGCAAAGCATGGAGAAGAGAAGGCCTATCCAAATAATGGGGGCTTCGAGAGGTGCCATCCAGAATTTCTCATACTGTCTAAGTCAGCCATTGGGACACGTGGTATTGAAGACAAGTTTTGCATGTGAGGGTTACCTCGCGGAGAAACTGGGTACTATGCACTGCAGCTAAGCGGTCACAAGTCATTAGCTTTCAGCTATTGGATGACTGGGGACCACTGAGAGCATATTACTCACATGGTGCCAAGTCTAGCATATTGAAGTAGCGTGATATACTACGATCAACTGAGGGTCTCGGTGGTAGAGTGCCTAGAATAGCATCTTTCGAGATAGGCTGACACCCATACAGTAATTGGGGGTGGGAGCGTCGTGGGCCGCTACCTTGCTGGTCGGCGTCCTCTTTGAGATCAGCTATGCCGTCAAGAATAGCAGCCCAGTGAGTCCCGCCGACATACCGAGACTCGTTAGCACTCAACCACAAGCTGCCATTGTCCGAAGGAGTCGATACAGCAGTAGGTGGGCTAAAGACCTCCTCAGTGCTCTGCTGTGGCACACCAGTATGCGGGACACTAGTCTGGGATAAGGTCTGGGTCTGGGTCTGGGTCTGGTTCTGGTTCTGGTTCTGTATGACATTCATGACAAGCTGCTCTAGCTGGACAAGACGGTCCTGGACACTCGGTCGGGCAACATGAGGCTGAACTAATCCAGGTTTATTGATGTGCGCATATGAGCACGCGAGCGACAGGCCGCGGGAAGAACAAGTCTGGCAAGGCTGTTGACGATCGCAACGCAACCTAGTGATGTGTCAGCGAGCAGCATATGGTGCTGTCATGCCGCACTAAGAGCGCCACTATGGCACAATATGTTGATTGCAGATAAAAATGGATGACTGCCGAGGTCCCAACGCTCGTTGACTCACTTTCGGCGACGGCATAGGTTGCAGGACAACGTTGGCTTTGCCCGTCGGCCACTGCCGCCCTGTCCTGGACCTGGCGACTGTTCTGGGTGAACGGAATTTGGAGGAACCGGGTCTTCCATTTTGGGCCACGAAGTCGAACGTTCGGTTCCGCGACTTTGGTGAGAACACTGTAGTTGAAGAAATAGAGCCACGACGTATTCACGATGAGAACAGTAGCTCAGAGAACGGGCAAAAGGATCAGCTGGTAGACTAAGAATAGAAGGATCCCACAAGGCCAAGGCGAGAGTAGGCTACACTAGCGTACTAGTGCTTCTCGTCTCTTCCTTTCTATGAAAGGCCCGGGATTAAAAAGGAAGATGGGGACATGAGTTGGAACTCACAACGCGCCGGAATTGAAATATCATCTCAGTGTATCCATTGTTGTGTGGTGGCCTGAGCAGACAGTCGGGGATTTCTATTCCCAGCTCTGACAACGCTTGACTAACCTACCGAGTTTAGACTAGCCTAGACTATTATCGTCAACCCCTAAAGTTACTTACTGACACTTACAGTAGCTCCGGCCCGTTAGGTCGGTATGTGGGGTCTATCTCCGTCGTCCGCGGGAGCGGCGTGTAAGTACCTAGGTAGGTAGTTCCATTGGTTCTCACTTCACCAAATACGGCCTGTACGGTGTAGTAATTATTCTAACCTGCTTCGTACAATATTCACATTGCCTCTAACACTTACTTCAGTAAATATGTTACTGTTGCGCACGTCTCATCGCCTACCTACATACCTAAGGTAAGTAGTGTATATCACAGTGGGTAGATACTTGGTAGGTATGTACCTGGGTACACTAGGCAGTATGTAGGGCTTGGTATTTAAAATAGCAGCAGAGTATGTGTCCACATATGTACCCAGTACTTACTCCACCCATAGGCTAAAGACCTCACTAAAGCTGGAAGGTAAGACAGCCCTGGTAGGGCGTAGCCTCTGGGCGCAATTTGGCAACAATGCTTATTGATCCGCAGGGTAGAGCCGCCTAGTCTAGGTATATTCACATTATTTGGGCATCCTTTCATTTCTCGAACGCCGTGATTATGCAGTTCGTCCACTTAAACCTAGGTAGCTGAACAGAAGTGCTTATACCACACAGCTGCTTACTCTTTCTCGATGTTCGTCCTAAATGTAATGGGTAGTGTGAAGCGCCTGAGCGATGTCCGCGGACGGAGCAAACCCTCTGCGGGCCATCTGACAGAATCCCTTTCATCTGAGCCGCGCTTCAAGATACATCCGCGGCCATGTTCGCGGAGCACGGAGATCAGTATCTGCTAGTAAGAAATAAAAGTAAAGACAATATGTCTCGGTGCTGAATTGGAGAGAATTGCCTATTTACTGAACCAAGCCGTCAATGAAAACTCATCAATTCCTCGACGCGGCTTGACGACGTGAGACTCCAGTTCAGATGTCACCCTCACTAGATTCCACGATTGACTTGGAGCTTACCGAGGGTTTCGCCGTTCGAGATGTAGGAAACAAGGACAGCACCGACGTGGAAGCTGGCCGCATCAGCTTAAGGGCACTCTCCAAGCAAGAGCCTCTTCTGGTAGACTGGTCTGGGCCTGATGACCCCGAGAACCCGCAGAACTGGCCGGGCAAGAAGAGCTTCGGACATGTCATCATCGTTGCCGTGCTGTCCATGATCGTGAATATCGCCGCCACCGCCGTGGCTCCCGGTGTCTCCGGCCTAGTGAAGGACTTCCATATCCAGAGCGAGACGGTCGCAACTCTAACCGTGACCATCTACCTGCTTGGTTTCGCCCTCGGCCCGCTCTTCATCTCTGCCTTCTCGGAGATGTACGGTCGCTTGGTTGTCTACCACGCCAGCAACTTAGTGTTCATCGCATTCGTCATCGGTTGCGCCTTGAGTCGTAACACCGCCGAGTACTTCGTTTTCCGATTCATCTCAGGTTTTGCAGGCGCCGCCCCCGTGACCATCGGAGGAGGTACCATTGCCGACGTAATACCGCTAGAGAAGCGCGGGCTCGCAAGCGCTCTTTTTGGGCTTGGACCTCTTCTCGGACCTGTGTGTCTCTTTATCTCCCTCGTGCGCACATATTCGATAGATACTAACACACATCATAGGTTATTGGTCCCGTCGTTGGGGGATTTTTATCAGCAGGCCCGGGATGGCGCTGGACATTTTGGCTTGTCGCGATTCTAGTACGTCCGCGTTGGTCCTCACTTTGAGTACATACTCTGTGAAAGTTATCGCTGACTATGTAATAGAGCGGTATCGCATCTATTGGCACTTTTATTTTCATGCGCGAAACGCATCCGAACATTCTTCTAGAACGCAGAGCTGCCCGACTGCGTCGTGAGACGGGTGACCTAGCGATCAAATCCAAATTCGACAAGGGCCTGAAGGGGAGCCAGGTCCTGTTCGCGTCGCTGGTTCGCCCAACCCAACTCCTGATTTTCTCGCCGGTCGTGCTCATCATGTCAATTTTCGTCGCTCTCGTCTTCGGCTTACTTTACCTACTATTTGCAGCATTCTCCCCCTTGTTCGAGGACATTTACGGCTTCAGTACCGGCGTTTCAGGGTTATCTTACCTAGGTATCGGCATTGGTGAGCTTGTTGGTCTCGTCGTGTTCGGGGCGTTAAGCGACAAGATATTACAGAAGCGCATGGCAGCCGACAAAACCTCTGAGCATAAACCAGAATATAGACTCATCATGATGATCTGGTTTTCGCCTATCATCGGTGGGGGACTATTCCTTTTTGGCTGGACTGCTCAGTACCACATACATTGGATTGTCCCCATCATTGGAACTTTCTTGGTCGGATACGGCTCATTCTTTGTCATCGTGAGTTATCCGTGAGTTTTATGTTCTATTGATCAGCTGCTGAAGCATACATATCTAGCTGCCGTCGCAACTGTATCTAGTCGACTTATTTGGCTCCGAGGCCGCCGCCAGCGCGCTCGGGGCTAATACGCTTCTCCGTTCACTCTCCGGTGCTTTTTTGCCTGTAGCAGGTCCTAGCCTGTGTGAGTCAAGTCTCTCCCTTATCCCCCCATCCTGGTACCCAACTTAAAAGTCTTCCCCGCTCCTACCAGGCAGTACTATGGTATAATACCCTTTATCGCAAGCATTTCTAACCCTCGAATCAGTTTCTACTCTGGGCTATGGTTGGGGAAACACACTTCTAGGGTTTCTCGCCTTGGGCTTTGCTGCAGCCCCGATCTTTTTCTATAAGCGAGGGGAATGGCTGCGCAGCAAGACAACTATAAAGTTTTGAATGCAGCTTAGAAACCATGCCGTGATCATCAACTCAGCTTTTGGTAGTTTAGACACGATCAACAATAAAGACATTTATGATATTCATTGTATTCTAACGCAGATTCTTATATGAGGGTTCATGAAGAATAGCTTCCAATTGAGCGCTCTTCCGGTTGGTGTATTCTCCCCAATCGTTTTTATCAATGCTACGTGTCGTAGAGCGGTGCATGAAACGGGGCGAGAGACTTCTAAACTTTCTCTGGTATACGAATGAGAGCGCAGAATCCCTTCAAGAAATCATGACAGATGCTTTTGACTCTCACCGTCATCATAACATTGTCCTAGCAAGTTATGTCCGGAAACGGCGTTTGGTGTGGAACAGACTTCTAAATAAAGCTCAGAGCCGGCCGCTTCCCGCTCCCCTCGACATTCTCGCGAACATCAAACGCCCTTTCATTCAAGTCATAACTGAATATTCCTCACCCCAAGCTGCGTTTGAAAATGGGAGAGCCTTACTTGTAGGCAACGCTTCATCACTATAGACCACATACGGCTTTCAGTGCTACACAGGCGGCTTTACACGCGTTATGCATTCAACGGTATGTCAATGAAGATATGTCTTTATGTATTGCGTTATGCTGTACTACACTCGTCGCAGAGTGCGCTCTACAGTAAATTCTATCAAAACTGCATAGGCATAACGTTGATGGCAGGTTTGCGCTAAATTGGTTCTATTGTGTAATTGACAAGTTACGTCTTTGCTGAACCGCGATAAGCCTCTTCTCAGGTCGACGATGAAAGTGGGAAACCCACAGTGAAGATGATCAGCAGCATAGGTAGCCCAATAGGTAATGATTCCGTAATGTTTCAATTCGCAGTATGATGGGGAATAGCTCCAACGCGCACGAAGTGTTATGTTTGACCATGTGCATTGTGTAATAATCTGCAGATATTTCAAACGAATAAAATTCGTGGTTATTTATAACCTCAACGTCAAGTACCTATGTGTTGGAACAGTGCTTGAGAGCCTGCATTAGACCGATGTCACACAAAGGCGGGGTGACACGTTTTCCTCCAGGTAAATAAGAGTGCTTCCATCTCATTGTCTCAAACGTCAAAAATGATGCAGTTAGACGTTCGAGCAGTCTAACGGTTATTATATAGCCCCACCTACGTCCAACACATTGTTCCCGAACTTTTCTCCTCCGTCAACCATGATCATTCTTTCAACACTACCCTACAAAGACGCCTATTGCAATAGTGACCATGCCCCTGTACACGAAACTCCCCACCACCATTGATGAGGTAGATATCATCATTGCAGGAGGTATGATCAGACGTCCAGTCGAACTTTGGCAAGCGCCTCTGACATAACTTGAAGGTGGCACGGCTGGGTGCATTGTTGCATCTAGGCTGAGTGACGCGGACCCTAGCCTCTCTGTTCTGCTCATCGAGCGTGGTAGCAACAATTATGAGTTACCTAATATTACGAAGCCGGCATTCATGTTCACTCATGTCATACCTGGCAGCAAGACGACCACATTCCATAAGGGCAGCAAGGAAGAGCAACTGACAGATAGGGAAGTCATCGTGCCCTCGGGTAAAATTCTGGGAGGGGGTTCGTCAGTCAACTTCCTGATGTATACCCGTGCGCAACGATCCGACTTTGATTCTTGGCAGACGCCTGGATGGTCTGCTGATGATATGTTGCCATATCTGAAAAAGGTACTTCAAGGCTATAGATCCTGATCCCCATGCAGAAAGATGGAACTGACGGAAGATAGCTTGAAACATATCACGGGTCTGGTCCAAAGGACCGCCATGGATACGAAGGCCCTGTTCACGTCTCAGGAGGCACTTATCGTGTGCCTAGGTCGGAAGATGATTTCATAGCTGCAGCCAAAGGTGTGGGATGGACTGAGCTAGAAGATGCCCAGGATTTGGATTCCAACAATGGTGTACAGCGGGCAATGCGCTACATCTCCCCGGATGGCCAAAGACAGGACGTGGCCCACACCTACCTTCACCCTAGACTTCGTGATGGCAAGCATCCAAATCTACATGTAGTCGTAGAATCGCAGGTGGTTCGGATTCTGTTCGAGAAGCAGAAAGCTACGGGCGTTGAGTACGTTTCAGATCCAGATGCAGATCTCCAGCCCAGTCCGACCCAGGTGCAGGATTCCGTGCGACGTATACGTGCCAGGAAGCTTGTTATCGCTTCGTGTGGAACTTTTGGGACACCCACTCTCTTGGAGCGGTCTGGCATTGGCAACCGAGAGATTCTCAACCGTGCCGGTGTGTCTGACGTCGTTGCTCACATACCAGGAGTTGGTGAAGCTTACAACGATCATCACTTAATGGTGTACTCCTATCGCTCAAGTCTCGCACCTGAAGAAACGATGGACGCTCTCGCAGGCGGTCGTTTGGATCCCGGAGAGCTAATGAAAAACAACGACAAGATACTGGGCTGGAATGCAATGGATATCACTTGCAAACTACGCCCAAGCGAAGCTGATGTCGCTTCGTTGGGTCCTAATTTCCAAGAAGCCTGGGACCGCGACTTCAAGACCAACACAAATAAGCCTCTAGTCCTCATGTCTCTGATTAACACGTGAGTTTTAATACCATCGCGGATCTTGATATCTACCGATACTAAATGTCAGCAGGTTTCCATCCCTTCCGATCGGCCTCCCAGTGGGACAGTATCTGGCGGTATCTGCCTTTTCTATCTACCCTTATTCGCGGGGCCGCTTGCATATCACAGGCACCGCTCTGAGTGACCCTATTAACTTTGTAACGGGATTCTTTTCTGACCCCCAGGGTATCGACATCAAAAAGTGTGTCTGGGCTTATAAAAAGCAGCGTGAAATAGTCCGCCGCATGGAGAACTATCGTGGCGAAGTTCCGGCAACGCACCCACCGTTCCCGGCCGAATCCAAGGCGGCCTGTATCGAAATAGGAGAGCCCATTGGACCCACTGTGGTCGACATCGAATACACGCCTGAGGACGATATGATCATTGAGCATTGGCTACGCGAGAACGTGGCCACAGCATGGCACTCGTTAGGCACGTGTAAGATGGCGCCTCTCGATAAGATGGGCGTGGTCGATGCCAACCTCAACGTCCATGGTGTTAAAAACTTGAAAGTTATCGATTTAAGTATCCCTCCACTAGATGTAGCTGCAAATACTAATAACACGGCTATGGCGATCGGTGAGAAAGGGGCTGATATTTGCATTGATGAGTTAGCTTTGGCTTGAATCAGTCATCGGATGGAGAGTTTTGGAAGTACATTGAGTATATTGTCTGGCGATTTGATATAGTCTTGTGGGGGTGCGTAGTCAATGGAAGTGAGCCAGCGCCACATAGAGAGGTGATCAGTTGAGGTCTATTCAGATGATACTCTAAGTTCTAGCCTGCGATCTTTCCCCTGGAGATCTCCTTATTAATAGATAATCTCCGCAAAAGGTTCTACCGCACTGTATCCAATCCTCCGTGATATATAGTTAGTTATCTCTTACGACAACTTGGGGTGTGAGAGTTTACTCAAGAAACCTTAACCGCTCGCCTCGCCTGGCCCGTCAATCAATATTTCAGTTATTCACTCCGGCTTACTGATGAAAGGGGAGTGGCTTGAATCGACCTCGATTACCTTGTCAATCCCATGAGAACCACTTGCTTTGGCCGCATCGATGAAATCAGCAACTACAGTTGATAGCTTGTCCTTCAGCGTCAAAATGTACATCGTCGCGATAATGCGCTAAGCGGCACTCGTTGCGGTGTCCCAATATGACCCTAGGCTCTGCGGGCGCAACTCTTTTGCCAGTGCGGCGACTGTGTCATCGTCTATATCTTGGTAGAACATAGGTTCAGGGTCTTCCGCCATCACAGTGACTCTGCCTTTCTAATAGTCCCTCATTGTTAGCTGGAGGCCAATGAGAAAATGGGAAACACACTAACCTCCATGTCAGTCTTCATCTCCGGTACCATGCTATCGCGTGTACCACGAGGTAAATGTTGGGATCCTTCTAGCACCAGGAATGCGGTTATATAGATTAGCCTCACGACGCCACCTTTCCACCCCTTCGTAGCGCACGCGATCTTGTCAAGACCCTCTAGCGCTGTACCGCCCGTCATACCGCTGAAACTTTGCATGCCAACCACAACATCCCGCTCCACAACCAGTTTGGAAATCGTTCGGCAGATGACTTCGATATCTTGATCCCAATTCGGAGTAGGAGGTGTAGTGCCACTTGATGGGAGGTTAGGGGCAACAGCGGCATAGCCCACCCTTTCGAGCTCGGGTATAAGGCGATTCTAGCATTGGGGGCTGTGCCAGGCGCCGTGAAGAAGCACGAATATCGGTGAAGTCATTTGGCGTGGTAGGTGATGCAAATGAGCTGTTACTCAGTCTCAAGCCGATAGCCCCTGAAAAATCGTCATATTGTAGAAGCGGAAGAGAAGATCGCCCTGGATAATCTGAGGGGACTGGAATGGTATGGGCGATTACATTGATTGTCAGGAGTAGGCTAATTTGACGTTGGGACTGCACGCAAGTAAGCTCAGCTTTTATTTACCGATTTCGCAAAAACTTTCTCTTGCGATACGAAGGACCATAATTATGCGTATTGTGTGGCTGTGCGGTACTTGCTTTTCTTCAACTGAGGAGTTCGTTATGTCTCTATGCATGCTCACAGATTTGAATAGAAGGACTCAATGACACTCTACCCGAGCTGACAACCACTCCTTGCTGCTGGTCTTGTATGAAAGCCAATGACAAGTAACGACAATGGGAAGTTGCAGGATTATAGCAAGCTTACTGAGGCTGTAACTGGTGAGCAATGATGAAATAAATGAGAATCTGTACATTCTGAAAAAGGAGCTAGGCCGTTCATTACATTCGATTACCCGGCAGCGCTTGCGATATATTGGCAAGGTCCCCTGATCACGTTAATGATCATTTAAAGCCTCTTACTCCACCACTAGAGACTCGTGTGGAGTCTCAGATCCCGCGAACTTGATCCGACATAAGCAGTCTTGGGATAACTTGTGACCTTCCAATCCTGTGCCTCCGTGTCCCAATTACTCAAGTCTCGATACGTCACATTGAAAGTTACCGTCTTGGTCTCTCCTGCCTCAAGCTCAACTTCATCAAACCCACGAAGAACGACCTTGGGTTCATTCGGGCCACCGAGGGAAAGGTACTAGAAGCAAACGTTAGCATTCAAATTGCGGACACGTAGAAACGGTTCAAGGGATCAACGCACCAACTGAGGAATATCAGTACCCGGCACTTCCCCTGAATTAGTAACATCCACCTCGATGATATAGACCACTTTATACAGCTCCGGATTCCCCCCAGGCGCACCTCCAGCTGGTAAAATGGGCTGTGCAGAACGATTGTGGGCCGCGTAGGGGAAGTCAGGCGAGCCCGTGTTATCAGGGATCTCCGTACTGGCGATCCACGGATATATCATGCCAGGAACCTTTTCAAATCCCTCAGGCAGCAGCGCATGTGCTGGATCGTAATCAAGCCCCCCAAAAGTCGGCCCAGCGGCTGTGAATCCGCTCGCAGGCATATAGGGCCCTATATCCTGCTTCTTAACAGTCAAGTTCGTGTATGAGAAGATAGTGTAACTGAGACCGTATCCAAACTCGAAGCTGGGCTCGATACCCTTGCTGTCAAAGTAGCGGTAGTCTATGAACGAGCCCTCAGTAAAGTCCTGCTGTGGAGTAGGCGTGCTTGAGTTCACAATTGTAGTGATGCCCCAGTCACCGGCTGCCTTTCCCCATGTAAAGGGGCTTCGACCTTGAGGGTTGACCTTCCCATATAGAACATCGGTCAGCGAGTTTCCTGATTCCTGGCCGGGCAGTCCAGCCCATAAAATTGTAGTGACGTTCGGATGTGTCTTAACATCGTCAATAAGCACGGGTCCCACACTGTGAATCACAACTATTGTATTGGGATTGACTGATGCCACAGCTGCAATGAGTTCGTCGCCGCCGTTCCAGAGCGTCAAATTCTTTCGGTCGCCAAAGTTGCCGTCAAGAGTCTGGTATCCTTCGCCGGAGTTGGCATTTACAAACACAATGGCGGTAGAAGAGTTACTCGCAGCGGCACGAGCAGCACCAAGATCCCAGTTAGTCTTGATATTGGAGAACAGAGTTCTGTCTGTGCGCGCTTGCTTCTCAATGGCAGTTGCCGGGGATATTAGGTACGGGAACTCGGCTGTGGCAGAGCCCCATCCCATTGCCAGTGTACCTACATTGCATATTCTATCGACACAGGCATTAGGTCCTCCCGGGTTGTCTTGCGCGTCCTCGCCAATAATAGCAAGGCTTATTGGTCTCTTCAGGGGTAAGGCGCCGTTCTCGTTCTTCAATAACACGATCGATTTGGCACCAATTTCTCGGATAAGTTCTGCATGGTCACCTTGAACATCGACGTGCTTATTTACTGTAGTGTTGCCAGTCTTAGAATGCCAGTATCGAGGGCCGAAGGTCGCATTCGTCCACGAGGAGTAGTTGATATCGATCTGCTTCGTGTCTCTCCCGACTTTATAGAATGCCGCCATGATCCGAACTACCATATCGTCTAGTCTCACCTGCGCGATGTCAAGCGAGAGAGCCGCTTCGGTCAAGGCGGGACCCCAGTACGAACCATACGTAGAATTGCGGACTCCGTCGCCAGGCATCGTCATATCGAGTCCGGCGAAAACACTTGCTTCGGTGCTATGTTGTCCGCCCCAATCCGAAACCACTATATGCAGTAGTCAGCGAGGTATTCAAGGAACTGATGCTAGTTTTACCCCTATCGCACTAGTCTGGCAACAAGAGAGATGTACCACATACCAAAGCCTTGAAATCCAAGCTCATCCTTCAGGAGGTGGTTAAGCACATATGAGTTCTCACATGCGTACGTATTGTTGATCTTATTGTATGAGCACATGACGCTTCCGACGCCAGCACGAACTGCATCGGCAAACGGCCTGTGGGAAAGGGGTGATTAGCTATCAGATACCCAAAGTATAGCTCTTGAAATATCTATCGGGAATTCCTTCCTCCATTTGTAGTTCACTGTTCAAGATCTTCAAGTGATCACTTACCAGAGATACACCTCATGCATAGTCTTATCATCAATATTGCTGCTGATCCCACCTCGGAAGTGCTCCTGCTCGTTCAATATGAAATGCTTTACACTCGCAACAACACCTGCACCCTGTGTTCCCTTAACCGTCTCTGCAACAGCAACGCCGGCCAGGTAAGGGTCCGGGCCGAAGCCTTCGAAGTTGCGACCACCAGCAGGATCACGGCCTAAAGGGCCAACAACCGGACCCAGCAGAACATCTTCATATACGCTGATATTAGCTACTGTCTCAATTGAATATATAAAATGAAACTGAGTCCCTCCATATTCGGATATACCGACAGGATAGTGACTGTATACATACCAATTCCCTTGTCCCTGAACTCTGCACCTAATGCCTCACCTCGCTTGCGCATCAGAGATCTGGACCACGTGGCTGCAGCATTGATGCCCGCTGGAAATGCCGAGTTTAGGTCGGCTATACAAAAGGCTCGCATCAGTAAAGCATGTGGCACAATTATCATGAAGCTGCATTTCTCGGGCTCTATTCTTTCGATCACGGAGTGAAGGCAGAGTGACCCGTCTCAAGCATATTATAGACTTACTATACCTAATTCCGACAGGACCATCCTGGAGACATAGCTCTCGAAATCCCAAGCGAGGAATGCTGCCTGTGTTTCCTGTGCATAAATTTGCCTGGTTGCCAGTGCCCGTAGTCAAATTGACCTTCTCCAGAAGAGTCAACTTGGAGACTACCCACGACAATATAGTCAGCATTTACTGTTCATCGCGATTCACTATAGAGATGGTCCAAAACACTCTTAGAGTCGAAGCCCGAGATCTTCTTAGGTTCAACGACTCATATGCACGAATAGGTCACAAGAGGACATAAGAGATAATGTCTACTGACCAAACTCGTGTGCACGTTGATACGCGGCATCCCAACCATCCGGACCGCCCGCACTCCAAGGAGAAGGGTAGAACACAGGAGAGGTTGGGATTGGATCCGCGTCCAAAGACGAAGCAGCATCGCCCACAACAAGAAGCGCAAACGTGAGTACAAGCTGCCGTACACGCATCATTACGAGGAGAGATATGGCGATAATACTGAATTGTTGGGGTTGGGGCTGTCGAGGAAGCACGACTTTAAGCCGCGAAGGTGCTGTCCTCAAAATCGAGGGTTTTAGCAGACATTCCCCTCACGAATGCACGACCTCGATATACTGCATCGTTTTTTGAAGGTGCGTGGCAGGTTCGTTAAACTGACCAGGGTTGATATCCGGCAGAATGCAGGAGATACATCAACAGTCAGGTACCGACGAGTAAGTCTTTGGATAAATTCAACGGCCTAACTCAAGGAGCAATATACATGTGCTTCACTAGGGGTTGTGTGATTTAATCGCAGTCACTACCGAAGGCAAGTTCTCTAGGGAAATGCAATGTGAAGATCCCATTGCAGCCATGCCCACCCTGTGAAGATTAGAGTGGGAATGGCTAATAAACGAAAGGCTGCAGCCATACTGAGGGTTGATTGAACCAAGAGGGGAAGTTGATTAGTTAAGCACTTAATGCTCATTCGAAGATACGTTGACCCTCCATCGAGTTCTCTCCGCAAGTAAGCCAAAGTTTTCTTTCCGAATATACTACCTAGGTGCACAGACTAGCATATATTGACTGCGAAGAACGCTGCCATGAGCCGCACGCTTTTCGCTCCAATATCCATAGAGACAGAAACTATCTTAAGCCCTTGGGCTTTCAAGAGAATGTTAAAGCAATTCTCCTTTCTATGAACCATGATGCCTAGAACGTTAGCAAGCCCTTCCATAACAGACAGGTGATGATTGATGCTGTCAAGGTCGATGGACGTACCACTGGATGGACAGCAGCGTGCTTCTATCGTGGCTGTGATTAAAAACTCTCGAAAGATGCGTACGATCTATACTAACAGCTGGTAAAAGATAGCCTCTGTGACTAGGAGAATTTGCTCGTAATAGACCCTAAGAACATCTTCCGCTTCTGGCTGCTAACAAACTTGCTTGCATCCTCAGACCACTTCTGGCTACTTGCTGCAATATTATCTATGCTGTCATTCATGATATTTAGCTTCTCGGTGCGCTCATTCAATTGTCGGGTTAGGTAATCACCCCAGCCTTCTTGACTTGGGCTTGATGGTCCAGCTCGAGCCTGATGTTCCATCGCCTCTGAGGCTGCAAGCATTCGTTTGCTGGGAGGTCTCCCTGGGCCACCAATTAAGAGGTCAAGGTCTGCCGGGGATATGTACTGCGTGCCCGAGATCCACTGCATATTTGAGATAGTCGGACGCGGGGGAATTGTGAGGTCAGGGTTAATGAGCCTATCCGCGGCGTTCTCTAGTGCCTGGCCCGTTCCCCATACTTGCAGTACTGCTAGTTCAGACGGACCCGTCCAGCAGATGACTTCACCATCTTCGGTTACTAGTGAATTTGCGATACGGGCTCCGTCAATCATAGGCAGAGGAGCATTGCCTATCTCCTTGAGTCCAGGCAGGCTAAAGGCTCGTGTCTGTCTATCTCCAAATACACCAACCAGCGCCATTCCATGTAACTCGAATTCGGTTACCGCAGCAGAACTACATAGGCAATCACTGAATGACTTTGATGCACCTTTCGCAGTAGCCGGTTTAAAGATGCGAACTTCGGTTTGTGTGACTTGAACATGATCAGCGAGCAACTATGACGAGTGGGACGGGTTGGATTCTTACCAACAACGAGCAAGCCGTTCACGTGCCTGCCTTCTCGAAGGCCAGCGACAGCGTGGCCGGTCGCTGCAGCTGGCTTTCCAGTGTCAGCAATGATCGGGCAAATCGAGACTACCTCGTCGCTCAAGGTTGCTATTCCGGCGGGCTCAGCTTTGAAACTTGGGCCAGAAGGCAAAATTCTCAAGGTGATAACTTTTCCCAGTTTGGTTCCGATGAAGCAGCATATGCTTGAGTATTTGTCATCATCCAGTGTCATGACTGCGAACTCAATAACCATCGGCCAGTCTTTGTTGGTTGACACGCTTGAGCGGCTCTTCAGGAACGAGGACTTCTTCTCCGACTTAGTCAAATCGGCTATAGAGGATTGAAACATAACTGAAGGCCCTCGCAAATCAATAATGCTTAGAAATCCATTCTCGGAACCAACTGCAACAAAGCCTACGTCGGATACCTTTACAGCACTTATCGGCCCTTGCATCATCTCGTACAATGAGAGTGGCTGCAAGCCACTCTTGAGGTTCGGCTCTGACCTAGCCCTGATATCTGAAAGTCCACCGGGGTTGGATGGTAGCTCTTGGTTTGCAGCCTGTCCGTAGAATTTGTTAGTGTCCCACCTATATATCACAACCTCTCCCTTGCTAGTGCCGACAGCAAATTCTGAACTTTCTGCAGCCATGCTCATTGCAGTGATAGTCACATCTTCGAATCGATTGAGAGCTCTGGCGACATCAATTTGAAGTTGTTTGGGGTTTTCAATTTCGTCCCCATGGCCGACATCCCAGATTCGCACAGTGCTATCAGCATAAGCAACTTGAATGATAGTCCGACCTTCAAAACGCCGCCGTGATCGAATTGCTTCAGCACCACCTTTCAAAATAGGCTCGCCCGCAGGCCGATTCTCAACCATACCAAGCCATTTGTCGCGGCTTAGTGTAGAGCTTGCGATTTTTGTAGCAAAGGGGTGCACGAATGAAAGCGATGGGTGAAGCTGGTTTGTTGGAGAAATCGGATACCCACTCGGGAAGCTCATTGTGATGATTTCGCCGGACGATAATAAAGCTAGTATCGCGATCGGGTCTTGGGCGCCAGAAAAGTATGGCGATGCCCGGGGAATGAGGAAGAAGTTGACTACCTCAGCACCAGCTGGGGTTTCAATGGTGGCTCGCTTCTTACCCTTGACGTAGTCTGCTAGGATCTGCCATGAAGAAGTGGCATAGTTCGGTGTGACTCCAAGTTCGATAAAAGTCAGCCCCGACGGAGGGCCGTCCAGAGTCTGGCCACCGGCGACTAACAATGCGGAATCTTCTGGGTTCTGCTTGCAGCACCAAGCTATCTTCGAGTAAGGGTGCTTTGGCGCGGATTCTTCTGAACGAGGTAAGGGTTGGTCTATGTTGAAATCGTATAGCGTGCGTGCCATAACCAAACGCCCATCGTTTGAAGTGTCCCAAAACACAAGACTCGCATCATCGTGCGCAGTGAGCACAAATGTGCCAGTGGGATGCCACAAGGCATGGGTGAGCTTGGGCTTTCTCAGGGTATCAACAGCCTGGTGACTGCCGCCTGGTGCACCAGAAGGAATTTGGTATTCAAAAAATCTGGTAGCCTGGTTTTGCTTGAAGGAGTAAATGACTGCACCGTGGCTATAACCTATCAATAGTTTCCCAACGTCACGGGGATGCAGCTGTAGCGACACGATGGTGACAGCCCGGGCCCGAGGATCCCTGTCTGTCCAAAAGTTTGGTAGGCGAAACTGTGATAAGCGTTCGCGGTCGAGGTCATATGCATAAATCTCGCCAGTTTGAAGACCAATAAAACACCAATCGAGCATAGGATCAGTTAGCATGCACGCGACAATGCCTGGAGCTTGAAAGCTAGTCAATCTGGCGCCAGCATCCAGATCCCAGATTGTCACCTCGTTCTGAGAGTCGAGACTGATTAGGCGATTGGCGCAGAAGTGGATGTCCGCAAAAGAGCGTGACCGCGAAGGGACGAGGAATTTTTGGACTCTGGATTGGCCGAATACATAAATCTTTCCACTGCCAAACCTAGATTCATTTGTTCCCACGGCGAGTAGGGACTGGACAGGGTCATAGGCCACACAACTATTCAGCATAATATGAGTTTGATTATTTACTTAAGCAAAGAGATAGGAGGCAGGGTCAGCGTTACACGACATACCTAATCTGAGAATTGATCCCATATCGGGAACGTTCATCTGGGGCGAACAGCCCCGGCAAGATGTTCGCAGACAGGTCATTCTGCATGCCTGCCTGCTTACCTCTCAGGAAGCTTGCCATTGCGAGGAATGCCGCCCAATAGACAGCGCTTGAAGACAGAGGCAAGTAGGCGATCTGTGAATAGCCTCAAGACACCCCTCAGCAGCTCGGGCTGCTTCTAGTTTGCAAGGTGATTGAATATGCCTTGAGGCCTTTGTCGGCTGACAACCATCCAGTCAGCTTCTGACAGACGGCTAAGACGGCTTTAAGCTCAAGCGGGCATACGTCACTGCCCCTCTATGATATATATCCGATATTAGCATAGTTCTCGTTTAAGAATGTAATGGGGAAGCTGCATGCAAGGCTGGATGTCCAGGGAGGTACCTACCCGGTACAGGCAGGATTGGCGGCTGATTAGATAGCCGATAAGATAGGGTTTGAGGGTGCTTCCTACCGGACCGCAATCACACCAACACCAACGCGGGGCAAGTTTAACATTCTCATTTACATCTACACCTCCTCAACAACAAAATCCACGCGCCCTTGCACACCAAGAAAGTGGTCTAACAGCATGCCATCCAGATGCCCAAGCTCTTTATAATGAAGTGATACATCAAACAAAGAAACCATGCCAACTTGGACAGAGGAGAGTCCTGTTACTATGTAAAAGAGTCTCTCTAAGCCATTCACCCGGGGTTTGGCGTCCATTACCCCCCATTCATGCATAGTGCACGGACCCAACCTATCGGGTTTATGCATAACCCGGGCACATCCCTCCTGGCTGCGAGCTGCTCCATTGATCTACAACCACCTACCAAACATATCAGTAACCTAAGCACGTCCCGATGGCCGGGCAGAGCTCTTGTGCCAGCGGCAACACCTTCTGGCTCACCTGGTATCAACAATGGCCAAAGACGATACGCAGTATTACTGCATTGACGAAGCCCGTTGCAGGCTATGTCAGTTTCAGCTCAGAGATGGAGAATCGGTGCTCGTAGGTATGCTCCACACATGGAAACCCATTTGCTAGGGAATGCGCTTACCCTATGGTTTGTCATGTATCCAGTCCTAGGGGGTGGCCGTGCGTCCAATTCATTCCCCTTCCACCAAGGTGGTACAGTCGAAGATCAAGAGACGGGAATCGTGTTGCATATATGTTGCCAAAGCGCCTGCATCAGAAGATATCGTCAAATGCACTGCTTTCACAACGGATGCTATTCTTTCAAGGTCTTACCCATCTCCTCGACGTTCCTCACTGCTACCAAATATCATTTCAGTCCTCCGATTTCCTCCGAACGTCAAAGGCAACGCCGTATTAGATACGCACTTGCAAGGGGGCTGAAGTTCGGCTTGCTGCGCAAAATTCCTTTGGAGCTCTGTGAGATGATTGCAGGATATCTTGTTCGGGAATGCGCTATCGTCACGTATCAAGAACTTGCACGTGACGTTCACCCATCCGACTTCACAATCGATCTTTCTCAAGATGTCTACGCGACATATAAGAGTATTGAGGGCATTGTGTATGTTCAATCTCTGCACAACGCACCACAGCCCGAAGGGACGGCGAAGCAGATCTTTGCGGCTCGACATGACCGCGTCATTCAAAAGATCTACGTCGCGTATGATCATCTTGGCATCAGAAGCATTCGCTTTGCTTTGCCTAGTCATGATTCCCTAGGTTCATTTTGCGATTCGTGCGGAATGTGGTGGACGGAACTAGCTCGAAATACAGGCATTCTACGCGTCGTGGCAAGATCTGATGTGCGTACTCTTTTCCTCTATGCTTGGCATGGCACGGGTTCTAACGACTCGTATCGCTAAAGGGCCTGAAAGTCAGATGGTTCCTGGAGTCCACAGACCCTCTATCTGCAAGGGACGATGTAGTTCCCAGGCAGGGTTGGCCAACCCCAGGGCTGGATTGCAGGCTGATAGACCTTGACGCATGCGACATCGCCGAGGCGACACCTGACAGCCTGCGGATGACGTCCTTCGATTGTAACAAGCCGACAACAGATGGCTACTCCGCCGCCATCTGTGGTTTGCATGTTGCAAAGTTATATGCGCACCACTCTGGTACAACGAGTACAGACTTCTACAGGGATATGGACGGCGTCTCTAGCTCTTTGCTGTGGATGTACATGCCAGTCGATCAAGACGAGTACCTCAAGGAGATTTGGGCTATCAAAGCTTCCGGCTCCGGGTTCACTGCACTACTAGTAAGTCACAGAGCTATCTTACACCGTGACATTTAGGTTAAAAATTCCCATAGCTCCTCACTAGCCACGAACGAGCAGTTATCTTCGGGAACTATATTCTACATCCCAACGTTCGGCTTCAACTTCACCGCGTTTATGTGACAATGAACTGTCCGTCACAAATATACTTCAATGACTGGGACCCGCTCTGCGATAACAAATGGATCAAATACTTGGGAGTGGATGCCAGTGCCGCGAAGACAGATATGGCTTTAGTAGACGACCAGCAATGTCAAACTCAATATCCCCCTTCGCTCACACCGTCGTCGCCACCGCCTTATACACAGTATAACGAACTATGGTACTATACTAACTGTCGATTGGAGAACGTCACAGAAATAACGTGCTGTAGCGACAAGGCCGCTCCTCACCGGCCTATAATTGGCATGCTGTTGTGCTATAGTAACGGTCATCGTGCCTGTGTGGGGCAGTACCGCATGGACTGGACACTTGACACCTTGACTGTGAACCCTTTAAGGCCATTAAGCATAGGCTTGGGCAAAACTAAGAGACGATTCTCATATGTCGCAGAGGTGAATTTGAAAGAGATAGGTGAGCCTGGCCCGGGCTCAATATCTCGGATGAACATTCCCTGGCATGGCAGACTTGAATGGTGGTTTTCGCAACGCCAGTGTAAACTATACTACTCTGACTAGGAACATACTGAATATATAAAATAATCCCTACAGGGTGGGAAAGGGTCATGGGAGGGGGGAAACGGAGCGCGGAGTACAAGATTAGTTGGATAAATGCCTAGGTAATATCAATGTCACTAATGTACACCGTCTTCTTGCCGTAGTGTACCCACACTTTCTTCTTATCGAACTTAATCTGTGCCCAATCTTTCTTAACAGTCACTCTCGTTCTGCCCCTGATATCTTTGAAAATGTACTTATCCGGGTGAAATGTATGCACCTCGCGACGAACGTCGACTCGGACCTCCTGTGTGTTACCGGCCAGTGGATCATCCATGGGTGTGAGCGAGGCTTTGTGTGGCTGGGAAGAGGACGAGGCTTCTCCAGTATAATAATCGCTTTGAACATCGGGTTGTTGACTAGCACCAAGATCTTCCTGAGCTTCTTGAGCAGCCTGAAGATCCGCTAGGGATTGACTTGGAAGAGTTGGCGCATTCCGAAGGGGGGTCTCAGTCTTCACCATGTCTAGACAACGTGGCAATACCCAGGCGTTATCCGAATCAGCATCGACATACTGAGAGCCGTCTGCGAATGTCGACTCCCCATGGAAAGGTACAAGGCCTGATCTGCCTTCTTCGTAGAACCAGACGCGGAAGGAGACTCCCACGGTGGTCATCGTATAGATGAACGCTAAATTGTCGGCTTCGACGCATCTTTTGGCAGCATCTAGGGCCTGCTCCTCTACCTCTCTGAGACTGCCGCCAGGTCTCTTACACTCCACCCAAAGCAATGCGGACATGGTGTGATGATTCGCATCATATCGCTTCACAACCATGTCGACACGCCTTCGAGAGCCATCTGGTGACACTTCGCATGTGACGGCGTAGGTTCGTGTGTCAGCGAACTCTTGCTTGAGATAGTGCTGCCAGAACTCGGATGACTTGTATTCGATGTCGGTTTGGGCATCTTCGTAGAAGTAGCGAAGGATCCCGGTATTGACGATACTCATAGCAATCGGAGACGAATCCAATAGCAAAACCCGATAGTTGATTGAGCAGCAGAATTCTGCTAGTGATCAGGATCTGAAGTCCCTGAGGCTTACTTTCATTTTATCATTCTCCCGTCCGGCCGTCATAATCTAGACCCAACGAACCTGCGAGACTCGTCACAAGTTCGTGCAATTCCATATCAATCGAAGGCGGCCTTTGATAGCTGCCTGATGCTAATCGCATGCGTTGCGTCTTGCGACTCCTAGTCGATTAGCCTGGTGACATGTAATGCCCAGAGCCTAATAGACAGAAAAAGCCTCGAAGTGTGAGACTTGGGCATCGGCTGACACACAACCGCGGGAGGCGAGAATTGGGCGCAAGTGACTGTTGGGCATGAGGCAGGGTTGATACCGGAACCAACGGTGGCGATTTCGATTCCAATATGGAAGGACGGGGAGAACGGCGTAAAAGGGTTTACCAAGAGCATAGGTAGCCAAAGAGGCAATATACATCTTAGCAATAGGAAATGTGAGAGGTAGGGCAAGGGAGGAGACTTTAGCAACCACCCACGGAAGTATCCTTGATCTATTAATGGAATTGTGCCGTTAGGGATACTTGAGGTCATCTATCCGTATGCAAGGAGGTACACGAAATACTCATTATCGCCTCTTCTTTTCATATTCTGTACTTTCATACACGCCGTGGCTTATCAGGTCGAAATGGTATCCCGTTTGGATTTCTCACCGCCCCCTTCCAGCTCACTTCGCCCTTCTACCTCTTTACGGGGGAATTCTGGGCCGGGTGCGTTGTGTAGAGTTACAGTCCTCTCTGCTTGCCTCTCTGGTGATCGTTACCTTCTTCTTGAGTACTTTGGCGGGAGCTAGCTCTGGGATCATAGTTCTACCAAAGCGGAGCTGGAGAACTCTTTTACCGCAGGAGGTTGTTGATGTAACAAGGTCTCTTGTAGAGGGCTTGGAACTTAGTCATATTCATTCTAATAATCAACTAGGAATCTCTAGGGCCTTGGTTTTTTCCTCCTCCTTCGCAGCTACCAGTAGTGCACCGAGTTGATCCGCGGTCGGATTCCAGTGAATCTTTCTCGCGTACAATACCAAGAGGGTGGAAGTGAAAGCTCTCGGAGGCTAGTTGGGTCAGCTAAGGTAATCGCATATATATGTTAATAAGCAAATCAGAAGATGACGAATTAGTGGGGAAAATGGATGAGTTATTCAGTTATCAGGTGTACAGAAGTTGGGTCGAATACCGTATAGCTTCGAGAATTCCGCCGCTTGACGGGGACATTTTTTACATAGCCATACCTTCTGAAGCCTAGCCAATCATGGGGAAAGGCATCATGTGACTTTGCTTGATGGTTATTTTTATTGCTAAATAGCAGCGGATTTACTATGTAGATTAATCCAAGAATATACATTAAATTCTTTATCGATAAGCTATAGATCCATGGGTCGATGGCTCTTAAAGCCGTAAAATATGGGCCCGCCAAGCGGTGGAATTCTCGAAACTATCACTTTAACAACCATTTCACCTCCGAGACCTGCCAAGACTTTATACGACCAATTAGAAGCATAGATATCTGTCGCACTTGTACCCCACTTAAACAGATAACTGCAAGTACAGAAAGCTACACTAGCTTTAGTATCCCTTGGGTAACGGCTTAGGTATTGGCAAAGTTGATCCACTAGCATGGGTAAGAAGAAACATAGCACGTGATTAAGACTGGGTCAGCAAGGTCACGGAGGTGAAATGGTAGTTAAAGTGATACGGTAGATACAGAATATGGTCATACAACTAGCCAGGGCTACGGGAGATAGCCCGTCAATATATTGGAAAAGCAAGATTTGCTTGATCACCGGCCTCGGAGAACTGCTTCGGATGACTTTTGGTCTCTGCGGTGAAGATGGATCTTTATCCGAGGCCGTTGACGGTGGCTGCTGTAGGTTAACTTGCTCCTGGGAGCCCTCCCATGGAAAGTTAGCTAGATGCCACGTCCCGAACTGGCCGACTTCTTGAGAGACGGACAAGCTTTCCGCAGTGTATTGTCCGTCTTGCTTCTGAGATTCGTATCCAGTATACTTTGTACTCGCTCGAGAAGATAAAAGTTGAGAGCCAACGCCTATTTCCTCATTCTGCGACAATGCCCGCTGGCGATCCATGGCTAGTTTCTTACAGGATGACTCGCCCACTTACTATAACCCGAAGGGCGCAAAGTTGTAATAAGCATTACAGGAAGAAGTTTGAGGAAATATGGAATATAGTTTAAAAGTCGGAGTCATGACGACGCTACATTGTTGTGAATGAGAATACAACTTAGGGGTTCTGAAGGAAAGCTTATTGTTTCAGGGACATTGGCAGGATGCAGCTCCTGATGATCGGCATTGCTCGACAGCGAATGAAACCCTCCATACTCATTGCTTTCCGAACTCTCTAAGTGATGGTAAGATTCATATCATTTGAACTAAGAGCAGGTAGTAGTCATTTGGCCTTTCGGCCACTCGGATAGCTCTACTCCAGCATCCAATACAAGTCTATCGCCGCCCCAAGCAAGGCATTTCTCAGCTCGACATCACACAACATGAATAACACCTTTCTTATCCCCATCTTCCCTACTTCTTTTCCGAGGCTAGGTGGGTCAGTTTAGGTAATTGCATAAATATCTTAATAAGCCATTTATTGGATGGCGAATAATCGGGATAAGTGTATACGTTATTCAATTATCAGGCGGATTCTCGGTCAAAGCCCATGATATTTACATAGTCACGCGACTTGCTGCTGGGGTCATGCCGTATTTATCGAGATTATATAGAGACAACGCGCCGTTAGATGTGTAACGTAGTTCTGGTCTGTTATTGGGTACTTGGGCTCAGAATAGTGGATATATTCCCTGGTTTGGAAGCGCCTCAATGATTTTTCCAACAACGCGTTGTTTCTATATAATCTCAGGTAATACCGACAATGGCCATTGGGCCAGCGCCATCGGCGGGATGGCTACAAGTGTGAGGGCTACGAGCTTTGGCGTGTGCTCCGTACATCGTTCAAGTATTGCGGAGTTGTGGATGTGCCTCAATATCACCAACTCAATCTTCGTTCACCACATTAGTTGCAAGCAAAGCTCTTTAGTTCTAGACTAGGTTTTGATTTCTTGGCAGCAATGCAAGACAAGTGGCTAAATGTTCTTGTTAATTTCTTAATAAGATGATTCAGTGATTTGTCCCATGCTCTTTTTTCACATCCAACCATTTATCCAACAACAGCTACATAGGTATAGTGAGAGCTAACAAACTAGAAGTGCAGCACGTCCAGCTTGTATGTTGAATGAGCCATATTATTAGCTCAATTAGCATGCATCAGCAGTCTGTGCTGGCTACCTGATGAATCCTCCCGAAGTGTATATGAACTGCTACTAGTGAATCTCACGCTAGATACCAGTGCGACACAGCTTGAGCCCTGGCATGCCACTCCTTCAAGACTCAAATGAAGAGCACCATGATCAGGTAATGATGTCTTCCCCTGGTCTCTAGCATTGACAAAGACATGTTTTTTGTTCCAGCCTATCCAGGTAGTCTGTGTACCTCTCACTGCAGACTCTCTAGCGCCTAGCTGTTGCCTAAGTGAAGCTTCCATTGCTGTGACGACAGCCTTACATCGTTCTTTGTTATGTGCCCCATGACAAGTCAAATTTTGCACATCTAATACTGCTGTTCCTATTGGTGGGTGCCAGGCAGCGACCGGGATTGAGGTGGCCTCGATTACTCCCTAGGTATAGACCTCCGTGCAGCCAACAACAAACGAACCCGACGCCAAGTTGTGAAGTGAATGTCACCTACCTACCCGGAAATTCGAGGAAGCCACCGCCACTTCATCACTCATTAGATAAATTAATTTGTTCGCGGACGGTCCAACCCATCATACTTAGGTCCTTATCTCTCTTTGGAGATATCCTTATCAGAGCATTTGTGGGAAAACCAGAGTCTTTTCACATCCCATTGCAGCCTATAGGTATATGAGAACGGATACTAATTATTTCTTCATCATTTTTCGGAAGATTCGAGTAATATCTCACCTTTGAAACCTTTGTGGTTATAGGCAAGTATGTCAACAAGAAGGACATACTTACCACCCTGACAGTGACACTAATTGTGTGGTTATACTGTTACTCCCTAACATCACCTGGATACTTGCAATAATTACAGAACCCCCGGAATTCATCGGCGATTGCTTCGAGGCTACCCTTTATGGTTGGTGTGATGTAGGTCTGGCAGGTGTCTCTGCGCATCCTGTTCATCTCACACCTGGCCAGCTCTGGTTTTAGACATCGATGCCTAGAGGCATTCAGACTCCTTCCTAAATCAATCCGGAAATCCAGTGCTTCATAAAAACTTCGCCTCCTGGCATTGACCTATTCAATCTCTCATTTTCAACTCGCAGAAAAAGAAATGGCCATGTGTGACCAGACTTACCTGTTTATCTAGTCCTCCAATCTTGTTCAAGTTGCCCAATTCTTTTTACCAGCTGCAAGCCATCCTTCTCATCTTACAATAATTTGTCTATACAGGCCGAAGGACGGCAAAAATTCACGGACTACTGAGCCTACGCATATTAGTTGTGGCATGTCAACCCACTCTCGTGGAACAACATCTGCCACTCCAAGTTAGTCCAAACGTAATGACTGCCCTCACGCCCGGCATTAGCTCTTCATAGCTCGATCAATTCATCCAACATAGACATCACCTCAGTATGCCCTGGGTTCCTCACCAAACGTGCAGTTAGCGATTTTCTGGCTGTTCTTTCAAACTTCCTCCACTTTCCATTCCCTCTTCAGCCCCAGCAACGCAATGCCGTTAGCTACCTCCATTACGCCCGACGATGTGAGCGCACCCGTGGAGCCACCCCCACCAAAGCGAGGCAGTACTAGTTTGGATCCTATTGTCCTCGACGAGGATGGCAGCGAAGACGACAAGACCAAGAAGTGGATACCCAGTCTCAAGAGAAGGCGTGTTTCGCCTAATCCCGATAATCCCTTCACACCACCACGTGCGTTCACCGATATCTTGCAAAACGAATCAGCCGACGCGGATACAGCACGACTCGATGATAAACTTGCGAAATTACAAGAAGAGTTATCAAAGCTAGAGTCTGAGAGGCTGGAAAATACCAGACTGACAGAGGATATGACAACACTTTCTAACACACTTGCGGCTACCAAGTCATCGTTCGAGGAGCAAAAACGCAAGCTCGAAGGTTCAGAGCGGGATGTCGAGAGGCTGAATAAGGAACTGAATTGCGTCAAACTGGAAGTTACTCAAGCAACGAATACAAGGGATACTCTCGAGCAAGAAGTGGCTACTCAGCGACAACTGGTGCAAAAGAAAGACGCCGAAATCGCCATGACGAAGAAAGAAGTGCAACGCATAAAGAAACAAGCCAGCTTATCTACACGAAATCTTAAGACGGCACGAGCGGAAAGGGCCAAGTCCGACGAAGAGTTGATGGCACTACGAGAGAAGATGAGCCAGACCAGCCAAAACTTGAGCACATTGCAAGCTGATAATGAAAAGCTCGTCGCCAGCACAAATGCAGAAAGCAGGAAGGCGAAAGAGAACGCGCGGCGCTTGGAGCTGAGCCTCGAGGGCAAGCAGAAAGATTATGAGATTGCACAGCTCGAGAAGTCCAGGCTCCAAGAAGACTCTGCTGCTCAAATAGGGGAGCTCAGCCGCCGAATCCAAGATTTGGAATCAAAGGGGCGTGAGGACGCCGCCGACATCCAGAAAATGACAGCGGAACTCGCCATTGTTAGGCTCCAGGTTTCCAAACTTGAAGCTGCCGAGCTTGACTTACAGGTGAGGGGCCTTTCTCTCTTTTCCCTCTTCACACCATTTCATTTCTCATCGCCTACATCCTTCATTACGCATCAATGGACATCACATACTGACTGCAGTCTAATTATAGCTTGCTGCTCAGCGGATTGAAGAACTGGAAGTCCATATAGACGGATGCCCTATCGCTACCAAAACCCAAGAAGAGTGGGACGAGATAAATAAGGAAATTGAGGAGATGTGTAGGAGGGGGGAAGCGGAAAGACTGAGGCGGGAATTCGCGGAAAGAGAAGCATTAGCTTAGGGCACGCCATGCGCGGCTCTTGTCTGCAGGCTTACAGCAAAGCTGAAGTAAACTTTTTTTTCCTTTGGGAAATGCGCGAGTCATTTGAGTTCAAAACCTCTTCGAAGATATTCTCGGCAGGATGGCATGAGCAAGGGTCATAATTGCAGGCAAGTTAAATAGGCAAACGTTCCTCATAATCACCTAGCAGAGAAACCATGCTCTGGACAATATAGGTAGATAGTTGAATAGTTTATGTGCGTTAAATTCCTCTATCAACGTCCTTCTGGCTTAGCCAAGCCATCGTCCACTTGTAAGCTGGCCATTGAACTGCGTTTACGATGAACGCTCTTTTACTACACACTGCCAAACCACGAAAGAATGCCCTAGATCCTTCGGTCGAATAAAGTTCCCTTGTAATCTGTATGGCTCCTTTCCGTCTGAACGTCGTGCCGTGAAGGGATGACATCATGTCTTCGACCTGGAGGCGGGTTTTCACAACATCTAGAGGATAAACACTAGCCCACGTCACAATGCCTGCTATGCCGCCACATAAGATAACCTTTAACGCTTCCTGGACGAGAGGCATATCTAGGCTTGCGCTACTCTGATCGCGTTCTATGTCGCTTGTATGAAGAGAGGATGAAGAGCGTCCTACCACTCCCCTTGAAAGGAAAGAGGTCATTAGACTGTCTCCTAACTCGTAGGCCCAGAAGTAGAACCCATAGCCGATGCTATCCCGGAGCGCAGTAACCACACCTCCGCGATAGAGGCCGCGGTACCCTTCGGTGCGCAAGACGATCTTGGCTATGCGCCAACTGGATAGCTGAGGTGTTGGTGATGCATTTGGGCTTGGAGTAGATGGTTGGCTGGTTGTGGGTAAAGAAGAAACTTGCGCCTTGCATTTGATCAATTCAATCGGCGTGTTGATGATGGAGGTCACGAGACCGCCTGCTGCGCCTGCGGACCACGTCGTCCATAAATTGGAACCAGTTGTGCTGTAGGCAACATTCGAACTTGCAGAAAGGGAATCCAGGGAAGTGGAAGGACGAAAAATATTGTTCAGGGCTTCCTCAGTCCGATTGTATATCATGTAGAGGCCGGCATTGAGAACACCAACGCCGAGACTTGGGGCAGCAGTCCCGGCGAGTGCGGATTTTCCTTGGAGGTATCTGGTTCTAAGGGATGGTAGGGGTGATGAAGCCGGGGGCTGTGAAAACCGGAGAGGTATTGATGCGGTCGATTTGGGGGCCAAGGACGGTTGCTGTGACTGAAGTTGCACTTTCCTTCGATCCATTGAGTTGCCACACATGACCCCTAAAATGCCGCTGATCCAACCCGCCCAAAAGTCATCAGGAATGGCGACGGTGGTGACCGATACGGGGTCGGTTCTCGAGTCCTCATATACTGCCATATTGATTAACTATGATCATTGGATCAAAGCACAGGCTCTCTCTGGTCAAAATCCCGAAATTTTGACGGGTTTGTGTCAGCATGATAGCAGCAAGTAAAGCTAGGCATTCTCCAACGATAATCACATGAGACATATGCTGTGTGTAGCCAGCAGTGGTAACATACTGTCGCAGAAGGTATTGATTCGTTGCTAGCTTTAGCACCGTATTTTAGCAATACAAGACGCAGGCACATGCATATATGCAGGCAAGGCAGATGCGAAGGATCTTAGAATAAGAAACCCATTCGACCAGGTGACAAGCTATATCTACCTATCTACCCTGCCATCTACAGACCTACAGACTGCCGCTGGCTTGGTCCCAAGCATTCGGTGTATATGACGAACCCCTCCTTTTCTAGCGGGTAAGGCGGTTAGCAAGATAACGGCGGACAGAAGGGGGCGAGCTCTGGTCCGGCGGCGGAGTGGAGTCAGCGACTGGGTTAGTTAGCTTAGCCTGCAAGGCAGAGTACTTAGATACAAGTCTGAATGAAGTTTCCAACCAATACACATGTAACCGCAATCCAACGAAATCTCACTCCTATGATAATGAGCTGGCAAGGTTAGCAAAGCATCCAAAGGATTGGGTCAACGGATACCTACCTAGGTAAGCAAGGAGGAAGAGGAGTGGCGGTCGCCCAAAGTTTTCCACATGGGTCGCAAGTCATGTGACTTGGTGTTAGGTCCCCGCCTTTTACGGGAATAACATCTACGGAGGTCGCCACTGGTCGCGTCAACGCGCTTGCCTCCAAACCTCGAAATCAACAAATGGTAAGATCGTCTTACCTAAATACCTTAGCTCAGCTTTGATTAGCAAGCCGCTCGATAGTATCGAATACCCACCCAAGTTCAACTTGCCTTCGCGGCGAGCGCTTGAAGCCTCTTTTCCCTCTATTCCATCCAAACTCATATCTCGGCGTGAAGAGTCTGGTGCGTCTGGAAAGACAATAAGCGTTTCCAATGTACGTGACAAGAGCCCAAACTGAAATAATGTGCCCTGATATGTAAACCATTGGTTTACACATGTCATGTTCTGACTCAATCTCTCTACAGGGCGACCCCCGCCACACCAATAACCAAGCCGAAGCCGAACACGACGCCCGGCAAACGTCTCATATCCCAAAAGTCGGTCGACCAGCTATACAAACCGTTCAAATGCCCCGGTTCCGCCACGAGAACGCCGGCGACTGACCGCCCGGCCCGCAAAAAGAGAAAGGTCGATTACAGGGGCGCCGATGGCAACGATTCGTCTGACAAACCATATACCAATGCCGATCGACTAGCTCTTGCCAATAGAGATGTCAATCGGTTTCCCGTATTCCAGGCGAAGGACAAGGATAAGGTGTTCAGGAAAGCCTTTGCTGTGCCGCTGATCAACAAGAATGTTGCCGGCTACAATCCCAACCGCCCGCCGCCTACTCTTGGCCTGCGTCAAGGGGCTGCATTTGTCGCAAAACCATTGCACGACCCCAGTGGCGAGTTTGCCATCGTGCTTCATGATCCTACTGTTGATGATAAGCCAAAAGTTGACGGCAGACCCACTGAGAGTAATGCGGAGGAACAGTCGACGGCGAAACTAGATGCCCCTCTAGTACACAAGAGCTTGGCCGAGATTCTCGGCATCAAAAAGAAGGTCGAGGGAGAACACCCGAGAGTCCCTGTAGTCATCGATCCGAGGCTAGCCAAAGTCCTGCGACCACATCAGATTGAGGGTGTCAAATTTATGTACAAGTGCGTAACGGGCATGATTGACGAGCAGGCCAATGGCTGTATTATGGCCGATGAGATGGGTCTGGGAAAGACATTACAGTGCATCACACTCTTGTGGACCTTATTGAAACAATCACCAGATGCCGGCAAGACCACAATTCAGAAAGCCATTGTGGCCTGTCCTTCTAGTTTGGTCCGCAATTGGGCTAACGAGTTGACAAAGTGGTTGGGAGCTGATGCCATCACTCCTTTCGCTATTGACGGTAAGGCGACAAAGGAGGAGCTAACCCGACAGCTACGCCAATGGGCTATATCGACTGGTCGCGCCGTGACCCGCCCCGTCATTATCGTCTCGTACGAGACGCTTCGCTTGAATGTTGAAGAGTTGAAAAACACGAAGATTGGCCTGATGCTATGTGATGAGGGACATCGACTGAAGAACGGCGATAGCCAAACGTTCACTGCCCTTAACAGTTTGAATGTTAGCAGACGTGTCATTCTTTCTGGCACGCCAATTCAGAACGATCTATCAGAATACTTTGCCCTCATTAGCTTCGCCAATCCTGGACTCCTGGGCTCACGACTAGAGTTCCGAAAGCGATACGAAATACCCATCCTCCGAGGGCGAGATGCCGATGCGACAGAGAAAGAACGTCAAAGGGGCGACGAATGTCTCGTGGAGTTGCTTGGCGTGGTCAACAAGTTCATCATTCGGCGGACTAATGATATCTTATCAAAATATCTTCCTGTGAAATACGAACATGTTGTATTCTGCAACTTGGCCGACTTCCAACTTGATCTTTATAACTATTTTATTAAAAGTCCGGATATTCAGGCTTTATTGCGCGGCAAGGGAAGCCAACCTCTTAAGGCTATCGGGCTCCTGAAAAAGCTTTGTAACCACCCAGATCTCCTCAATCTCGCAGAGGATCTGCCTGGTAGCCAACAGTACTGGCCGGAAGACTACGTCCCAAAAGACGCCCGGGGTCGCGACCGAGATATTAAGCCTTGGTACTCGGGTAAGATGCAAGTGCTCGATCGCATGCTTGCAAGAATTCGACAGGACACGAACGATAAGATTGTGTTGATCAGCAACTATACCCAGACCCTCGATCTGTTCGAGAGGCTCTGCCGCAACCGTGGATACGGTTCATTCCGGCTTGACGGTACCATGGCTGTAGCTAAACGACAAAAGCTAGTCGACAAGTTCAATGACCCCGAGGGCAGTGAATTTGTTTTCCTGTTGTCCAGTAAAGCCGGTGGGTGTGGTCTCAATTTGATTGGCGCAAACCGTCTAGTCCTCTTTGATCCAGACTGGAATCCAGCGGCAGATCAGCAGGCACTAGCCCGTGTATGGCGTGATGGACAAAAGAAAGACTGTTTCGTATACCGGTTTATTGCAACGGGCACGATTGAGGAGAAAATCTTCCAACGGCAATCTCATAAACAGTCACTATCGAGTTGCGTCGTCGATTCCGCCGAAGACGTTGAACGTCACTTCTCACTGGACAGTTTGCGCGAGCTGTTCCAGTATCGCCCCGACACCCGCTCCGACACTCATGACACCTTTAAGTGCAAACGATGTAAGGCTGATGCGGCTCGTCAATTCATTAAGGCACCTGCCATGCTATATGGTGATACCAGTACTTGGAATCATTTCGCGAATGAAGGTCTTTCGTCTATTCAAGACCTCTTACTTCGACAAGAGTGCAGCGAGAAAGAAGTTTCTGCTGTCTTCCAGTACATTTCACATTAAGGCAGACATTTTGGTTCGCACATGCATTTTTGGGGGATCATGAGATTTGATGATGGCGTAATGAGGCAAATGCGATATTTGCTAGAGACATTGTTATGTTTATTTGCTTTTCAATGGCATGAGCATTAGATAGAGCTACGGTCAAGACTTTTGGACTTATATTAGCATGGCGAATGGCGAACGGCAGAATCATAAAGACATACAATTTTGCAACTTTCTTGTTCCAGTGTCCTCACATCCTAATTACTCATGACAGGCATTGTTCCTTGGGGTTGGGGTATAACCTCCATGGACAACCGATATACGCCGAAACAGATTTGTTTCTCCTAACTTTGTGTGTAGATCGAGCCCAAACGTGTCAGCCCCTCTCGGAGACCATAATATCATGCTGTCACGGAGTTAATCCCGTGAAGATTAACGGCTTTGTATGGCTATACCGACTGCTCAATCCGCAGTTTGAAGATATGAGGCGTTTAGGTTTGAAGCGTATACTGGCTAATGCGAGCCAATGTGTATTATAAAAGCGGATATGTCTCAAAATGACGCTGGAGAACTTCCAAGGCAATCTGAAACCGAGAACAATGCCGTAGCGACCATTCCTGGGTGCTTCCATACTGAGACTCTTGAATGCACCTCTTTGTACGTGTTGGCCTAACTTCACCGAAAACGGAAATCAACCATACTCTTACCCCCAGCATACCAACTACACAAAATGTATATGCTTCATAGTTCAGATCCATTGCTAGATGCTTCCACCAGACAGATTTGATTTCTTCAGCCAGCATCGCAATGGAAATCCCGGTCGGTATCGACCAGGACATTGAACAGGTATTTTTCCGGAGAGCGAGGTCGCTAGCGCGTCAGGCGCAAAATGCGATCGCAGATTCGAGAACATGGAGTTTTGAAAAGATGATAGGCCACGGGAGCTACGGCGTGACTATGTTGCTAAGTGAACGGGACCTCTTACATGACCGCCAGAGAAAAGTAGTCCTCAAGCTGCCGTTGGTGTTAAATGGAGGAAACCAGGACTTTGCCAGAGAAGGCGAAACACTCGAGGTACACCAGCGTACAATTTTATCTATTATACTCGTTCGTCATACTAACCAATGCTTCCAATCAGCTTTTGCGCGGACATGCACATATCGCTCAGCTGATCAGTTACATCGAAAATATTTCGGATTTTCGGCGGACAGGTGGAAGAGTCAGACGCACTATAAGGCGCGTAGTGCGCGCCATTAGAAACCCTCCTGCGCACTTATTCGGTTACTTAAACCGTTTAAGCCAAAATACTGGCCCAGCCCTACTGTTAGAGTTCATAGAAAATGGAGATTTGATTGGAATTATAGAACGAATATATTTTCGCCGCTTTCAGCTGCCCAACCGAATTCTTTGGGCTTGGTATCATTGCCGTGAGAAATCTTCCCCTGCTGTCCCGGCGTGAATTTTCGAGTACAGCATGCTGACTAGAAGCAAGTGGTGAGCGCTTGTGTTGCAATGACATACGCAAGGGAGTGCTCGGGGCCCCGACCTGTGAGGGAGGAAACGCCCCAAAGGAATCATACACATCTGCGACTTGTTCACAATGATATTGCTGCCAGAAATGTCATGGTGGGCGAACGTGATCCAACACATCAAGCGCGTCAGTATTCCAGACATTTACTAATGCTTCTTTTCCTTATCTACGCCAGCGCCGGCACGGACGTGACCAGCTTAATAGGCATTGATTCGTTAAATTCGTACCAATTGACTGTCAGTTGCTAACTCTCATATAATTCAAGACCGGCATACGCCGAAATTAGCACTCATAGACTTCGGATTAGCACGCAGTTTACCAGAAAACCTAGAGCGAGAAGCCGAGAGCAGGAATCTATACGCAATCAACTGTGTAGGCATTTGATTTTTGCCATGTGTTAAAATACCTTACTAACCAATAAAACTCCTAGGTAATGTTAAACTTGATTAATCCACCACTATCCCAAGAGGGTCAACCGCTTTACCCATATGAGTTTAACGGAATATTAACACTAGCGAGGGGTCTCTTTAATGGGAGGCGAACTTCTTTGCTAGACCCCGAGCTACGAAGACTTCTTGCGGAATCTTTCAGGATAGGAGACGACGGGCAGCCTTTCGGAAGGCCGTCATTACAGGAGACATTTGAAAGAACCAGGATCGGGATGTTAAAACCCACGGAATCATATCGAAATCGAGTCCGTGAAGGGGATCACTATCTCCGTGGAAGCTTGCAGCGCTTTCTCTATGATGCTCCGGGCGATTGGACCTGAAGTGGTCTAGATGACGCAACTCAATTTTGAAGTTGGCCTGGCTGCAACTTAAGACAATGCGCCTTGAAGGTATTAAAGGGCATACATAGTAACGGCCTCCATTAGTTAATTATCTAGTCACTTAATGCCGGATAGATCTTTAATGGGGCATAAACGAATGATGATTTATTAGCCGCATAAATTAGATTTTCCGTATGTTCACTCCATGCTGTAAGTATACTGCATCGATTTCGGCGAAATGGTCTTTGCATTCCTAGGTTTAACTAATCACCTGCCAATCCTTTCGTCTTAAAAAAAGAAAAAGACAAGAAAACAATACTTTTAAAATCTTAGGAAGGGAAGAAACAGATTTTAGTTGAATTTAATGTTTATCACCACTATAGCCATAACGTGCGAATACTGATTGCATAGCAGTATACCGCATATCTGATGGTAGGAACATTTCACCCCGCAAATCCTGAGACAAACTCCACAGCCTCTCATAATGAGCTTTCACATTATTCATTGCGGATCGATAGGCTTCCGTTCTTGTCGCCGAGTCAGGCTTGCTGAGGTACGAATCTCTGGCATTCATCCATGTGTTTTCGCCAGTCTACGGTAAGAGCGTGGACCCTCTCAAACGAAACAACTACTGCCTGGTAATCAGGATATGCACGTGCTGCTGATGACCGTGGTGTTACAGAGGCAAGCAGTTCATTCAACTCCATTCTCATGCTGCAAAGATTATTTGCGTAAGTGTCGTGACATAACTCAATGTCAAGTCGTTGCTTGCCACTTAAATAGGAATCTTTTCTAGGCTCTTTAGATTCCTCGGATTTCTTAGCTTTTGGGGGGTTAGAGGAATTACCCTTGGTAGATTCACCGGGCTTGCTGTGTGAACGCGGTTTATTGGAAGTAGTGGAACTCTTGGACGCACTTGGCTTTTCAGAACCAACGGGCTTGTTGGACTCCTTGGACTTATTGCTTTCTTTTTCTCTGTTTGTTGGAGTGCTCTTCTGTTGCTTTTCAGATGAACTGGGCCTGAATGTGTTTGGACTAGGTCTGTTGCCTTTGCTAGATGCACGGTTTTTTGAGTGCTTCAAGTCGTAAAGCTCCCGTTTTGTGGGATCAGTTAGAACGTCTCGAGCCTCAACAATTCTCACGAAACGCTCATGGTTTTTAGCTTCTCGGGCCTCTCGCTCATCTGGGGTTTCAGCCCGCCCGGTCGGGACCGTCGATATATTCGCTTTATCAGGAAGCATTTTGAGAGACAATTCTCTGAATGCTCTGTTGATTGTGGCCACATCAGCGTCAACCGTGACTCCAAGCACCTCATAGAAATTCGTGGACGGCATTATTTTTGGTGAGTTAGGCTGGTAATTATTACGTGATTTGATTTGACCAAAGTTGATTTGGGCTGATGAGGTGCGTCTTGGCCTTGTCCTATAATTGCTTTATACCTACCCAACAGTGTTTTGAGCGAGACCAAAGAACATGCCGCCAAACATACATTGTGAAAGTGCTACACAAGTTATTACAACGTACGATAGATATTTACACCAAAGCTTGTCAGGGATGCGTCTGTCGTTTCGCATTTTCCAGTTCCTTCATTTTAAAAAGCCTAAAGTAGATGCAATTGGGCTTGAACTACTGACCATAAGCGATCGGGTTTAAGAGGACCTGATTTACTATAATCACGCACTATGATCAAAGTTTGGAGATCCTCTTTATCATGTGGTAGATTAAGGTGGTATAGCGAGAAGAATGTAAACTTACATTACACAGCGTCCCTTGTTATATTCAGGGTGAGCACAAGCTCAAAATCCTTACGCGTATAAAGTTATTACAACTGTACACATTAGTGTCAAGGGTCTCAGGGCAGGGCAAGAAAGAGATACATTGCATATAAGTTAATCAGAGAAGGCTGAATGCCTTCAGACTTCTGACCTTTTAAACTTTGTGCTATAATAAGAGCCTTACTGTATACCTTGTATACCCTGTATAGCCCTTCTGACAACCATCCTAAGTTTGACTTCTGAGAGATCGCCGTTGACCTTACTTACTCGGTTGCTATGCTCTCTTTTGCATGGTAAGCTATCGAAGGGCTTAGGGCAAAGTGAAGATGAGGCTGACTATGTATTCCCCGAAATCCATCCGATCATGGATCGCAACAACTTAGTTGACATGATATGTTAGACAGGGATTTCTGCTTTAAAACACTGTTATCATGCTTAGCCACCGCATCATTCATGCATAGGCCTCTTTGTGATAGGCAGGTATATAAGAGGGGTAGATTCAACTAGCCCCGGCCACTTTTCTCGACAGCTAATCACATAGCCTCGTCAGCGTAGGTGTCAAGGGCTATAGTTACAACCTATACTAGGGGTGGCTATCTTGGATTGGTCTATATAATCAGGAGCTACCCTCTAGATATTCTAGAAGGTTAGGGGTCAATTGACTACTCTATTAAGCCCTATACTACTAATTACTGCCTAACCGTGACCAGCCTTCTATTCACTCCGGGACACCCCCATATGACAGTAGGTACCAGCGGCAAGTATAAAGGCATGACTAGGTTTTAGGGTATCAGCTGAGAAATGTTCATATGTGGTATACGCTTATGAATAATCGTTCTTTTGTCCTTATCAGTTCAATCGATGGGATTCGTTCTATCTCGCATACCTACGTGGGTAGATATCCGGCCGGCTCTCGCGAAACTTCAGTTTCCTTATTGACAAGACGAAGGCAATCGTGGGAGTAGCTCAGAGTGAGGCGGCAGCTATACGTATCACTATATGATCAGGCACTAAAGTATGAGGGGAGTGATTCCCACAGGACGCTCGTGGGGGTATTGAGCTGATGAGACAGCCACCCGAGGTGAGGCTGACTTTGAATTCTACTCGTATGGAATAATAGCTCATCGCCACCACTCACCTGGCGCAGTTTATAGTCTTCAAATAGGACCAATGGTTCCTGCCTGTCAGTAACTATCTTTTCAATTTGGCAGGCTGATGTATTGAATTATCTCATAATTCATAGCTAACATGAAATATATCATTATTACTCCTCTCCTGCTTCACATAGCAGCTTCCGAACGAGCCAGCATTACGGATTTCCCAGCCTTTTCGTCACAGAGACCATGCGCTCGGGATTGTTTTGCTTATGATAATATGGATGTGGGGCCTGCTGAGCTGGCACTTGCCCTGGGATGCGATTCAAGGCCTGCCCAAAACGAATGCATCTGTCGATCGGATCTTCAAGACGATGCTGACACTTACTTGGAGCACTGCGTTTACACCGGCTGTACTTCGAATACTCTAGACGCTAACATCGCGATTTCGATATATTACGACTACTGCACAGGCGCGGGATTTCATCGGGAGGTGACAGTGAAGACAACTTCAGGTACGTGTGACTTTCTATCAGCAGCCACGGTCACCGTGACCGTGACTGCTAAGGCTTCATCTGCCCAAAACCAAACGCCCTCGACTTTTCTGGTCTTTTTCGCAAGCTACTTAATTTGGCTATACATGGGGCGGAGTTGATACGTATGCTTTCGACACAGGTTCTTCCACCACTTCGTCCCCGTCCCCGTCATGGTCTTCGTCCTTGCCAACATCCCACTCTACATATTTGTCTCGGCCTTCATCGTCAGACTTATCTAGTTTGGTAGAGGGTTCTAGTTTTCCGGTTGATCCCAGCGAAACTCGGGTTCCGGAAGCTACAAATATTCCATCTAGCGGTGACGCTAATCAGGGTGATGATGATCGCACGGGTGGGATTATTGGTATCGTTGTTGGTATTCTTGGATTCATAGCTACTGCCGTAGGGACCTGGTTTGCATACAAGGCAATTAAGAATAGAAAATAAGCACCTTATATGTCGTGCTTTGGAGACAACTTGAGAGTGATCTAGTAGGTCTTGTTACAAGAAACTGGTGGTATTCATCGTTAATTGTTAACATATCCCAGATATATGAAGGGCTGAAGATTAGGTTTATTACCAATACATGATGTCTTGTGTTAGGTTTCAAACAAGGTGAATTCTCTGTCTGGCGCACAATAATTCCTCGCTTTTCGAGTCGTCTTCGTAGTCTCTCCTGAAATAACCTATTCGGCTATACAGCCCTTCTTTACGTTTCTGTACTATGATTCCTGAGTCGTACCAACAACGGAGGGACCCCTTAGCCGTTGGTCCAGACTGACTAGGCGCCCATTCTTCAGGACCAATGTTTTTCGAGAGAAACAGATACCATACGCCTTCTTCTGGGTATATCGGCCCATTCGCTTCAATATCCATTATAGCGCGAATTTTTCCAGAAGTTCGATCATCCTCGAAGTCATGTCTATTGCGATATAGAAGCTCAGACTCTATCTCAAGGATAGTTAACCCTGCTTGATCCAGCATTGACACCTGAGCAACCTCTTCGGCCCCCAGTGAAGACAGACCTTGCACAACGGAAACAGTGCAGTCATACGTATCCCATTCGTCAGTAAAGTAGAGTATCGGATAATCTACGGATGCCCACGACCAAGTTGGTGCACGCTTAGACCTCTCTGTCTGAATCATTTGACGAGGCTGGGCATCCTCCTCGCCTTCCGGCCAGTCAAGTGGACCTGAGACGTTACTTCTACTCCACAGGAGAAGACGCGGGAGACAGTTCGTAAAAACACCTGCAACATAATCACCTCCTACGTCTGGTGACAGATGTTGTAATAATTCACTGGCTAAGCCCTGCACACCCGGAAGGCGGTCATCCGGGAACGTGAGAGAACGACGAGTGAACTGGGTCACAATCATTTCCCATGAGTTTACTAGGAAGTCGCTGTCCATCCAACCGGGCCCGTGGTCCTGGTGAGCCTGCTGAAGTTGATTAGACAGCCTACCATCTGGTGCGTATAATCTACCGCCATGGCGCATAGGACTTGACAAGTGACGCCTGCTCCCACTATTCAATATCAAGGTCGCCGGTTTCCGGTTACACTCACAGTACACTTCGAATTCGGAGAACGTAACCAATCGCATGGAAAGCATGGCTTCCTGGAAAGCCCAACCTCGTGTGGCAAGGGGTTGAATGGTTGATATACTAGATAATGCAAATGTCAGAGTAACTTGGCCATTGGTATCGGATCCAGGGATTTTCACGGCCATGGGAAATGATGGCGTTTGGGTTCGTCCTAGTTCCGGCTTTAAAAACCCGCCCATGGCACTACGAGAATGCGCAGCCACTATTGTTACTGTCGAGTTGCGGTATATCTGCCCCATCTTGCCTATCTCTCTCCTTTTGTCGTCTTCATTATCCTGTATGATACAAAGCGCATCTACCCAGAGGTACCGAAATCCAAAACGACGAGTAGTAAGTACAGCATCTCGGACTGTTGGTGGCAGGGTAGACTCATGGACTCCGTTTATCAACTGCACAACGGTGTTCGAATTTGCGGTAAGTGGCTGCGGCCCACCCCAACAATAGCTCAGGGTGACATAATCATCAGACTCCCCCTCATCAGTCGTGTGAATCTTTATGGAATTGGACTCAGGTGTTCCAACGTCTATCACACGAGTGGGAAGTTGGGGTTTCCCATCATACAAGCATCCATCGTGACCTTTGGAACTGAGGCATGTCTGAATCCAATTTACGATGTCATTCATGATATCGTCGGTCATGAATGTATTGGAAAAGGGTCTCTTCGGAAAGATTTCCGCTGCAGGATCATCTGGATGGAAATCAGTCGACAATGTCAGCACGATCAACAACATGGACATACCCCTAGAAGCGAGGGGCACAAAGTCTATAACTGTGTACCAGCCCTTCTGCCGAATACGACCTATTAGCATCTCAGTTCCCTTGATACTATGGGGTTTGTAATTTTCGAAGAAAGGGCGATAGGATGGATCATAATCCTCCATTTTCACAGCGAAGAAATGGAGTTGGAGAGCATGGTTCCCGTCGCGAGATGACCTAGCCGACGGATGGGGCGCGGTGCCGGAATAGGGTACCCAACCACGCTGAAATATAAACTCGCACAGATCACAGCCGTTTTGGGCGCTTTTCAAGCAATCTGCCTTGCTGTGGTGAACAAAACCTGTCTCGGAACAGAGGTCATCTAAGCCTTGGGCGGATCCGAGTAAAGCTACGCATTTCCTACAATACGGCTGACCGTCAACCTTATCCGTTGAACGCTCAAAGGTCCAGAGACGAGTAAGGATGTCCATGCTTCCCGAAGTCCCGAGGCGTGAATATGAATATGAAGAGATGAACGAAGACATGAAACACCTCTCCTGATATAGTAGGTAATACTTTAGAGCGTATTCTAGGTGGGGGTCACTTTTAGCCCCCAAACTATGCGATATTGCTGAGCTGAAGCTAGCCTGTCGAGAGATGTTAGGGCTGGGATAATGCGTAACATAATACTCATTGAAATGCAATAGAATTTCCGATATTAAGGTGGATTTAAATAACAAGTCATTTTAACCGACTATAACTTTAACCATTTTATTGTTGATTGTAGCAGTAAATCCATTATAATGAGCTAAGATGAGATGTACACTATAATCACATAATCCTTTGTCAAACTGCCCTTCTTTCAAGATCTCCGCAGCGCAGTGTCAAGGGCTACGTAATCTGCAGGCAGCTGACATTCTTCAGTTTATATTATTCTCAACATTGAAAAAAAAAAAAAAAAAAAAAAAAAAAAAAAAGATACTCGCTCCTAGAAAGATCCAGCTCAGGCTCAATCTAATATTTTCATAGAAATATCAAACAATTCAACCTTCATCAGTAAATTCAAAACGAAACAACGAACTGCACAAATCCAGATAACCCGAGGGGTTTAATCCTTCCATTATTTGCACAGCCCTAACTTTTGCAGAGCCTTCCTCATGGGCAAGTCTATACATGTCAAAGAGGTATCTTGACCTCGTGAACCCAGATCCAACTGAATCAACACTTCTGTTCCTAGATTCCGAATCTCCTGTCTCTTCAGCATCTTTTAAACATGCAGACGAGTGCATCATCAACAAACTCCCTCTCAAATGCAGACTCCCTCACATTGCTATACACCGTAACACGGAATGTTCAATTCATTACATCTCATCTATTCTTAGATGCATGGTATCTATGCCTACGCTCTCTGCCACTCATGTCTTTTCACCATGAAGCAGAGTGATAGAAAGGGATAGGAGGGAAAATGAAGTGGTATCGTGAAGAAGAGATATAAATCAGTGACGCAGAAAAGCTAACTATCTACTGATTGATGCCGATGCTTATGCCAGTGCCTATGACAACCCAACTTTTATCCTAGATTACATGACAACCTGGAAAGCCGGTGTTAGTGAGAAAGGGGAGCTGCAATGATAGAGATAAAGAGGTAGAATAAAACTTACGCAATCATCATCTTGCTTGCCCTGAGGGATACCCATTGCCTCGAAGGTAGCTGGACCTTGTTTAGAGGGTTTGGCCGGGGCTGAAGCAGTCGAGTTCGGTGTACTCGGGCCAGGACTCGGCCGGCTTTGAGGTGGCGATGCGCTCGAACGGCCGCCTTGGTCCATTGCAAAAGGTCTATCTTTCAAGGGCACACCGACAGCGGGGCCGCCAGGGCCACTAGGGCCACCGGGAGTAGGTCGACCACTGCTGCCTGGCCTCGGACCACCTTGTGGCAACCCACCAGGAGGCATGGAGCCAACACGAGGCCCTAGACCGCCACTCATAGACGGCGCACCACCAGGAATACCGGCAGCTGACATACGTGCACCCGGCGCACTGCCCTGGGGTAGAGATGATTCCCTCTTCCCATATCCTGGTTGCGGCAGTGGCCCACCTCGGCCAGCGCCACCAGGAGGTGGCATCTTCGATAACATATTTGGCCTCGGCTGGCCCGGGAGACCACCTCCTACGGGGCGATCATACTGAGATGCAGGCGGTCGTTGATTGTACTCAGCTCCCGGGGGACGCAAGTCTTGCAGGCGAGGACCAGGGCTCGGCTGTCGGTAACCACTCGGCACCTGAGGTTGCCATCCGGGTGATGCTGAAGCGGGCCGGCCATAGTTTGGATCCATACCGGCAGGTGGAATAGGAGTTTGGTTCCCTGAGTGTACTCGCAAGCCACCTTGTCCCGCTGGTGACTGTGTACGAATGCCGAACGCGCTTCCTGGGCGATCAGCTGTGGGACCTGCGGAAGGCCTTATGCCTGGGTTATAATGAGGTGACAGTTGCGGCTTCTGCCCCACCATATCGTCCTCAGGATATGGCGTAGTAGAAACTGGTCTGTTCAGGTTGAGAGGCGCTGGTCGGTCGTCTTCGGGGTATGGAGCCGTAGACTTTGACCTATCAGGAAGATTTACCGTGAAAGCAGGCTGTCTTCCGCTATTCCCGCCGGAATTAGGTCGAGATCGGGACGGGTCGGGATAGTCTACATGCTCAAAGTTCTGAGCTCGCGGCGATGGTTGGGGTGAGACCTTCGGCGAAGCTTGAGCTTCTGAGACAGTGGGCATTGTGCTGTTCAGTTGCTTGAATCGATCTGGTCGTTGCCCTCTTTGCGACCCATGTTTCGACTTAATTCTCGTCAGTGTTGAAGTCTCGTGGTCTTCTTTAGAAAGCGTCTTGGCTTGGGAGAGACTCTCCAATCGTGCCGCCGCATCCTTATTTCCATGCTCGGCGGCAAGCTCATACCACTTGCGGGCTTCTCTGATGTCCTTCGCAACCGATATACCGATCTCGTAATAGTAGCCCATGGCGAATTCGCCAGTTGCCAGTTTTGTCTTGGCTGCCATTTGTGCATATTTAAAAGCCAGTTGTTCATTCTTCGCAAACTCACTTTCATAACCGAATAAGAACCAACGGCTAACGCCCAAGCACGCTTCCGGTTGGCCTTGCCGAGCGGCCAGACCGTAGTAATGCAGTGAATGAGATGGCATAAACTCACATCCAAGCTGACATAGCTCGTATGCTTGACCCATCTTCAGCTGCGCTTTGGCAAATCCTAGGTAGGCGGCCTTCTCGATGTACTGCCTAGCAACGGTCACATCATAGGCCAATATACCCTCAGGAATCGTGACGTCAGGTAAGTCCCTTGCTATCAGCATACCATAAACGAACGCACCTTGAGGTGCATCCTCATCTGCTGTATCGGCAGCCTGGTGGATCAAATCAAGACCTCGAGCTATGTCTTTGGGCATACCTCGCTGACCAAGGAGATTGATCATGCCTAATCGATACGCGGCCGCCGAATCCTTGTTGCTGAGGCCCAACTGATAATGGCGCATGGCCTTATCCATGTCATTTGAACTTTCGTACAACATGCCAATGCGATAATCGGCACGGCCCCATCCCTGCTGTGCAGCCCTCATGTACCCGCTGTAAGCCTCTTTCTTATCCTGCCGCCTATTGAACTTTCCAAATTCTAGCCACTTGCTCCGTATGAATAAAGCTTCTGGATGGCCCTGGTCGGCCAGGTATGTTATGATATTAACGGCATCGCCTCGTAACTCGTGTTCAAGCTTCGGGGTGACTGGGCGCGGTACTTCGCGATCGTTGGCATTTCGAGCGGCTTCAGCTTCGCGCACAGCAGCTTCGGCGGCTATTTCGACAAAGGCCAACACATCACGAGCCCAGCATATCTGCATATCGGGATCGTTGGAATGTAGGACATGTTCCCTACTATTGGCGAGCACTGTCTCCTTCTCTTCGTCGCTAGGTGGTATGTGTTCCCCGCTCACCTTGGGAAAAGGCGAGAAAGAGGGTAAGTCATTCATGTCGCGCAGGCTTTGCTCAAATTGCGTATTGGTATCCCGCTCCTGAAAAGGGCTGAAGTTGGAGGCGGGGCTGTAATCGGCTGGTTTCGGTCTGCCGGGTTGGTACTGCTGCCCGTAATTACCGGGTTGGGTACCGATGACGGTGGAGAGGGACGGTTCGCGATGATGGCGAGTTCCTGATGTGGTTCCGCTGCGGTTTGGGTGGTTGACTTCTGTAGCTTCGAGTTCCATGCGCTGAAGGCCCTGTTGCATGTTCTCGGGGACTTCTGGCATAACCCTACTCTTGTTAGCCCGGGTGAACTAAGTGACCAAACCCGTGACGGTTATCATGGGGTCATGGTGTTGTTATGGGTGCAGCGTTGGGCGCTAGTGAAAAGAGCGGTTTCGTTTGAAAGAGCAGGAGGGTCCCGATGTCTTATCAGATGGAAAATAAAAGAAAGAAAACACACCTTTGCGGCAAGGGAGCTAGCACTTCGGGCATAAGATAATCATCTACGCCGCCTGGGTAGAAGGTGGCTCCAAATTGAGGCATGTCTAGAGAATCGTCGAGCTGCGAACCTGCATGAATTGCGAAACGCCGTCAGCAGAATGACCAATACAGCCCAGCCCTGGCAGGCAGAGTTGCAGCTAGCAATCCGTAAGGCTAAGCTAGCTCCTTAGGCTCCTTAGCAGTGGAAGCGGGCAGGTAGTAAGAATTAATGCAATGGTAATATGTAGTGCACTCCGTAGGACTGACGGACTCCCTGCCTAGAGCGCTGTAAGCGGAGCGCAAAGGGGAGCCTGCTGGCTGAGGCGGGGCTGCTTCTGGTATCCGCGGGGGGTGTCTGCGGATCTCTCTCCCTCTTCTCTCCTTTTCCTTTTCCGCCCTTTCTCCTCTTCGCTAAATCAGCATATACCCTTGCTTCCTCCTAATTGCGTGTAGTATGCGCAGCGGGCAGAGGTACCGGAGGGAAGGCGGGTAGCTGCAATACTGGCCGACCACACGGCTGGAGAAGCGGCGATTGTGTAGATGATGGCGTTGGTGTTGCAAAGGGTCTCAGGTGTTTGTTCTACCGTTTCCCCGCCGCGTCCGGTCAAAGGAGGAGTGACAGGTCCGATCAGCCCGGGTCTCAGTCTGACGAGCACGACAATTTCTCTAACGCATGCTTGACATGATGCAACAACCAGTTCCGTCTAAAACGCTGGGTGAGTAGCGGAGGGGTTTGTACATATAGTCAAAGTAGGTCTTACACAGCCGCAAGGATGCGTGTGTATTTCTGGTGCACAGTGGATCTTTGGATGGAAGGCGCAGTTTGATGGGGTCGTCCCCTTGAAAACAGCAGCGGGTACCTTCCCTAGCGCACTATGTAGGTAGTAGGTATTGTACCAGCGCATCTGGCAGCCCTGGAGATATCTGGCAAACTCGGCAGTGCCTGTGGCATCGGTACTGGCAGGGAACAACCGCAAGATACCAGGGGTTTGTCCATTCTACCTGGCAGACACCCCTGGGCAGTGCCTGGGTTCTCTGTATTGCCGCCTGAGGATCCTTGATTGCTGAAAGGGGGTCTTGGTACACTACGCTATGCGCTATGCGCTATGCTATGCGGTGTGGGGAAGCGAGTTAGACTGCCCATGGTTGGATGGACTCTCGGTTTAAATGAGGTGTACGCAGTCGCTGACGTTACCCGGAGGTTTAAGCCGACATTGTCATACCCATCCGCCAGTACTTATATTGTAGGCAGCGGTATTTCATTTTCCGGTGGCGGCCTCATGGTGCTGTGTCCTGTGTCGGTGTGGTGTGGTGTGGTGTGTCGAGAAAGGGCTCCCGTTGGGATGAGGTCAGACTCTATCTAATCCTTACCCTCTTCTGCCAACCAGGAGCCTTTGACTAGGACCAGGTGCCTACGGTAACGAGTAGTCTACCACGACATCCGCATATCTTCGCATTGATTAATTCTTCGCCGGTGTAATAAATAACAATGAGGTAAGTTGGGCGGGCCGAAAAGAGTGAGTGACCAAACTCTACGACGTTGGCCGACGTTAAAACGTCGGTTGTTCTTGAGATTTCTCGGAATGTCTTATATATCAGATCCGAGATCCACCCCGGGTTTAAATCCGCATGTTCAAGCGACGGCCTCTGGGAATAGAGGGAGTAAGAGAGAAGCAGAGAGGGAGAGAGAGATACTGCCGTCTGCCTAAGGCCCAGGTGTCCCAGCGAAGAGGAATGAATCATTCAGACAAATGGAGGCTTACCTGGCTTCATGATCGCCACCCCGGATTCTCCATACGCCAACCTGCTCATCATGAATACACCTAGCTGTGGCTTTTGCGGGTGTCGGGTAACTGTGTTCAGTAGGTATATCAATTAAAATGTCGATGTCGGTCTGTGAGAGGTTGAACTAGCATTGGTGGGTAGAGTGTCTGGCTTGCTGGATCGTGGTGTCTGGTGTAGTTTTAAACCTCGAGGAAATGGTAGGATTAGGATCTGGTGGTCACTTCAATCGGCCATATGAATCGAATAGACACAACTCGGCGACACAGAGTAAGCACAGGTACAATGGAGGGAATGGCAGGCGCAAAGGATGAGCGGTCCTTCGTCAATTTGCTAATCTTAGGGGTAGTTCGTCTCTATAATACCTATATGCAATTCATTCTATGACCTTGATATATCCTACGCGCATCTGTGAAGCATCACTAACTATTGGTCAATGATAACCTCATTATCCGCCTGAGCTGAATGTGTAGCCTGCGAACTACCCTAACCTAGCGTGCCGTGAATCCCCTCGTGGCAATTCCCTAGATGAGCTTCGACGGGCTATTCAAGCTCTACATGGATTAGTCCTCACTACCGGGCGCTATTGTTTAATGACCTGAAGGCAAGTTTCCCACCCTGTTGTTCGCCGAGTGGAACGCGCAAGGCACACAAAGGAATGCGAGCATCACTGAGATTGCAGCTGATCCATCATCCCTCGAGAACTACCTACCTACGCATGCCCGGGTCCAGATACCAGCCGCACGCGCCATGGTTTGATACAATTGGTATCGCAAGATAACAGACTACCTAGACAACCGAAGCGAGCCTCGCTCCGCCTGGGATCGTGGTGAAACAAAGCCTCCCAACGGCGCGGAAAACATCACTCGGCCTAGCCACATCATGTTGCTATTTTGGTCAGCGAACCGCGCTATGCTGCAGTATATATAGATGTACTACCTATCCATGGATGTATGTAGGTCGACGATTTTACGTATTAGGTTAGATTGGTATTCTTCGTTGCTTGTTAACATGCACAAGCGCCAAACTGCGGCTGGGGGAGCAAACCTACTGCACGCTTGCTTACTGCCTTACTTATAGAGAGCCCATCAACTTCAGTAGGTACATACAAAGTAAGTAAATGAAAGAACCAAGTGTTTGTACAGTAGGTAGGTACATCAAGCGCGAACTTACGGGATCCCGTGGGCAGAGCTTGCTTACATCTATCGACTGATATTCTCAAGCCTGTTTCTCCTATCTAGTTCGCATTTCCTCAAATTATTCGTTTCCTAGCTGGAAATACTAGGTTGACACGGCGAACCCTAGAACAAGGTACACGTGGGATGATGGGCCGTAGTCGTGTGAACGTTTCTGTGGTCATGGTGTGAGATGGATAGATAGCACGTGTATACTTTAGTTGAGCATGCGGGAGGAAGAGTAGAATAAAACAAGCGAGAAAGATACCGGATAATGTAGGATGGAACCTCGAGCTTGATCATGACCAAGTGTTCCTTTCGGCAAAACATCAGATTGTAGATATCTACACATTTACATTGTGATAGGTAGGATGAGTACAGCCAGTACGACCATGGAAGCTGTGGCGGTGCCAGGCACAGGCAGAGGCGGGACGAGGATGGGGAGCTCAGACCACGGCGGCCACCAGAAGAAGTCGCCGGTGCCGGGCGGGTCTCCCCGGCCAAGCGCCAAGAAGCTCCAGCTGTTCTCCTGCGTCAGCCTTTCAGCCTGCTTGCCGTGTATTCGTCTATCTAGACGAGGAAGAAGAAGAAGAAGATCCATCATACCTGTGACGGAACCGATTGTGTTGGATCAACCGCCATCATCACAATTCCCCTCCAATTCCTACCCCAAGCCGCATTCTCCAGGGACCCCAGTTGCCGAAATACAGAAAGACTACACCTGTATAGCAGCCACAAGCCTCTCCACCCCTGTCTCATCTGATCCGAGCTCGTCATCGTCATCATCTCAGTCCGAACCACTTCCAAACCCACCACCAATATCCGCCATCACCATGGCCGAGCGTGCCCTGCAGCAGATCATCTCGCAGCTCAAATCGCACCCCAACGCGCCCTACAATGAAGCCTCCAAGCTGCTGTCGAAAGGCAAGCTCGCCCTCCTCCAGCTGAAAGCCGTGTCGCCCTCGCCCTCGACCCCATCCTCACACCTCGCTCTCGCGCGGGACCTCTACGAGGCTGGCGCCCTGTTCAGCATCCGGGCCAAGAACGCCGAGGCCTTCACGCGCTACGTCTCGCAGCTGCAGCCCTTCTACGAACTCGCCGACGACTCCGAGAGCGGCGGCAGCAGCGGCGGCGAGAACAGGAACAAGGTGACGGGTCTGTATCTCCTCCTCCTGCTCACGCAGGGCCGGTACGCCGAGTTCCATTCGGAGCTCGAGGCTCTGGGCACGCGTGCCCGCGGGAACGAGGAGATCGAGCGCGACCGTTATCTCGGGTATCCGATCAAGCTCGAGAGGTGGTTGATGGAGGGCAGCTACGATCGCGTGTGGAAGGCCACGAAGAGCCGGGAGGTGCCCAGCGAGGAGTACGGTGTATTTTCCGAGGTGAGTATTGTCCTATGATCCGCGCCCTCCGCTTGCGTTCACTGCTCCATGTCTCCCTCCCCACCTTGGCTCTCTCGACGCATCAACTAATCTCAACCCACTCTACAGATTCTCACCTCCCAGATCCGATCCGAGATTGCCTCCAGCAGCGAGCGCGCATACCCCTCGCTACCACTAAGCAGCACCAAGTCCCTGCTCTTCCTCGAGTCCGAAGGCGCGGTCGTCGAATTCGCCCGTCATCGAGGCTGGATCATCCGCGACGGCCAGATCTACTTCCCCGCCGCCGAGGGTGCCGAAGACGGCGCCGACGACAAGGAGATCAGCCAGATGGTGATTGAGAACACGCTCGGATACGCAAGGGAACTCGAGACCATCGTCTAAATCTCGCCATCTCAAGGATCCCTACTACGCCTCGACACCGCTGGGCACAACCCATCAACGTGGAAAGTATTCTCCCACAGCCCCCCACTTCAGCCCACACTGCGAAGGGATGCGTGGATAAGCAGTAATCACTCGTGAGCTTAATAGGAGGATACCAGGGCGAAAGGCAAGGATAGATAGCCGGGACACACAGCGGGCACGAATAGAGGCAATTCGCAGGCCTGATGAATGTCCAATCTCATGCACGCATTCCATCGAGTTCATTGATGCAACGATGCTTGCTCGCGGGCCGATACGCAATTGCCGTTCCCCGAGTCTCCGTAACGGCTCATAGTATTTATTTTAGAGGATAGAGTAAAATCCGCGAAATTCACTTAATCAATTCCTCCTCCGTTCGGTCTCTGCTCTAATGCTATGTACCGCTCTAGATCAAGTAACGAGCAACACGATGTGACACGCTTACTTGTTTTCCCTACCGTCCTGATTTACTGGGTTACCAACAGATTGTGACATGGCGAATAGATGGTAATAGAAGAGAGTAGTTTTCAACTATTTCTTACACAGACGTACCATACGCACTGACTGGATTATGCTTCACCAATTGAGCACTGTGTAGGAGATGAAGTCTCAAACATTATGGCTATCCATTAAAGTGTCTCCCCCTACTTCGTACAACAGCAGCACGGGCCAGAAGCTATCTACTTAACTATGCTTGTGCTCATCTCTTTGTAGATCATAGTAAACATCAAAGTAGTTTGTAGCGCTTTTCACATTGGGTGATTTTACGTCAAGACAGGTTCTAGACTCCAGGGTGCCCAGGTCTCCTTTTTCTCCCTTTCTCGGATTCTAAACTTTTTGCTGACCAACATAACCGCCTGACTAGTTATCACGCCAAGCTCCGCTCACTGTCTCCCAATCAAAGGGAAGCTTTATTTACGAATATAACCTCAGACCGCTACCGCGTTTACCAATCTCACATACCCGGCACACAACACATCGACTGCCCTTATATTTAGAGTGGTACTTGGCACCGCAGAACGTACACTCTTCGTACGACGTGCCGCTGTAGATGGGAGTATGACTAGCTGCGCAAATATCGAATTCAGCGAACTGATCATACTCAATCTCAACAGCATCATGTGGGTTGCGTTCGCATTGCGCTTTCATTTTCTTGGCCTGCGAGTAAAGTTATTTTAATTGGTGGAACAAAATAGGATGCTAGGATTGGTTTTTACTTACGCTTTCTAAAATCCTGGCAGCGCCGCCATTCGCAAGTATACGGTTGGCGAAACTCAAAGCTGAGCTTAAGTTCTTGCTCCTGAATGCCAGATTCATAGCATTCAGAAGGGCCAGCTGACGATGGGGAACCTCGATCTTGGGAATGGTGAAGTACGCTGATAGTTCTAGGCTCCGCTTGAGCAAGTCGGGGTTACCATTCACAGCCTCAGGTGAGCCGAGGGCTCTTCGGGCTAGCTCGATCGACATAGCAACTGTATACTCGCTAGCCGAGGTAATCAACTTCTTAGCTTCAGCAACTTCGCTTTCGCTTGATACAGCATTGACCAAGATTGCATGTAGGATACCTTGGAAGATCTTCACACCTTCCTCGAGCTTATTTGAACGCATTGAGTCATAACCTTTTTGAAGATCATTGGATGCAAGATGTTCAAGGTCTCGAGGGATAATGGGCAGAACCTTCCTAGGATCAGTTTCATCCAACGTCCGACGCACATAATTGATCAGCGGCGGCAGACCTGCAGAGGCAGGGATATATGTCTTTGTTGCTGAGTATATCTCCATGAACCGAGGCTTAAGGGGTTCAAAGTCGACCGCGCCAACTTGTCGATTAAGTAGGTTCATGGCAGACTCAAACAATCCAGCTGCAACGTGATCTGCTGCTATGGGAGAATTTCGAGCCCATAAATCAGCCTCGCTGCTGCCAGCCCCGCTAGTGTCAGTGCTCTCGACATTGACAAAGTCGTTATCTGCTTCTGGAACAATGTCGTCACCCATGTCCCAACCAGCGGCGTCCTCGTCATCATCCACTTCCATTGCCCCGTTATTCTTGGCAGCAACATCATCTTCGGGCAAGTCTCCCTCATCAAGGCCGTTAGTAGCAGCCGGTTCGTCCTCTAGACTCATGCCTTCTAATTGGCCAGCAAGAGCTTTCTCGAAGAACGATTGTGATGCAGCCTTGGTAGGCCAATTCGCCTTGAATGTGGGTACTATCGGCTTTGGCGTTGTTAATGATTCACCGAACTTTGGCAAAGTAAGTTGATCTTCCGTGACACCTGTCGCTTCTAATATGGACTGGCATTCATCCTCAAGGCCATGTGCCTTAGCAGTCATATATGCAAGCGGATCTGGTACCATATTAGTGCTATCCCACTCATCAATGAAGGATATACTCACATAGATCAACCTCTTTGAACATTTGGATCCTATCCTCAACCTCACTTAAATAGAGAGCGTTCTGGAACCGGGCAGTAAAATCACCCCGATGCTCAGCGATCTTCGCCATCCTCGCTAATTTGGAGTGGTCACCTGTCGATAAGTACAAGAATGAGAGTTTGTCGAACTGCTTCAGTTTCTGGTACGCCATCTCGACAACTTGATGGTTGCCATGTGCCAAAGCCTCAGTTCCCAGCCTAACCCACAGCTTGGGCCGATCAAGTTCCTTGGCCATTTCCACTGCAACATCTAGGTTTCCACATTCTATGGCAAGCTCAAATCGCGTCGACGGGTCTTGAACGAATTGCAAAGCAATCTCGGGGTAGCCCTTCTTCTGCAGGTACGAAATAATGGATTGACCCACAAGACTCGATGTGCGGATAATGTGCAACATTTCTTCATAGTTTCTCTTGACTAAAGATAGCTTGAATCGGTACTCGGTGGGGTCGATGTGAAGAACTTTAGGTTTGGCAGATCGATCAAGACAGTATACGTTCCTTCCCTTTACCTTGACAAGGTACACAGTTTGATCGAGCGTCCTGACAATACCGTTATCGCCATTCATCAATGTGTATTTGATGTGGTTCAGTGTAGAGTATAAAAGGACACCGGCATCATCCCAAGTAGCGCTCTTGATGCGAATGGTTTCGTGCAGTGTGCTAACTTGCTCAAGAGTCTTGGTAACGATCGTAACGTTGTGCTTACTTAATAAAGCTGCGTGAAGGCCGTCGTTGGACCAGACTACATATTTGATACCGGTAACAGCAAGCTCAGCGACGCTCTTCTTTTGCTGAATGTCGTATAGATGGACAGCAGTAGGTGTTATTATAAGAAGATTTCCCGTGCCACCAAAGTAAATGTCAGTCGTTCCCACCGGTGGCTTGAAAGACCGTGCAGTATTATTAGATAGATCTTTGATATCAACTGTTTGGGTGGCAGTGTTAAGAACGGCGAATCTGTTTCGAGCGACGAAAATGGCAGAGTTTCCCTGTCCCCGCTTAGAATCCGTCGCATCCAAGGCTCCAGACCCATCCCGAGGAAGGTTGATCAGCTCATACGAGCCACCTTCCGCTGGGGATGTGACGAGAACTGAGCGTTCCGCCGGGTTATAGGATAGTGTCCGAGGAGGAACCCAGGCACTGCCTAGACGCTTAAGGGAAACCAAGGTCGGGCTCTCTACATTCTTTTGGAAGTCATAGGAACGGACATGTTTCTCCTTTGTGATGAAGAAGAGGGTGTTTTGGTGGACCGTGGAAGCAGGGCGCTCTCTTTCTAACTTGAAGACCATAACACCGTTGTCATGTCCAGCAGCGAAGAGATTGATCTCGGGATGGGCTGCGATGACCCAGAACCGGTCGTTTTCCCGTTTAAAAGACTGCACGGCGGTGCGTTTTTGAGAATCCCACACGCGAATAGTCTTGTCTTCACCACAAGACAGGATCAGGTCCTGATGTGGATGAAACAAGCATCCTGAAGCATTCTGGAAATGACCACGGCACGTATCAACTTCCCAAGCTTTCGTTTCGCTGAAACGCCACAGCTTCACAAGGCGGTCGTCACCTGCGGAGACAATATGGGGGGCGGTGGGGTGGAAAGCAACCCAATTGACACCTCGGTCGTGTCCCTCGAGAACAAATTTGACCATCGCGTCGGTATTACCAAACATGTCGGTTTGCTGTGCGTTCGATCGAGCAACCTGGTCTTCGAACGACATGGAAGTGGGAGCTGAATGCTTCTTGCGCAGGCCAGAGATATCCCATACACGAACGGACTGGTCAAGGGAAGCTGAGACGACGAGGTCGTCTTTGGGGTGGAACTGCGCACACATGACATAGTGGTTGTGGCCGGTCATGGTACAAACTCAAGCATGCGTCAGCACCAATTAGTTGCAAATGGGCGAAGAAACCTACTGAGCGAGCGGTTCTGCCAGTTCCATATCCGGATAGTCTGGTCATCCGAAGACGAAATAATCCACGGGAGTTCGTGGTGGAAAAAGACAGTGCGGACGTAATCAAGATGACCGTTCAGGGTGAACAGACACCGCCTTGTCTGATAGGACCAGACCTTGATCTTATAATCGTCGCCGCCCGAGACGAAGAGGGGCTGGGTCTTGTGGAAGTCGATACCCCTGACAGGGCCGTCATGTTCTTCGAACCTATCTATCAAAGTGCCCATACGATAGTCCCAAAGTTGAATGGTCGACGAGTGGAGAGATACGAGGATCCATGGTCTAATGCTCAACAGTTAGCTTCGGTCTTCTGAGGAACCAGACTGCACAAGGAAATCGGTACCTTTTCGGGTGGAAGGCGATGCCCTTCGCCCTTGAGGACTTGGACTCAAACTACGAACATGGGGTATCAGCAAGAGCTCCAAAGACATGCGATCGCCGTGTGATACGCCAATGGGCGAAGGCAATTGCGCACCTTTGTCAACATTCCCGAGGAGGCCTGCATGGTGGGCGGTGATGGGAGGCGCAGGGTGCCCCTAGGTTTGGGTCATGAACTTGTTGGTATTGTCGTTCGCGATTGAGACCAGCTGTTCGAATCGACACTACTGGCGGAAGTGACGAGAAGAGAGGAGGGGGAGAGGGAGAGAACAGAAGAGTGATGATTAGATTAGGCCGCCCGACCGACGAGGAGAGCTGAGGAGAGAGAAGCTCGGTAAGGTGAGGCGACGATGTGGTTGGAGTTGGTAGGTGGTGGGCGGGTGGCAGGCGGTATGCCGTTGACGACACACACACTAGTCTGGGTCAATGGATTGATGCTGTCCTTTCCAGGCTGTTATCTAATATTCCTAGTGCCTGGCGGGCTGGGCTGGCAAGCTGGCAATCGGCGCAAAGTGGCACCAAGACCCCCCCCAAAAAGTGATGGCAGTGGGTTTAATTCGAGGCTGTGGGGTTTAAGCTAGTATGTCCTCGCTGCCGAGGTGCGAGCAGCCGATGTCAGCTGGCTCACCGCCCTAGGTGCCTACATGTACCTAAGACTGACCATATCTCCCTATAAACGGCTGGTTTCATTTGATTGGTTGAGCTTCAGGTGATTAAGCTTCAAGTTCTTGTGACTCGTTCAAATATTTGATAGACAAGTATTTCTTGATTTCTTGCTCAAGTACGCACCGACATATGTAGCTTTCTAACTACAAGAGGATACATGTTCAACATCTCTATGGCGCTGGCTTTCCGTGTGCAACCATTACTTCGTTGAATTGGGAGAGCATACAGTCCATGGCATCCAGCAGATTCCAGCTTGAATCCTGTCCATGTTCAGATACCTCCAATTACCCATAGCTTCCAAGGTTGGCAGTGAACTTCGAATCGAATCACCAACACTATCGTCACATATAGTACCTGTCATCACTCCAAAGTTGATGCCTATAGCCTGCCAAAAGATATCATACTAAGCTTCTGTACCTGTCTAGACCGTCTGCGTAAATGACATATATATCTACCTGTATCTCTGTCCCGAAGCTCTGCAAGTATCTCATTAGTAGTAAGTACCTACCCGTGTGTAGGTTAGGTACATATGTAGTTCTTCACTGCTGGCGGGGCTCTTCTCCAACCTGACATTGGAGATGGCTTATTGGCATGGAGGGATGGAGGGGTTTCGTTAGGCGTCCTGATTGGTCACTATTCAACGTACCTGCTTGTCGCTAGCATCAAAAAGTCCAAGTGTCCTTCTACAGTATCTCGACGCCCATGTTACCAGTACAGACCAGTACATGCATGCATGTACCGACACAATCCCAAACAGCTTGCCGGCGCATCAGAGAAAAGCCAGCTTGCATCGGTGTGTTTCTGGAAGAGGCCACCTTGCACCGCCCAGAAACATCCAACTACCACTTACTTACATGACCATCTGCTAGCAAGGCAGCCTGAGAACGCCAATTGCAGATGGCACCAATGTTTTGTCAAGTTTGAGCCATTGAGGGAGTGATTGATATACTGGGTGCTTCCCGGTCCAGCTCCGAGCTGCTTGCCCCTCGGCTTCTAGTGACGTCCTGCGAGTTCAGATCACATTGTTCATCTTGTTGCCACCAGCAATCATGATACGGCTTCTAAGTCTGCCAGGCGGTCTAGCTGCTACGCTGCTAGCCGCTGTGTGTCTTGGCCCTAACTATGTGACCGCCAGCCATCCAGTGCATGTAGCAATGAAGGCTGCTTTTCCAGCTCCTCCATATCTTGTCGAGCTCCTGTAAGCTTCCTGGCCCCCTTACTTTCCGTAGTGTGTGAGCCAGGCTGATGAGTGGACCATAGAGAAACAGCTGCTGGAGAAAATGCCACTTCCTATTTCCCTTTACTTGATCGCATTGCCGAAGGAGCCTTTCGCGACGCCATTAGCGACAGAGCCTTGTACGAAAGATTTCTCGAAATCCTGCACCAGGACGGCCATTTCGCAACGCCCGAGTCGCTGTCTACCTTTAAGCTAGCTCTTTCCCTAAGAACCGCGGCGCCTAGGATAGAGGCACACTACCAATACTATGATACTGCCGTGACACCGTCGTTGGGGGAGGCTCAAGATAATTGCGACCAATGGGTCCTCCTAGACAGAAAGCAGTATTGCTCAGATTCGCTTTCCAAACCAGATGGCTCGGTGCCGGGAGAATCGTACGTATATATCTAGAGACAATCAAGCTACATCTACTAATTAAAACAAGACAAATCCGTGTACTCCCCTTTGATAGGGCCCTGGGTAACGGCGCCGAAGCCATTCTCTATGCTGATATCACAAAACCCGAGTTTGGCCCTTTCCACAAAACACTTACAGATATGGCCCGTAAAGGCGATATATCTTACCGCTTGAGATATCGCATAAGTCAGCGCGGCGAGCGAGAGGCCTTGCCTGTCAGTGGCTATGGAGTGGAACTCCAGCTCAAGCGGACCGATTATATTGTGATTGATGATCGTGAGGCCCACGATTCTACTCTCGACAAGCCTAAGAAAACAGCATCTACTGAGGTCGTTTTGGATGGTGAGGAGGAAATGAGTGACCTCAAGCCGCTAGCTGCCAGTGAATTGGCTGGCCTTGGCTTGAAGACTGGCTCTTTTATCATGGAGAGCGAGGACCCGTTCCAAACTTTAATCAAACTGACCCAGGACTTCCCTCGGTTTTCCACATCGGTGGCAGCTCGGAATGCTTCGAATGCGTTCATCACCGAACATCGTCAAAACCGAGAAGTAGCAGCACCTGCTGGGGCAAACGCTCTATGGCTAAATGGTGTGCAATTGTCTGAACGTCAAATCGATCCATATACACTTATTAGCAGTATTCGCCGAGAAAGAGCTTTCATCAAAGGGGCGACGGATCTCGGTCTTACTGCAAAGCAAGCTATTTCCCTCCTCGGCAATCAGGAGGTAACCATGGCCAAGAGCGAGGACGAAGGTCCACGGTTTGACTGGAGAGATGATCTGGAAGATGGGCGTGTGATTATTTGGCTCAATGACATCGAGAAGGACAAGCGCTATGCTAGTTTCTCCCCGAACCTCTCGACGGTATGTTGTCTTTTGAAGTTCTTTTCCATGATGGTGAATAGCTAACGCCTTAGCACAGCTCATGCAAATGTCCTATATGAGCCAAATGCCACAGATTCGCAAGGACATATTTAACCTTGTTGTTCCAGTTGACCTTAGCAGTGCAGAAGATGTCAAACTGGTTGTGCAAAGGCTGCAGGCTCTTGTAAAGCGCGCCCTTCCTATACGGTTCGGTTTAGTGCCGCTGTCTCCGACTAAGGAGGCCGAAGAACGAGCCAAACTCGTCTATTATTTGACACAGAACTATGGGTTACCTAGCGTGATGTCTTTCCTGGAACCATTTATGATAGAAGACCAAGCAACACAATCCGATCAGGGAAGCTTTGATAAAGCCATTAAAAGTCACAAACTGAGGACAGATGCAGATGAGCTCTCCTTTGGCGACATTTTCACTTCACAAGATTATGAAACCCAGTTGCAGCTCGCAAAGCATTGGGTTGAAAGGCTTCAAGCACATGCTAGTATACCTCCTGTATTCTTCAATGGCTATGCTATTCCCCGAGAAGATAACTGGCTTCAGCTCATGAGCATGAGACTTTCGACCGACTTGCAACAAGTTCAAGCAGGTGTGTTCATGGGAACTGTTACAGATGACATGTGGATACCCAGTTTGTTCCTGGAAAATGCGCTTGCACGTCGAAACCCCTATACCTTCCCTGACGATGATAACCCTCTCAAAGTCTTAAACATCCATAAGCTGTATTCCGAGCATGATGATTTGCTTGGGAAAGTCCCTGTCATCGAGGCAGATGCTGATGCGAATAGAGAACAGTGGGCTGTTCTCACCTTAATCGCCGATCTCAGCACCTCACCAGGCCTTCAACTCCTTCATTCTATTCTGGCATTCCGTCGGGGGAATCCAGGTGTCCGCGTGGACATCGTGCATAATCCTATGTCAACATCAAACGCTTATAAAATCAACTCTCTCTTGGTCGAGAGTGCAGACAAGCTTTTGGACGTTGAGAATATTGAAACTTTGGAAGCCCTTGTATCTGGAGATGCTGACAAGCAAGACAATGGATACGGGCAGGCTTTGGCACGGTTCCTTGCATATTCCGGACTGGCACCAGGAGAAAAAGCACTCCTTCTTAATGGTCGAATCGTTGGCCCTATCAATGCTGATTTTTCCTTCCAAAAGGACGATGTAGAGCAGCTATTTCAGTTTGAGCAGTCGAAGAGAATCCTTCCTGTGTACCAAGCTGCTGAAAATTTAGGTCTTGCAGAAAAGGTCTCTGGTCCAATCGCTTCTGCCAAGCTTACATCCATCACCGCACTATCAACAATCTCCGACTTACCTGAAGGCATTTTCGATTCCACCTCGATCGTCCGAACGGCAGTTTTTGATCTATGGAGCTCCTCGCACACTGCTATTGATATCGGCGACGCCGAAACCGCCGACGTCCATTTCGTTGCTCTCCTCAACCCTACCAGCGAAATAGGGCAAAGATGGGCACCAATTCTGAAGGTGCTTTCGGAGTTAGATGGTGTCTTCGTACGTATCTTTTTGAACCCGAATGAGAGGCTAGAAGAATTGCCGATCAAGAGATTCTACCGATATGTTCTTCAATCAGAACCCTCATTCGACGACCATGGAGTCCTTCTTTCGCCGGGCGCTACATTCAAAGGTTTACCGTCCGAGGCCTTACTCAATCTGGGAATGGATATCCCGCCAGCGTGGCTAGTTGCTGCAAAGGATTCTGTTCATGATCTAGACAACTTAAAATTAAGCTCTATCAAGTCTGATGTAGAAGCGATCTATGAATTGGAAAATATTCTTATTGAGGGACACTCGCGGCAACTTCCTGGAGGCAGCCCGCCACGAGGTGTACAGCTACTGCTAGGCACTGAGCGCGACCCGCACTTTGCTGACACGATCATCATGGCAAACATAGGCTATTTCCAGTTCAAGGCTAACCCAGGATACTACAACATCCGTCTACAGGAGGGAAAGAGCTCTGATATCTTTGATATCATCAGTGTCGGCGCCAAGGGTTACGAGGCTGTGCCGGGTGATGAGGGGACTGAAGTTGCGCTTATGGATTTCCGAGGTACAACCCTATACCCTCGGCTCCGGCGTAAGGAAGGAATGGAAACTGCGGATGTGCTGGAGGATTCCAATTCAGAGGGCGCCGGTGACCTTCTCTCTCGCGGTATCAAATTTGCCGAGGGGATTTTAGGAGGCTCAAAGTCTAGATCTAAGTCACTTTCAGACGAGATTCATGCAGAGATTAACATATTCTCTGTAGCAAGCGGTCATCTCTACGAACGTATGCTTAACATTATGATGGTTTCGGTCATGAAAAACACGAAACACACCGTTAAGTTTTGGTTCATCGAACAATTTCTTTCGCCATCTTTCAAGGAGTTCATACCGCACCTAGCCAAGGAGTATGGGTTCAAATACGAAATGGTTACATACAAGTGGCCTCACTGGCTACGTTCCCAGAAAGAGAAACAGCGCGAAATTTGGGGCTATAAGATCCTCTTCCTCGATGTCTTGTTTCCCCTTTCTCTCGACAAAGTCATTTTTGTCGACGCAGACCAGATCGTCCGTACTGATATGATAGACCTCATCAATCACGATTTAGATGGCGCACCCTACGGCTTCACACCTATGTGCGATTCTCGCACCGAGATGGAAGGTTTCCGTTTCTGGAAGCAGGGCTACTGGAAGAACTATCTCCGCGGTTCACCATACCATATATCTGCTCTATACGTCGTAGACCTTCGTCGTTTCAGGCAGCTTGCTGCTGGCGACCGCCTCAGACAACAATACCACCAGCTCAGCGCAGATCCAAACAGCTTGTCAAACCTGGACCAGGATCTGCCAAACCATATGCAATTCGTAATTCCGATACACAGCCTGCCACAGGAGTGGCTGTGGTGCGAGACGTGGTGCAGTGATGAGAGTCAAAAGGAGGCGAGAACAATTGATCTCTGTAACAACCCACAGACTAAAGAACCAAAGCTGGATCGTGCGCGGAGACAGGTTCCGGAATGGACAGTCTATGATGAAGAGATTGCAGCACTCGATAGGCGGCGGAAGGGTCTAGACGGCTCACAGAAGATCCCTGGTGCTGATGAACTGAATACTAAGAGTAGGCGACTTGAAGACGAGAGTGCAAAGACCAGGACGAAAGACGAGCTATAGATAGTATGTGTTCAGCATACAGGTTCATAGATGATATATAGAACGAGTGAATAGAAATTGCTGGTGCTACATTGTCTCATGTCTGACGTGATCCTATCATACTTAATCTGATGTACTGAGGTCAAGGTCGTACATGTCCATCGCTCTTAGTATTGGCCTACCGGGCCAACCAAGCCTGATGTATATTTGCGACCCAAACCTGTGTAGGCGTTGTTGAACGTAGGTGGGGCTGCATAATTACCGTTAGACTGTTCGGACGTCTAACGGCGTGGTTTTTGACATTCGAGAGATACTGAATGCTTCACTCTTGTCTTGAGTCGAGACAGTCTACGTTCTAACGTTGTCACACGTCGACTGAAGGTTGTACTCTGAGCTGATAGCAGGGGGGAATAAGTGTGATTAATTCGCTAATGCACGCTAAGGAATCAATAAGTTCAGCTCAACAACGTATGCAAAAATTTTCCAACTACTCCGTACCGACCCTCATGATTCCGTACGAATCGAAACAACAAGAATCCACTCCGATCAAATATGCCAAGGCGTCGCCTCAAACTCCCAAGCCGTAGCCATATCAGCGCTTTCCACCAAGAGAAACTCAGTGACATTTCCAGTTTTGACGAATCCGATCATCCTCTCTGCCCCGTTGATATTGACGTTTAGGGTAAACCCTCGCGGCTGCCGCGGTTGTACTTGGAACGTTCACACGATGACCCGGAAATCGAGAAATGCAACATTCATGGTCATATACAGCCCGCTCATGCCGTTGTGGAACATCAGTTTCCCATTGGGGTGTTGCAGGCACATCTAAAGAAACCCGCCTATGTGCCATGGGATCTGCTCAACAGTGAGGTAGCCGGCGATAAACGTCAAGACCTCGCCTGAGTCGATGCTTCGAATTATGTATGGTCTGTTCGGCTGGGGAGTTCTGGTCCCGCCGATGTCGATAATATTTGTTATTGGTGCGGGCTGGGGAACTGTGGTCTCGTGGATGATACCGTTTGTCATTGGTGGGTGTTGAGGAGCTAGGGAGTTGGACTGTTGGACTGTCGGGTTGTTTGAGTCCATGCCGCCTGAATTGGTGGGAGATATAATTGCATCGAATAGGCCAAAACATAGAACAGTTTATATTATAAGGGATATTTGTGCTCATGTTAAGATGCGATATGAGTATTAACTATGCTCATACGACTCATTTCGTAAGGTTGGGCGACACGCCTTATATGTACATAGGCGGCGTACACGGCGATGCCCCATCGATAGTGAATACGCCTAGAGCGTTCAGTTTGACACTTGAATGGAACTCCCGTTCTTTCAAGGAACAGATGACTTACCTTCATCCTTTCCATGAAGACCGAAACTACCGAGCTTTCCTTCCTTTCCAGCTAAGCAGGGCCAAAGCTGCAGTTACGGCCAACTAAATCTGCAGTCATCGGGCTGTCCCCGCTTGCTGGCCATCTACCAGCATATTTGAGACACTACCCATATACAACTAGATTAGTATAGCGATCCCAGCGAAATGCAGTTGGCTTATATGTAACACATGATACCTATATGACTTTTAGTTGATATATCCTTCTTATAGCCCGATAATTGTAGATTTAACGAAATGTAACTAGAGTGTTAATTAAAGGCAGAGGGAGGAAAAGTAAAGGCATAAAATTATAAAGAAAGTGGTCGAAGTGTTACGTTGTTAGATAACTTCAAGTTGCAAGTACAGGTAAGTAGGTCAATGGCAAGGTGTATTTTTAGTGAAGAACCGTACCTAAACTTTACAGTCAGTTAACACGCCAGTTATAACAGCCTGACAACTACAGATCTAGTTGGCCATAACTTCGAATTTAGCCCTGCTCAGAATATACTCGTCCCAATAATGACGGATATCTTCGGCTCATCAGGTTGGATGGCGGGTGATGCAACGTGCAAGTATATATTGCCGTGGATGAAATTCATTGTCAATCAACTAGAGACATTCATACATACCTACGTAGATAGACAGAATCTATACTCGAGCGGGAAAAGAAACTCAAGGTATTCGTGAGATAGCGGATCTTAAATGCCACGCGAGCGTGCCGTAAGGCTGACTATTTCATTTTCCACTCTGACCAGTCCCATCCAGGGTCACTGTCAAAGCTGCTCTCATTCTTCAGCACCCACTCCGCAACCTCCTCGCATTTGGCCACCCACAGCCCCTGCCTCTCTTTCTCTTTCACATAATCCAGCACCTCCTCCATGACTTTATGCTTTTCCTCGCTATCCGTAAGGAATGGATGAAACAGCAACGCCATATATCCTCCTTCCTCCATTAGCCTGTCGATCCTAGCAATCAACCTCTCTTTCATCCGCCCGGCACTTATGACCTCCTTCCCATCCCCCTTCTTTTCCCTCAATACTCCTGTACTCTCCATATAAAAATAAGCATCGATCTCTGCCCACCGGAACGGCACCATCGCCACACCCTCTATGACCGCGCATCGCTCCGCCGCAGGACTAAGGTACGTGAACCCCCTCTCCTTCATGAGACTTAGCGTTCGCTCCGTCACTAATCCCCCCGGAGGCCTGAAGCCCTTATACCTGTACCCATCAAGGTACCTCTCCGCGTCGCCGATTGCGTGATCGAGATTCGCCACCTCGGTCTCGGCATCTAGTAGTTTCCAGACCTCGTGCTGCCATGCGTGGAAGCCGACCTCGTGGCCATTCGACAGAATCTGCTTGATTAAATCCGAGTAATGCGCGTTGTTCCAGCCCTCGACGAAGTAGGTCGCCTTGAAGCCGCGGGCGGCGAGGGCGTGCAGCATGCGCGGGAGCTGTGTTGTGGTGCTGTGGTGCTGGCCGAGCGGGGTATCGGGCGGGTGGAGGCCCCGGTGCAGGTCGGCAGCTTCAGCCATGTTATCCATTGTTATGGAGAGACATGCGCGGGTATTGTTCGGCCATGGCGGGGAGGGAGAGTCTGACATTGTTCTGGATGTTGTGGAGGAGATAGTGAGGTGTTTTCTGTGAGTACCTCGTAGAGCAAAATGTAGATTAGGTAGGTAAGTTGTAGTGAGGCACTATAGTTGGTTAGTTTGGTAATAGCCCAGACGTGGGCTTGTCATTGGGATAGAGAATGAGACTTATAATGTAGATGGCGACTGTTAAAGAAACAGGTTAAGTTATATGAATTATACAATGTCATGGGGTAGTTACAGAGTTGTACCAATAAATATCTACGATATTACATTAGAACAGCGTTCCCCGCAAGTTATAGGTCTTCAATGACGGCTAACCTACTCCGTTTAAAATGACTCGAGTAGCAAACTGAACCCCCTCTTTCTTTAATCAAGTATTTTGCGTTGCAATCTGAAGCAGTGAAGAGGGATGACACGTGTCGGCACATATCGAATTGGGGGTATATCAGTGCAAGTACTATATTGGTTCGGCATCTGTCCGGGCATTGTCTTTTGACAAAATGCTTGCCTTCGGGTAGCCCTCTTTAACTGATAGCACCTGAAGAGAGATAATATCATAAGGTGTGATTAATAGGGAGTTTACGAAGAAGGATGAAGTCTGCGGCGCCACATCTAAGACCTCTGTACAAACCGCTGACGATAGCTAAGAACAATGATCAACAACCAGACAATTGATGTTGAGACGGCTTTTGGGATACCTCTGGACGACTCCCGCTGTATTGAGATTAACCGCTTCCGACGTGGACTCGCCTTATGTGTCCGTATGACCAGCTACTAGGTTTGCATACAAATTTTAAAGTGTTGGTATAGAAGCCTCAAGAACTAGAAGTTTTGGCATCTAGAAATGGAGTCCTCTATACCACATTTGCCCCATACGATAGAGACCTTTAAATGTCTCACAACCTACGATGCCTAAACAAGTTCACCAGTTTCTGTCATTTTTATAGCAATTATTATATGATTGTGGAAACAAAAGGTGCGAAGTTAGCCGAGTGGCTATTCTGTAGACTCTGATTACCATCGTGTCCTCTGTAGTTAGACAACAACTTTAAATACCGACATACCTTAGTGGTTCCGAAGGCTCCTACGCCAAGTGGAAAACTAACTTTGCACAGTCGAGCCAGTTACATATGTAGGGCATGAAGCTCCCGCATGATCGACGACAGGCGCTTCATAGACATCCCCGCGCCACTACACCACACTCACATTTAGTCCGCCGGGCCTCCATTTTCCTAACGGCATAATCATTTACTATATTAATGCGTTGGATTTAAGGTTACATACAGGTGGGTATAAAGCTCGGCAGTATTAAGTCAGCAGGGTGCGCGATCTAGTGTAAGCGCGTGTCACGTATTATCTTCTAGATCTACCCCGCCGTAGAATAAAAACTCCTCCACAGGAATCAATATAGTCGGCCTCTTTTAACTGGCTACCTAAAGCTCTGTCTGACAAATCTCTTCTACACGCTCACCGCCTAGTCATGGTAAAAACGTAGATTGACAAAACATTAGAGACAGTAGGGAAATTCGATAGATGCGCCAATGTTGCATATGGATGTTGTAATAGTATCAGCGTGAAAGCCTTAAGAAGTGAAAGTTCTAGCATCTGGGAAGTGGATTCCCCTGTACTTGGTGTTCAATATCGCATCTACCCCAAAGACTGCCTTGCCTTAAACATAGAAAATCACCGCTACTATCTTCTTCCTGGCTATTGCCTGTGTTGTAGGCCCTAAAGCGTAGGAGCGAGATACGTATGCATTGCCGACAACCTATAAGAATAGTCTAAGTAAACGAACCTTCACTCGAGTTGCTATAGTATATAGGTAGTGATACCGTTTATGCTGTGCTGCAAATGATGCCCTGAATACAGCAGCTAGGGATCGGCCCTGCATATGGACTTTGCTGAACATCGCAAGGTATAGGGTAAAAGCCACCGCAGGAGCCGCCGTTGGCGATTTTGTCTATGCACGGGGCACGCGGCTGGTTGATAGAGGCGGCCATAGCCACGGCGGCGAACATGGTAATGAAGGTGAACTGCATGTTGATAATATAAAACAGACTTGATAGTAGTAACGGTAGTATGATAGGAAAGCAGCTTTAGAAGTGTAATAAAAGAACGGGGTGATTTAGCATCTTTATATAGAAGACTCGGGTAGAAGTCCTCATCTCTTAATTTGTTAATTACAGCATTAGCCCCACGTGTGCCTAGAGACCCTCCATGTCGATCCTCAAGGTCAACTTGGATCCTACGTTGAGATTATACCTACCTTAATCAGGAGTGCCATACGCCGCATGCATAATTGGAAGGATTTGGATTTAAACGAGGGATGTTAGTCGTGCTGTAGCCAGGTGGCTTTATCTAGTTACAGCTGATTCCTAGTACCAAGTTAGTGCCAGACACTTATGTACACCGTGTGCCAAGGATTGAGTCAGATGTCTGACGGCCCGGCATACCTGGCTATGGCATGTATGACTCGAGAATGAGGCCGTAAGGGGAGTGGTGGCTTATGCCTTGTAGTGTGTTATACACTAGAATGACAACACAATGTGTCAGACTTGGCAAAAGTGTAGTAAACATACTGAAAGAATTGCGAAAGGGGTTCGCTTATATGAACCTCCTAGTAAGCAGAGCAAAGCCGAATAAATCCGACGTTAAATATAGCAGGTGAAACCAATCGGCTTTCTTCCTTGTGGTCCTTGAAGATTCACCCAATCGCTGGCGTCGTCTAGTTCTGCTGTTGGCATTGTGCGTTGCCGAAATATATCAACTTTGGCCTGTTACCACATTTACGACCATACATATGACTATACAACCAGCCGTACGGCTAGCCCTATAGGCTAGGAGCCGTAACTACCCCCGCGAAGGTCCTGTAGGGTCCATGAGGAGTAGATTCCTCTGGTCAGGCCCTGGGCGATGAGCCCTCTATTTATGCCTCGAATTCCTTCCTCAGGCTTCTGACTTCAAACCTTCCTTTAGAGCCTAACATGTTGGCAATAGAAAGTCGGTAACAAGACTATTGGTTCAACCTGCTTATGCTGTTGGTAACTTTCCCTGGATACGTGCACTGAATATGCCATTAGCAAAACGGAGGTCCAGCGGCTGCGGGGATGGGGCCGCACCGCCACGACCTGTAGGATGAGTCAGCACAAGCTCTCGAACCAAGTTCCTAATATTGCGTATCATCATTACTACCCTAAAGAGATATTAAGTGTTTGAGTAAGCTGGGCTGAGTACGGAATACTATACGTCGCGAGTGATCTCTGTTCGGCTTTCGGTCAGTGTTACAATCAAATGTTGAAGTGTTAGTATAGAAGCCTGCAAGATTGGAGGTTCTGTGATCTTCCTCAAGAGGATTGGAAGGCTCTGCGCGTTAGTAGCGCATATGAGATCTCCTGGCTTTATATTAGGAGGCACTATTCCCAAGTAGCCGTTGTCTGTTTTGAACAAGCTTTGATTCTTTGCATATATTAAGAGATCTCGCAATTCCAATGTCGTTGGGTCGATCGGCCAGTTATCCATCTCCTCCTCGTCAAGCAATATACCATCATCGTCGGCGAAGCAGAGAGCCATAAATAGATTTAGGTTCATATCGAGTGAAAATTTAAGACGTTTCAGTATATCGCGCCTCTCATCTAAAGTAAGCTCCGTAGAAGTCCGAAGCATAATAAAGAACCGCCAAGCAATTGGGGAAATATTTAGTCCTGATAGTCCAAGATATGTAGAGCTTTTGCTTCTCGAGTCCTTTTTCTTCCAATCTAGAACATCGAGTAAGGCTTCTAATGGCCGCCTCCCAGCTACCCTTCCCGCCATATCTCCAGAACTCCAGGGTATCTCGAATTCTCTTACTACACACACAGCTTGGAGAAATCCGAAGAGTTCAACGAGTTAGTCCACGCAAACTTGGTACAAGATCTTTGCTACGGGGCATCAAGATCGAAAGCGAGATGCTTAACGAGCTCCACACGCCCACAAATTGCCCCCTGAACGTGGAGAGTATTCTTCGCGACTATATGGGGTGACGGCGCTGTCTCGATTTTCAAGAGTGGCTCCTTTTTAGAACGCATATCAAAGAAGCTAACCTCAAATACTGATCGTAGTTTGCTAATGTTGGGCAGCCATGACGGGAGGTTATGTTCATTTTTAGCATTGAAACCTCTTCCGGACATTCCCAAGTAGAAAGAAGAGACGTTTTCCACGGGGTGCATGGCAGTCTCGAGGTAAACTTCCTTTACAGGCTTTCCATGGCCTGCTTGAATGTTGCTTTCTCGCAATATTTCCAATACGCCGTAGATAAAGTCGTGAGGTAGAGTGGCTGAACAGTCTATGCCCATTATGCATGCGAATCGGAATACAAAGGTGGGGCCGAATTCATCAGGATTTTTTCTAAACCGCTTCAGACCCCTAATCATCACCATTCCAGGTATCTGGCAAACTAGCTCGTTTGAGAGCATAATCCAAGTGAGCCTCTCCATCGATTGGGCCCCATCTTTATCGAAAGTAGGTAAAGGAGTTGTTTTGATAGATTCGAGACAGGTGGAGAATAAGGTGAGTTCTGCAAAGGTGACGGATGTGTCACCACAGAGAAACAAATGTGTCCATGGCGATTTAGCCAAGACGATCTCTTGGACAATCCATATTCTTCTCCAGTACGTACTCTTCCTCAAAGCTAAAAGGGGTACCCATTTCATACTAAACTCGTACGTAGTAAGATCTAATAGAGGGCCGAGGGTAGAGTATAACCATTTGAAACCAGTATGTATCATCTCAGTATTCAGTTTAAGATCATGGCGGTTTGTTGTTACGCCAATCACTAACGTAAATTCATCAATGATGCAGAGTGCTTTGTCAAGTTGGCTGCTATCAGGGCGCCAAGCCACGAAACAACCAACTTTGCATTTGTATATAACTTTCCCATCAGGGGTACTTGATGGTTCTTCTCCTGAATGTCTTTCTGATTGATACACATAGCATCAACCCATAACCGCTGCAAGTTAGTTTTGAAATTGTAAGTCATGTTAAAATGAATCGTAGTGCAACCACAAGGATGTTTCGGCCATCGTGGCATTGTTGCTAATCCACGCCGACTAGAGTCATCCCCCCTGGGTGGAGAAACCGTCCGGTACCCGCAATGATACCAGCGGAGAGGGCGCATAGTAGGCGTTCTGTAACAGTCTCCTGCTACTCGGTAGCGATCTCAAGATGCTATGTTTGACATTGCAATATACTTGAAAGCCTCCGCTAGCAATGTGCCGCGAAGTCGATTGTCAGAATCGTGAAGCAGACAGTTGCAAATGTGGCGTGCATTGCTTAGTCGTTCAGTTGCCACTATATACCTTGCTATGGCGCGCAATGTAGACTTCCTACTCCTAAAACGGAACTTATATTTGACTGCAACTATGTGTTCAGGTACTCTCAGCCTGCTGAATTAAGACATAGTTCTAGGAAACCTAGGAAACCACTATTATTCGACCAGGCTAGATTGCTTCGTGCAACCGGAGACAAAAAGCTCTATCATCACCATCATCACGCTTGTTCTGATGCAGTGGCGTATATTTCGTTCTGCGCTTGCTGTGACACTGTTCATACTGCATCTGCCTTTAACGGCTGCCTTTCCCAAAAGATTCTGTAACGCTCGACAGCCACCTCGCCATCAACAGCCGCCTTGCCATAATAGTCAACTCTTTTTCTAGTCCCATCTTCCTTCTCAATCTTCTCCTTCCCAACAAGTGATAACCACTTCTCGTCGGGCTCTTGGAAGTGATCCCTGTCTGAAACAGCCCCCTTGTCCAGTAACATCTCAACAATATACCAGTGGCCTTGGAACACGGCAGCGTTTAGTGCACTTCTATACTTCCCCCCTCTCACATTCGGGTCAACACCTCTTTGCAATAGTATCTTCACCACATCGGTATGGCCCGAATATGCAGCTGCCTGTAAAGCCGTGCCGAACAATCCACCCACTGCATGGATATCCAGATCAGGACAAGCTTGAAGCAAATACATTGCTTTATCGTCGTAATACTTGATTGAACATGCTGACTGAAGTGGAAAGCCATATACACCACCTCCTATATTAGCATTGGCGCCGTTTTCAAGCAGACAACCAACAACTTTAAGCCGTTGATTGCCTCTACCCCAATCATCATCATCATCATCATCACACCATTCGATAACAGATTGCAAAGTCGTAGTTTGCCGCTTCTCCTGTACTCCATTGATATCGACCCTGTGGTCAAGCAAAAGTTTCAGTATCGGTGATACATCCGTTGCATCTAAATCGCGGCAACAGAGACTTCCCAACCAGAAGTTTTGCACGTCAGTACTAGCCCCACGCTTGAGAAGCAAGCTTACTAGATTGCGCTGCGATTCTCCTTTAGGGTATCTGCAGGCGGCCTCGAGTGCAGTTTCGAGACTTTCGCTTTGGAGACTTCCGCCTTGGGCATGGATATCGGCGCCGTGGTCAAGAAGCATACGCGCTATATCGGTAACCCCCTTTACGCAGGCAGCATACAGTGCAGTGCCAAACCACCCGCCCTGCTGGTTTACATCGGCGTTATGTTGGAGTAAAAGCTTGACCGATTCGAGATCTGGCGCACCTGCTGCCGCCTGCAGTGCGTTTTGGCAGCACCCGCCTTGAGCCTTGACGTCGGCCCCCCGATCAAGTAAATGCTGCACGAGAGGCATCTTACCTCGGGAGCACGCTGCTTGTAGTGCGTTTCCATAATACCCTCCTTGGGCGTTGATACCAGCCCCCTGATCAAGTAGTAGCTGCACAATATCCATTGAACCTTTACAGCACGCTGCCTGTAATGCGTTCCCATAATACCCTCCTTGGGCGTTGATATCAGCCCCCTGATCAAGTAGTAGCTGCACAATATCCATTGAACCTTTACAGCACGCTGCCTGTAATGCGTTCCCATAATACCCTCCTTGGGCGTTAATATCAGCCCCTCGATCAAGTAGTAGCTGCACAATATCCATTGAACCTTTACAGCACGCTGCTTGTAGTGCGCTCCCATATACCCCTCCTTGGGCGTTAATATCAGCCCCTCGATCAAGCAGTAGCTGCACAATATCCATCCTACCCCCGAAGCACGCTGCTTGTAGTGCGTTCCCCCATTTCCCTCCTTGGGCGTTGACATCCGCACCCTTATCCAACAACAGTTTGACCAAATCCCCCCTAGGTTTTCGACTTCTGGCAATCAATGCCTGTAATGGGTTGCCGAAATATCCTCCCTGAGCATTGGCATTCGCACCTCTCTCCAGCAATAGGCGAAAAGACGGTGCATCTTGTCCATGATGATTAGCCACTGCATATAGTGCTGTCTCCCCTTCGCTATTAGAGCTATCTATGTTAGCGCCGTTATCGAGTAAAAACATTGTAAGCTTCTCACGCCACACTGCTCGTACCAAGATGCCGGCGTTCGGGGATGAATTGATCTGAGCTCCATATTTCAAAAGTAACTTTACAATTCCCAGCTGATTATAATTTACAGCAGTTTGGAGTGCCGATCCCAAGTTGTCGCATTGCCCATCGGGGTTGGCACCGCGTTGAAGCAGAAGCTCCACAATCGTCTCCTGGTTATTTGCGACCGCTATCTGTAACGCCGATCCGAACCTTGCACCTCTGTCCAGAAGAAGCTGAACAATCTCAATCATACCCTCATATGCGGCTGATTCGAGGGTCTCATCCAAGCTTCGTTGTCCTAGGTATGTGTTTGCCAATAGACCACCAGGAAGCAGCATCTCCATAAGCTTGGGAAACCCACGCCTGCTAGCATAGCAGTGAGGCCGTTGCAGTAAATAATTAAATGTGCGGGTCTTAACTCGGCTATCTGTTTTCCAATAGCGGCGGATGGAAGGTTGATAAGTCCCGCAGTTTGCCATAATCATTATTCGCAGGCTGTTACTACCGGGCCTGAGTGCGCGTGCAGCAAGGCGGACATCAGTTTCCGGCCATAACTCACACGGCACCCTTTCAAGATGTAATGGCCAAAATTCCGCTGTGTAGTCCTTGAGCTTGAAATCTACATTTGTCTCAGTTAGTGCGCTGCGATAGAGATGGCAGCTGAGGGACGAATGCGCGAGATGAAGATGGGCATCGGTTTCGGAAAATGAATACTCCGTGGTCGGACTAATATTATCGACAGATGGATTAGACACTAGGTACTCTTTGACTGAAAAGTGCGCTAGGCGAACATATGTACAGTCGTCATGTTCTGTCGTAAATGATATTATTAAGTTAGATGCATATTTGATAGCATCTTGTGGCTTGAATAGTCGGCGGGACACATCGAATGGAATACGATCTTCGGGACGGAGGATCCATGTCTCAGCAAGCTCTTCGAGCAATAGCGGCCTGGCCGACGCCACTAGCCACTTCAGCATACTAACAACCTGGGCCTGAAACTCTGGATCCAAATTTCGAAGAACACTGTCGTATGTTGCGTGAAGTCCGACGGGGAGTTTTTCTAGAGCACTATATATCTCCGGCTTGGAATTGTGTTTCTCGAGTGCTTGGAATTGGTAAACGATATATTGAAACCTAGAAAAATCGTCAATGACGCTATTGCAAAGGTTCTTGTAAGAACCTACATTCCATCCGCTCTCTCTAGTAAGATGTCCTTCGCTTTCGATTTGATGTCGTCCGGCCAATGCCTTGGGTTCCCGGAAGCCAATCTTGAATCAATATAAAGACTTATATCATGGTTTATGCCATTTTGGTTTGACGTCAGGTCAATGGCAACTCTGAACAGACTGGGTTGCGTGAGGATAGGATTGATTGCTGCACTGATATCCGGCTCTGCCCGGCTAGTGACGAAAAGGTGAACATTATCCGGCATCTCTGTAATTATACGACCAAGGGATGCAAGCAACTTGCTACGCTCTTCATTCTCGGTCGGACACTCATCCAAGGCGTCAATAACAAGAGAAACTGAAGAAAAACCTCGTGTTGTAGCGAGGAGGGCATTCTCAAGGGTCTTGCTGTCTGGGCGCAGGCACTTTTCCTTATACAAGGTGCTCAGGTCTTCCACTTCTTCTGGTTTGTCAGGCCGGCTCATGTAAAGTTGCCTGATCAGTGATGAGAGCATTGTATCCACTTTCTGCTTTTCGGAATCTGTGAAGCTAAAGAAGAAGTATGCGACGGGAGATCCCGGATCGCGTTTATACCTATCCGCTAGATGCTGAATGACGGATGAGCTGAGAACCGATTTGCCGCATCCAGCTATGAATCGTTAGAAGGGAACATGTGAAACGAAAGGGGGGCAATTGAACTTACGTTTTCCATGGAGCCATAACATAGAGCTCGGAGACACCTGCCAGGTTTTCAAGTCTTCATTGTCTCTTACTAGCCAGTCACACGTGCCCTTTTGATGTTTATCCTGTGCGACATTATGAACTTCAGAGGGGTCGACCCTACATAACCAGTCGATGAACTTGTCACGGTGCTTCTCGTTTTGAGCTGTCTGAACTGCTTCTCGAAGTCCCGAGATGTGCCCACCAACAGCTCGCCATTGGCGCATGGCCTCCTCATGGCGGCTGGAGGCTATCTCACACTCCTCATCAAATTTTTTATCCTGCCAGGTCTTACGAATCTCAGAAAAGGCGTTCTCTTTTTCTTTTATGTCACTCAGAAGAGAATCCCACTCGTTCCATTTCAGAATATCTAGCCCCAGACGAGAGCCGGTGTTGTGGGAATAGTAGCAATAGCTTCTAGCCTGGAACTTGAGGATATGCCGATAAAGTTCCTCCAAGGATTTCTTGTATGCCACATGAGATATCGTCGACGAGTTGTGTGCGCTGGCGTCTGACTCGTATCGCCTCGCATAAAGGTCTTCCCACATCCAGCTGTGAGTTATCAACGACGAAATGTAATCAACGCCTTCGACGAGCGAGGAAATTTGTTCAGAAGGGTTCAGGAGCAACTGGATAAAGTTAATTAGAAAAACGTTCTTTCCCCTAGAGTGTTCAGAACCTCAACTCACCGGCAGCAAAACACTAACACCCATCCATGCAATCGCCGTATACGGATTACCGCTGGCAGCAGCACTTATGAAATTATTCGCACGGGAGACAACGCCCAGGACAGGTTTCACTATTTCTCGGACTTCGACGTCGGTGGTACCGAATTTCAGCTTCCATGTGGCAGCATTCACCTCGTCCATCTTGCGTTGGAGGATCCCATGCGTGCGATCGCGCAGGCTAAGTTTCGAACCGTTCGTTGGGATGAGGTTAGCGCCTAGGTCCCCATCGAGTAATTTTTCGTATTTTAGGACAAGAGCCTTGTCGTCAATTCTCAACTTTTCGTATGCGATATTCCAGAGCTCTCGAATCGGCGTATTATCGCCATCTACCAAGGACAGCGGCGGTTTCGGAGTCGGGGTTACTGTCTGAGACGGCGCAACGACAGATGGGTTGAGAGAGGGGTTCGAACTGGACGATCCGCCAACGTTTGCAATCGTAGTAGAGTCATTCGCCTCAGCTGTAGAAAGCTGGGGTTGGATTTCTAGCCCCTGATTAGGAGCCTTTCCACGATTCCTGAAGTGGAATATCTTCCGGATTCCCTTGTAGTAAGTAGGTCGGGGCATTCTGGCACGGCGTTTGGTTTTATCTGTCATGAGGGTTGTTGCACTAGATCGCTACCTGAATAATATCCCCACGTCACAGATGTAGAAGCGATGCTACCTAGCAAAGCTACACCAAGCAGTCCAATCACGTGATATTTAATAGTTTTTGTGATAGAGCTGATTCTATTCGATAGACTCATGTTACACAGAAGAAGAGGGACAAGAGGGGAGTCGCAGACGTACCACACAACTTGTCCTGTAGTCACGTGGCATATCTCTGGAAGGATGGTATGGATCTATGGATCTCTTGATCTCTAGACAGATCCATAGATCCAGCAGATCCAGAGTACATTGGTATCTCGTAATGCCCTCAATCACAATCATTTCCTTTGTCTATATAATCTCATGATTTCCTATATCTAGTCACTCGCTTAGTTCTGCTCTTTAGCTATCAATTTCACCCCATATTCAATTGACACACTCATTGAACGACTACTATTTAGACTCCTATCTCTGCATAATGGTGGGAGTACTTCTCGAACGTCAAAAACGACGCCGTTAGATGTTCGAGCGGTCTAACGGTTATTATATAGCCCCACCTACGTTCAAGAGTACTCGCAAACCTCCCTAACGGCCAACCGCTGACCATCCTATTGTTACCTGCAAATCAAGAACCCCCGACGTATACCTCTCAGGTGATGTATGACAGGTCCGTTACAGTAACAATAATTCTTACTCTCTTGAGATCAAGGGACAGCTTACTCCAATCCTGGATCGATGATGCTAGGACTAGAATCAATAGCTAATTTTGATTGGCTTTAGGCATTCCCATTGAGAGGGATTGATTGATTGATTGATTAGAAGTCCACCCTATTAATACTATTAGATATACCCCTTAAGAGTGATACAACATTCACCCGTAGAATATAGAATACTACAACCGTTAACCACCACTTCTAAACTAAAATCAACCATTATTATCCATTTCCCCTCCAAACTGCGCGCCACAATCATTTATTTCTATTAGTAGTAACTACTTAAACTGCATTCATTTTCTTCCACTTTTAAAAGATTTAGTATAGAAAGATTGGTATTAATAACACTAACTTGGTTTATCATTTGGACTTACATTTCCATTATGTCAATTATATGGTATATGCTACAAGAATACCCTCAATCAATAATCTCTTCCAAATATTGTGGGGTGAGTTTTAAGTGAACGTCTCCGCCCTGTAGGGCAAACGTGGTATGGGGGACTCCAGTTTCGGGTGCCACAACCTCCAGTCTTGGAGGCTTCCATACCAACAGTTCAACATTTGTATGCAAAATACGTATCAATCGAAATATGAATGGACATCGTTCTCCCACGTCAATTGACGTCAGCGAGCCTCAACCCATCGCCTTGGTAGTTCTAACAAAAATAAAGTTAAGTACGGCCGCCATGGGTGAGAGCATTGGTCCTCTGAAGCGGGTGGACCACGTTAGAAAGCATTCGCAACGTGGCTCTTCTCGTAGAAACGATCGTTCAGCTGATCCACTGTCAATGATAGCGTTGCAATCAGGTGTAGAAGCATCTAAGGGCTCGGCTGAGGGCAACTGAACACAATCAGAAATACTACCAATAGACGGTTAGAGTTGCCTAGTCAATCAATAGAGGCCGATCTAACAGTAGCCTATGCCAGTTGCTCATTGACCTTGAACCGCGTTGTAACAACAAAATTCTTCCTCTACGCGACTACTTCCACGCTTCGTCACAGAACTCTCCCCGTGTCAGTTTAGACCCAGCATAGTAACTGCTCCCTCGTTGAATAGGAGACTTCGTCACGCGGAGCAAATTTTGAACAGCTCGAATAAAGCGGCAGCTGAAAATGAGTGATTGCTATAGGCGGGTGTCCGCAAGATTTGAAAAATCGACCTACATGAGTCATGCCTCGTAACACAACGACTGCGATAATCCACTCATTACTCGACTATGTTCATCGACGATAGAGAATATCAGCATGACTTCATGTACAGCCTCATCCTCTGCCACATCCCTCTTTCGGGTTTGACCCGGAAGCTATAGTTCATTCCTCATCTCGTGATGTCAAACAAGGGGATAAACATAGAAAGATAACCAAGCCGTAATGATGTATCAATGGCCGAATTTGACTTTCACCAAAGCACCAAACCAGATATCTAACACTTACTGATTACTCCTAACACAGCGTTATATCCTTAAGATCTCCATCTGGACCACCCCAAGCCCTGATCGTATCACCAGTCATGAGCCCACGGACGTAGCATTCGCCAATCAAAGTCCATCCCGCGGAGTTATCTCCACATTTGGGCTTTTCTCGGATAATAAAGGGGACATCAGCTCCGAGCAAGATGACGACCGCATCTTCGGGTTCTATGATTTTCGGGCCGAGTCCAAAGAATCCGGCCTTGGTGATGAAGAAGCATCGCCCGTGTGAGGCGTTCCCAGCCGCTTCGGCATATCTCGCTCCGTTACCACCTTTTGCCTCATTCTCAAGCGTCGCCATCCTCATCAAATGCGGTATATCTGTAAAAGGTTCTTTTCTGTCATTGCGCTTGAAGTAATCAAGCTGATGGGCTGCAAAATCAAGTTCTGGGTTCAAGTAATCTCGGGGGCCATCTCCAGTTCCCATGGTCCTCCCCGCGATCCAAGTTTGGCGGTAAGCCTCCAAACGATCTGGATTCTGCATCAAGACAACTCCCGGTGCGTAGATTCTTGGGTAATCTGGGACGGGGTAAGTGTCCACTTGACATGTCTTTGTCATACTCCATAATGGGCTCGTTTTCGAGTCATCGGTGAAGTCATCCCGAGTCAATGGTATCGTGTGAAGTCCAACGCGATCAAAAAATTGTCCCCGGACTATCAAAGAGCCGATGTCTGGAGAAGGCGTGATGATGGGGCGTTTATTTGCAGATGCGAAGTGGTCACATCTAACACCACCAAAGACTAATACGTCCGAAGGAGAGTCCCATCGGGGAACCCAGGAGGGAAACCCTGGTCCTGTAGGCGCAAGAGGGGTACTGTGCTGTACAAAGGAGAGAATCTCCAGAGAATCAAATCTCTTAATCATTTGCCTAGCAAAATCAAGGTATACATCGACCACAGAAAGATTGTAATTTGGCTTGATGAAGGAGCTTCCAGGCCAGTATCTCGGAGCCTTCAGCAGTTGTCCAGGATCAAGAAGGAACTTTCTAGCCATGACTTCATCTGGAGATGGTGGTCTCGGGGGGTGATTCCCGATATAATCCAGAGCCGCGGATCTCCAGGTATCCGCAGTAGGCGCTACTATTACACTCAATGCCCTCAATTTGATATCTTCGTCGGTCAAACTCACCTTTAGAATGCCCTCTCCAGTGTATGGGAAATCGCTCGCATTTTCCCGTGCACTTGGGTGTGAGATAAATGCATATATTCTATCTCGGGAGTCGGTTACATCATTGAGGCGGGCTCGATGGATGATATCGTATAGGCGTTGAGACCCCGGCTGTGGGAAGTATGTCTGGTAGAGATTCGCGGCACGTTCGAATTCTTTCAAATACCCCAGTGAAGATAACAGCGAATGGAAGTATTTGAGAAATGCCATAGCCAAGACAGCAAGCTTGTTGAAGTTGATAACTGATTTCCCGCAGCATGCCACTGGCCGATTCGCAAGGCCCACCTCTTGAATCACCCACGTTCTGGTGAAGTATTCGCGTTGGAATAAGAGAGCTAGTTTATCCAAAATCGGCGAGGTTGGACGCCCGATGTCAAATTTAATCCACTGTGCCCCATCCAGACGTGCAAAATCATCCTTTATCGAACCCTCTAGCAGAATTAGCATCTCGTCAACCTTTGCGAATAGCTCAGCGGCATGATGCTCCTCATCGGGACCAAGCCAGACAGAAACTTCCTGAGCATAGGCGTAGATATCCTTCATTAGAACCACCTGATGACCCTTCTCCTCTGCATCTTGCTGATTGATGCACAAAGCATCAGCCCAGAGATATGTCGGCTCGGACTCGTGGCGAAGATGTTGAAGAGCTTGAGCAAGGTTCTTGGTAATTTCTATGTCTTGTCCATTGCACTTTATCCTCGTGGGAGCTAGTTCCGAGCCCCACGCATAAGACAGTGCCGAGTATTCAGGATCTTGGTCTAGGTCGACATGTATGAGCTCCCCTTCAAGATCACAACCCTCCTGTCCAGCAGCGAGCTTTAGGATCCGGATCTTCCTTCCTGGTTGGAGGGGAAGATATCGGTATGGACGCATATGGCTAGTCGTGAGATGTTCACAACAGATTCTTGTATTAATTGAGAGTATCTGAATCCTGGCAGTCTTGAAGCTCCAAGGATTTATACTGAGTCTAAGGTATTTGTCATAATCCTTCTCAGCTGAGCCCCGCGTCAGATGCCTTGTGAGGCGTCGCAGTGTCTACCGCGCACTAGATACGTAGGTCACAAAGTACCCTGTACGTTACCTAGACACTGTTCAGCTGCCAGTTCACGTTGGCTGGTTTGCAGTTTCTTAGAAACGGTCTTGGCAAGCCTTTTTGGCCTAAAACGATCATACATGCCAAGGCGCGCCAAGTAATTGTGTCAGTAAAGCCTCAGATTGGGTAAATAGGTATCTACCTAGGCACGCATGTAGCCGGAATTCTAAATATTCCCGGTGGTAACCGTTGACACCTGCAATATTCTACGCTCATCTTGATATATCTGAGAAACAGGAAGAGTTTACATCTTGGTGAGCCAAAACAACAGATAAGGCCTCACCTATATAGCCATGTTAACTTAGGCAATTATTATAATAGCCGCTGAATGTTCATCTACCAACTTCGAGAAGCCCCAACTTGCTCCCACGCTACTCGAGACGCATCATAACCCCATTCATTTTCTTAGGTAATTAGCTACTTCCATTCTACCTCAACACATAGCTGCTCACATGCACTCGATTTGCCTATCCCACACTCCCTTTCACGCATCACATAGATCCATTAAACGCGCGTACTACGACTTAAAAGCAGATAATTTCAGTGCTGCTAGCAGTATCAACATTTCCCACCCATTTCTTCGTCTACCAACATCACTTCGTCTCTTGATATGGAAGACAACACTTATCCTTCGCGTCGCCGACGTGAGCTTCGGTAAATCATATGTCGATAGAAGTGCATTATGTTTTAGATCACGCTTAATACCGCCTACGCCCATTCCAGCAACCCTACACACATTCTAAGAATCCTGATATTGTCGAGTCTACTGAAAAGCTTTGTTAGAGCTTGGTGAAATCGATAATGAAAAGCGCGGTCTATCTGTGCAAATTCTGCATTCAACGTGGTCTCCGTAAATACTCTTCCGCTCAACGAGCTTACGCCATTTGCACCACTTATTCAAAAGCGTTGGGAAAGGAGGGGTTGCGAGGATCTCAGGCTGCCTAAAAGTTCATGATTCTATTGCGCTTTTCTCCGTGAGATGGGTATACACTGAGACCTTGAGCATTGGTAGAGTTGTTTTGCTTGAGATCAGAACTGCTTTTCGAAGTAGGGTCTTCGCGATACGATTGCCTAAATTAAGATTTAAAGTACTAGGTCGCCCATGTTGCTTGATTCCTTTCGGCTAGTGTTTCTCTTTTTCCCTCTCTTTTTCTTGCTAGCATATCCAGGTTGCTCCAGTGACATTGCATTGCATTAAGGCTTGTTATCAATTATCTAACGCAATGAAGTTGCTGCGGAATATAGTTCAATTACAGAATGAATAGAGACCCTGTGTGACAAAGGCTCTAGTGGCAGTCTTGGCCGTATGACACCCCCCAAAGTCAAACGACTCTCCAAGTGTCTGTTCAAGCAGGCGCCCATGGCGTCAAGGTGCGCTCGCACCCCTGCGTTGACCCTATGAAATAAGACAGCCGATTTGTTGATGTGTCACACGGACAGTCCTATGAGACCTAAAAGACCCGAAGATAACCGACGCTGCCCCTGGAGGAAAGTGAGGCTATAAGCGATTGGATAAAAACAATCTGTTAGCTGCAAAAAGACCAACAGTTAAGGCATAAATGCCCAACAGACAGAAGGGAGTCACAGATTGTATAAGGCCTAAATAAGCATAAATAGCTAAGGAATCTCCTACTCCAGGATAAAAAAGAAAGAGAGAGATTAAGGCCTTAAAGACCCCTAGTAGATTATTAATGAATATAACTAAGTTCCAAGCCTTCTATAAGAGCCCTTGTCATAGATAATCTACTATCCCCCTTTAGGATACTCCAATATAGCCTAAGCTTCCGCCTGATGGATAAGCTTTGGTAAAATTCCCCATACATATACAGTATTATCTTAAGCCTAAATCCCTATAAATATAGGATTACTTTGGTAAGATATTTGCCCTACCTTTACCAAATAAAGGTATTTTAGGAAAGTCTATACCTTATATTCAATAATCCAAACATTATACGCTATAATCCTAATACTCCTATTTAAAGAGCAGGAAGTAGCCGATAACCTTATCGACCTAAGGCTTTAAACTTCTTTAAAATTACAGATATACCCTAGCTATAGGATTCCAACTTTAGTTTTTATTATTTAAGTAAGGATAGCTTAAACTTTAATTCCTTAAGATCCCCTTTATTATATAAGAATTGTCCTAAGGATGAATAGTAGCTAAGTAACCTGCCTTTACTACCTTATTGGACCTTAAATGCCCGAGATTAGGGATGTCCCGCCCCTTGGTAACTTATAGGCAGAATTAGAACATGTAGAGGTATTAAGCGAATATTCCGCTAGCCCTAATCGGAGCCTAGCCTTTACCCCTAAATAAGCTATATCCCTTCCGTCGTTACCCGCTATACCTAAGCCCGCCTATTTTAATTAGGTTATGTCCCCTTTTCCTAAAGGATTACCTTCTTTAGAAAACCTATTTAAATCTATTAATTAATTAGTTTTATAATAAAATCCTTCCATTATAGCCCCCAAATTAACATCTAAAGTTATAGAACTTACCTTTTATAACCTAACCATTTATAAGAACATTGGGGATATAGAAATGGAATATATAAATATAATAATCCAAAACCCTTTATAATAGATTATAAATATTTATAACTATATAGGTAAGACCTTTTAGGTAGCCTAATCCTTATAAAAATATAAGTAAAGAATACCCCTTAAATAAAGGGAAGCATTCCAAAATATATATACTATTATTTATAATATATACGATACCTTAATTAACTTATATAAAATGAACATATAAATAACCTAAAAATAAATAAAATACTTTTAATAAAAGATTGTATAAAGAAGCATTACCTTTTTTTAAAACGTATAAGGAACTATTACGTGTATTGTATAAAATACCTAATCTCGAGCTAATATTATTAATTAGCTTAAAGAAGTAGTGGATTATTACTATTAAGCCCTTTAAACTTTTTAAAGTAAATTTGCTAAATAAAAAGCTAACTATTAAAAGACCTAAGGAGTTATAAATAATTAGGCTATTATAATTAAGGGATAAATTGATTAATTTATAAACCGCCCCATTATAAACCTTAGCTAAATTGATAAGCTATGAATGTACACTTAGGTAGCAATTTAAGAAATCCAAAACCAATTGGATAAATAAATTGCATTAAATGTAAATTAAATTATTAATAAATTAAAGAAACGTAGCGTTATGACTAGCTTTGCCAGCTATCCCGTTATAAAGTATTTATTATTAGAAGCAATTCTATAATAGCAAATCAGTAATGAAGCGTTATAGGTAGCTAGAGCCCGATTAGTCACCCGAGCCTTGCGAGCGTAATACGTGGTAACGAGAATTTCCCCGGGAATTCTTACCGGAGTTACCCCGCTACCCGGGGGTAACCCAGGAGGAAACCTTAATAGTTCGGACGATAATAACGATCCCTTTGAAGGATAACCTCCCTGCGGTCCGCTTAAAGGACCACCTCAAAGGCTACTTCGAAACCCCAATGGAGGGCCTAGAGGAAACTTAAATAATAATAATCCCCTTAGCCCTCCTACTAACAAACTAACACATGCATTCTTAGCTATATTCGGAAGTATTAGTTCCACAACTATAACATTTAACCCTATTCAACTTAATAAGCCCTATACCTATAATAGAAAGGATACCTTTAAATTTTCTTTATAGTAAGCTAAAGTTAAGGATTATATATCTACATATACGGAAAGTTTTCCCTTCGATAAGTACTATATTAATTAAATTAACTTCCTTATAATAGATAAAGCTTTATAATAGTATTAATCCCATTAAAAGTAAATCCGCCATATTGGAGTTACTAATACCTGGGCAGCTTATCGAATAGCCTTAAAAGCGCGGTTTAAGGATCTATTAACAACGTACTAAGACGCTAATGCTTTTATAAAAGTAAAATATTCCGGCAACATTGCCCAATTTTTCACCAAGATCCTTAACCGCAACAACTCGGTAAAATAGTTTAGCCCAACCTTCCAGACCTTTATCACCAAGCGCTTACTATTAGAACTTATAAAGATAGTTTATTATAATTGGGGCTATATCCCTAAGGACAATAACAAGTTTCTCGATGCAATCCAAAAAGCTAACATTACTTATAAAAATATACTGGCGTACCCTGGGCTATTTTTAAAAGGCGCGCCTAATTCGACGAAGGAGCAATTAAAATTGGGCTATTAAAACTAAAGCAAAAAGAATTGCTCCAACTCAGGCCCAAACCAATCCTTAAAAAAGGATAAGGAAAGGAAACCCATTAGTAAAAAGCCAAATAAGCCCAAAGTCGATCCTAAGGATAATCGCTAGCCTAATGCTACAGCTGCGTTAAAGGGGATTAACTAAGCCGCTATTAATAAACGAAAGCAAAATAAAATTAACTATTAACAGTACAGTAAAAGTAATTACTATACCCTTGCCTACTATACTAAAAAGGACGTTAATGGAAAAGAGCTTCCTTTAGCCCCTAAAAAAACCTTTTCTACTAAAAGAAGGCTTAACAATAATATAAAACTACTATTTATAGCTAAACGAGCTAAAATTAATGCTATTACTATAAAGGTAGTTAATCCTATATAATATATAGAAATAAAGGAATCAGATTTGGATTTTTAGTTGGGTCCTACGAAGTACCGTGTAGGAACTTAAGCCCTTAGAAAGGTGACTTTTCCTATATTAATGCAACTAAGCAAGTAGGAGATAAGCTTCCTAAGCTAGTTTAAAAGAAGGCTAATTTAAAGCCCAGAACGGGGCGTAGGCCTATCATCCCTATAACCCTATTATATAATAACCAGGAATATCTAATTAAAGTGCTCTTAAATATAGGTAATATTATTCCTATAATATCCTTTTCAAAGGCTAAATAATGGAAGCTACCCTTTATTAAAAAAGTATATTCTAAACCTATACTAACCTTTAACGCAACGTATATATAAAAAGTAAAATGGTATTATATAAAATAAATTATTCTTCGATACCAGGAAAACCACTTCATAAGGCTTAGCTTTAAATTAAGCACCTTTAATAAGAATTATAATGTTATCCTGCCCTAATAGTAAATAAAAGAATATTAGCCTGCCTATTTCTTCAAAGATATAGGAAAAATCATATTTACATTTAAATATTACCGTAAAAATTATACTAGCTAAGCTATCCTTAACCCAGGAATTATTAAAGTTATAATAATTATGCTCTAGGTAGCCGCTGAAGTAACGATGGAATAAATTCCCGAAGAATTTAAGGAGTTCCTCCTAATCATAACCAAAGCAGCAATACAACAGTTACCTAACCACCAACCCTAAAATCATACGATTGACCTTATAAATAGGAAAACTCTACCCTGGGAACCCCTTTATACTATAAGTAATTGTAAACTAAATACACTTAAACCATAATTGGACAAAATGCTTAAAACTAATCGTATTCGTAAATCTATTATATTATACGGGGCACCCCTTATATTTATAGAAAAGAAGGACCTAAATAACCCACTATGTTCTATTATGGATTATTAAGGTTTTAATGCTGTTACAATACCGGTAAGGTATTCTATTCCCTTTATTGCAAAATTCTAGGCTAGATTCCAGAAGGTTAAATAGTTTATTAAAATTAACCTAAAGTCCGGATTCTATTTAGTTAAAATTAAAGAGGGTTATAAATAGAAGATAGTATTCTATTATAAGTATAAACTCTTCGAATATATAATAATGCTTATAAGATTTATTAACGCCCCTATAACGTTCCAATCTATAATAAACCACATCTTCCGGGATTTTATTAATGTAAGGCTATTTATATACCTCGACAACCTTCTAATTTATACGGAAATAAAAAAAGAATACAATAAAATAGTTAAAGAAATATTATAATGCCTTAATAAGTATAATTTAACGGTAATACCCCAAAAGTATAAGTAGCGTATATATAAAGTTAAATTCCTTAAATACGTTATCAATATTAGCAACATTTTAATAGCCTAAGATAAAATCGACTACATCACTAAATAGGAAGCACCAACTACCCTACACAAATTATAACAATTTATTAGGTTTATAAACTTTTACTAAAGATTTATTAAAAAGTTCTTATTAATTATAAAACCATTAACGGATATAAATAAAATAGATTAATAATAATAAAAGTGGACGGAAGTTATAAATAAAGCCTTTTTTAAACTTAAGTACTATTTTACTATAACCCCTATATTTATCTATTTTAACCCCTCCAAAGTAGCTTACGTTAAAACTAATGCCTTTAACTTCGCCCTTAAAGCTATACTATTATAAAAGGATAATAACGGCAAACTTTACCCCATTACCTTTTATTTCCAGAAATTAATACCGGTAGAAATAAACTATAAAATATATAATAAAAAATTACTTGCAATAATAAACGGACTTAACCAATAGCATTAATACTTAAAAAACGTTTAACACTAAATCAAAATTTATTCCAACCACTAAAACCTGTTATATTTTACAATAGCTAAAGTCCTAAATAAATAATAAGCCTATTAAGCGTAATAATTATCAATATACTAATTTATAATAAATTACCAACCTAGCAAATTAAACAAAAAGGCTAATATTATATCAAGACTAGCCTAATATTGCTCTAAGAAAGGGGGGAATAAAGACTAACCGGTTAAGTCAATTTTGCAAAATAAACATTTTTCGCATTCTAAAGGATCAATATTTAACTTAACAATATTTATACTACTAACTTCCAAACAACTTTATAGCCTTTCCACACCTAAATAGCTATTAAAGTTCATTAAACTTATTAAAAAAGTAATAAAGGATAACCCAAAGTACTATCTATAGAAGGATAAACCCTTTAAAGATGTAGAACTTATAAACGACCTATTATATAGGAAAGGATACCTATAGGTACCTATAGCTATACAATAAAAAGTAATAAGGACGGAACACAATATATAAATAGCTAAGCATATAGGAATGGATAAAACATTGGAACTCATTACAAAGAACTTTTAATAGCCCAATATTAAAGTAACCATAAGGGACTTTATATAAAGCTACTACGCTTATCAATAAAACAAAGCCCTACAATATACCCCCCATAAATTGCTTTAACCTATAAAGTTGCACTATATTCTATAATAATTAGTTGCAATAGACTTTATTATTAATTTACCTTTATTTAACAGCTATAACTTTATTTAAGTAATAATAAATCCCTTTATAAAAATAAAATACTTTATACCTTTAAAGGTTAAGGAAAAAAAAACCAAAGATCTTATTAAAATCTTTACTAAGTACTATTGGAAATTATACAATATACCCTTTAATATAATTTTTAATAAAAACTCTAGGTTTATAAGCTATTTATAAAAGGACTTTTTAAAACTTATTAATATTAAACCCTATATAAGTATAACCTTCCACCCCTAAACTAATAAACAGATAAAACAACTTAACTAAATCCTTAAGATCTATTTATAAATATTCGTTAATTATGAAATATCCAATTAGGAAGACCTCCTATTAACTGTTAAATTTGCATATAATAATGCTATATTAACTTTAACGTATATATCTCCCTTCTATATAAATTACAGCTACCATCCAGCTATATATAACCCTTTTATAGCATAACCCCATAACCCATCCAATAAGCTATACGCCCATTAAATAACGCAAGTATATAAGGAAGCTAAGGAATAGTTAAAAAGGGCCTAACAATATATAAAAGAATAGGTAAATAAAAGATAAGGGGCTCCACCCTAATATGCCGAAGACTAATTAGTAATATTAAACGCAAAAAACATTAAAATAAAAAGACCTATTAAAAAGCTAAACAAAAAAATACTTGGTCCCTTTAAAATCCGTAAGGTAATTTTACCTACCGCTATTAAACTTATATTACCTAAAGGTTGGAAAATCTATAATTTATTCTATATCTTGCTTATCGAGCCTTATTATGCTAATAATTAGGCATTGCTTAACTCTGACTAGGTCCTACGGGAAGCACCTCCAATAAAGTCCGAAGACTATTAAGTAAAAAAAATTAAAAACTCCTTAAAAACCTAAAGGAATGTAAAGTACCTAATCAAATGGGAAAGTTGGCCAACTAAAAGGTATTGGACTTAAAAACTATATGAATATATAAACGGCGCTAGCGCGAAGGCTTTTATTAAACAGTTCCATCAATAAAATCCTGGTAAACCAACGAACCCCTAAATAATTAAGACCCCGAATTCGTAAACCCCTTAAAGGCGTTAATTATACTTAAAGTCGAGCATTAAAAGGAAGGAGATAGTATCACACGGATAATCCTATAAAACCTAAAAGACCCAAAAATAACCAACGCTACCCCTAGAGGAAAGTAAAGCTATAAACGATTAGATAAGAACAATCTGTTAACTGCAAAAAAACCAATAATTAAGGTATAAATGCCCAACAGACAAAAGGGAGTCATAAATTGTATAAGGCCTAAATGAGCATAAATAGCTAAGGAATCTCCTACTCCAGGATAGAAAAGAGAGAGAGAGATCAAGGCCCTAGAGACCCCTAGTAGATTATTAATGAATATGACTAAGTTCCAAGCCCTCTACAAGAGCCCTTGTCACATAATGCAACCTCACGGATCAGGAATGACGCGGACCTTCGTCAAGGATATCACTAGCTCCCACTTCTCCCCAACGGGGCCACACTTAGCATCAGTTTATTCCGTCTTTATTACACCGCAAATTTATATTCGTCAAGGCTTCCTATAAGAAAGGTATAGCCAATTCGCCATGACTAACAACCACAGCTCTTCGGATCCTTGCTATTGTCGGCCGTGGCATAAAAATTGCGATGCTTCAACATGTTCACAGGCGAAGCTCGCGTCCCAAGCATTGCCGCGAGCTTCTTTAAACAGTTACAGAAAGAGCGGGGAGAATGGCTGTCAAACCTGTGCTATCATTACTAGCGCTCTTCGAATACCAAGTATCAGACAGATCTGGCAGCAGTCTATTGAATTGGCACTTAAAAGTCAGCGCCAGGATCTAGTCGCGAAGATGAAATCTGATGAAGAAGAGTTGCGCATAGAATTGCTGCTTGACAGCACAGGGCGGCGGGTTTTACGGACCTGGGCGTCTGCTGTCTCGATAGATTGGAGACACTTCAACCTGTGGTGGGAAGGAAATCCTAGTAAGAACTAACTTGCCAGCACAAATGTTTGTACTTCAACTAAACTCCGAATAGGTCAGAGAAATAGTCCTTGTAGAGCGTTTCCTACACTTGATTACCATCCAGTAGAGCGCACAGATTCAGAACGTAGCATAGAAAATCTGAAAAGTTGGATCAGAGCTTGTGCCGAGAACCATTCTTGCTTCCCGAAAGACGACCCAATGCTCCCAGTACGTGTTGTGAAGGTCACGGTGAGTTGAAAACTACCAGTTTATAAGAATATGTGGGATGTAACTAATTACCAAAACTCGCACAGGAGGACCGGGTTCGCGTTGTGGACCAACACGGACTACGGGGCAGATATATGACCCTGAGTCATAGATGGGGTATTAACGAGACTTTCGCACTAACAAGTCTCAACTTCAACTTGATGACGGAACCTATTCCTTGGGACTCGATCCCTAGGATATACAAAGAGTCCATAGAGCTGACAAGGGCCCTGGGAATTGAATATATATGGATCGACAGTCTCTGTATTGTCCAAGACGATGTAGAGGACTGGAAAAGGGAAGCTGGGAAAATGAAATTAGTGTATGGCAACTCTTATCTGAACATAGCTGCCACTCAAGCGGAAGACTCATACGGGGGCCTATTCACCTCCAGTAACCTGGGGGGACAATACCCTGCCCAGACAGTCCCGCAAGATCCGGAGATACGGATCCGACCACAACCCCACCTCACCCACGCACACTTTGGCAGCAACTATAGTCACAGCGCCTCCAATTCCCCTCTGATGCAACGCGGTTGGGTATTGCAGGAGCGCATCCTGTCGCCGAGAGTGGTGCACTTTGACACGGATGAGATAAAATGGGAATGCCAAGCCATGACCGACTGCCAGTGTGGCGGCATGGTAGTCATAGCCAATTTCAAGCGAGATTACCACGCATGTTTTAAACCCAATGGCATCCCACTGCCATACGAGTGGATGCGTATCGCAGAGAGATATTCTTCATTGAAATTCACCTACGACAGCGATCGGCTAGTGGCGCTGTCGGGACTCGCTGAGCAAGGTGTTCAATCTGGAAAAGGGGGTAAATACATGGCCGGGGTTTGGGAGCGGAACATCGCGCACCAGTTATGCTGGCAAATTATCAATACGCATAGGCGACCAGATGTTTACCTCGCACCTAGCTGGTCGTGGCTTTCCGTTTTCGGAACGGTGAGGTACGACAATCGCATGGACTTCACATCGAGATGTTCGACTATCGATGTCAAAATTGAGGAAGTGAGTTGTCTGAGTAAAGAAGGAATTATTGCCACCGCTACTACCAGCCCTATTATTGGATCTATACGACTCAAGGGAAGAGGAATTACTACGAGTGTTGAACTCAAGAACCCCGGCACTGAAACTACGCCGCCGACTTACTGCTTGCGGAGAGAGGGGCTTGAGATCTGGTGTCGTGCGGACTATCTCATGAGCCGAGAAGAAGCTAATACCATCACGGAGGCTTTCATTCTGTATTGGGGTCGTATGTGGCCTGATCAAAATACCTTTCTCATTCTCAAACCTATTCCAGATGAAAGACGCAAGTTTGAAAGGCTGGGGCTCGTGCGGATCCCGCCAGAGAGAGCGAACCAGTTGGGAGAAATATTGAAACACTTCAAGAAGGAGGATGATGTTGTTATTGTGTAAAAATATTCTCAGTAATGCTAGTACGTGGGATGCCCACGTATATCATACACTCAACTCTCCAACGGCGCCGTGTCCACAAATCCACCAAACATTGCTCCTCGGTGTCCGCTAACCCCAGCCTCTAAGACCAGCTTCCGTAGCAGCTTCTCTTCCTCTTCGGTAAGAGTGACTTGCGATGCCGCGAAGTTCTCTTCTAGGTACGCCGTCTTCTTCGTCCCAGGGATGACAAAGATGTTATCCCCCTGAGCAAGCAGCCACGCGAGGACAAGCTGGCCACTCGTGCAACCCTTGCGTTTCGCGATCTCGGCGAACTGGTCCACGAGCTTCAAGTTCTTCTCGAAGTTTTCGCCCTGGTAGCGCGGCATATGGGCTCGCGCGTCATCTGCGCCGAAGTCTGCGGCGGAGCGGAAACGCCCGGTCATAATACCGCGGCCAAGTGGCGAATAGGCGAAGACAGAGACGCCTAGTTCTTTGCAGGTATCGAGGAGGTGTGTACCAGACGGGCCCTCGATATCGAGAGTCCACGGGTTATACTCCATTTGTACGGCATGGATTGGGTGGACTGCGTGAGCACGACGAAGGGTCGCAGATGACACCTCCGATAGACCTACATATTTGATCTTCCCTTCGCTGTGGTACTGTTAGAGGCTAGGCTGGACTGGGCGATTAGGAGATATTAGAGACTAACTTCACTAGTTCCTTAAGCATAGCCATGGTTTTCTCAATTGGCACATCGGGGCTAGCCCGGTGCATGTAATATAGATCGATGTAATCCACACCTAGACGCTTTAGACTGTTCTCGATGCTTTGACGACAATGCTCGGGCGAAGAGTCAACCGAAATCCCAACAGGTGAATTTGGATCAGGCTTGAGTCCGAACTTGGTAGCGAGAAAGATATCTGCTCGGCGCTCAGGATGAAGCTCAAACCACTTCCCAATGGTATCTTCACTGTCGCCGTATATGTCAGCTGTATCCCAGTTGGTACAGCCTAACTCCCAAGCCCGATCCAGCAGCTTGAGGCGTTTTTCGTCGCTCCTGAGCCCCGCAAGGTTAATACAAAGTAATCATCGACAAGTCAAGAGAATCTGACTCACTCAGCTGCTCCATAAGCAAGGCTGATGCCCATCAGGCCGAACCCAGTAGCGGGTATCTCAGGGCCCTCGTTGCCGAGCTTTCGGGTGAGAGTTTGCGCCGGTGGTGCCATGTTGTCTAAAGCTAGAATTTATGATTCTTGATAATTGATATTTGGGTACTAAGATGATTTGTCGTGCTATGGGAATCGCAGGTTGAATGCAGCGACTTGATGAGCCCATAGCCAGCGACTGGCGGACTGCACTTATACTTGGGATTTCATCGTTCCGGGACACTAATCACATCGTTTGCCTTCCTTGAACCCTCTTGACTGATCGACTCATCTGCAAAGCCCTTATGCAGTCTGCTTACGGTGGGCCTGGAGGACGGTTGAAAGTGTATCCCGATAATGGCTGTCTTCCATTCAAATTGTAGGCACTCTGTGCTCCGGGGCCAGGGCTTCCGTAATTACGAATGTCAAGGGAAAACCTGCGGGTTCGTAAAGAGCGGGACAAGACAACACCCCAATCACGACGGCCTGGCTGTCAAGCGACTGCGACGGTGCCTCTTATGGCTGCTTTATCTCAATGGTACTTCGAGATCGCTACTAACGAACATGTCTGTCCGTAGATAATAGAATTGCATAGTTTCTGTTATGAGAGATTTTCTTGTGTCGCCTTATCTCCGTCGATATCTCCACTAATTGCACCTGTAACTCCGCTCGGGCCAGCAATGACTCCGAGCAATTAGTCATCATCTTCCCTGCGTGAAAATCCGGGGAGGGTTTCATGTATACACATGCATGTAAGTTGCCAGTACCGGTTCAAGATGTGTATAACGTGAAAAACTAAAAGTAAAAAAGCGAAGCAAAAGACGTACAACACCGAGGATTCGCTGGTCGTCACCGACCCAACTACTAATTCGGCGCTCATACCGGCTTATCTATGGGAGAGCGGACGGGATCCCGAGTTTTCCGATGGCTATGGTCGTACGTGGGAGTTTCGCCATCTAGATTTAATTATATCTTAAGACATACGTAGGAAAGGGGCCGGTGTAGGGAGATTCGATAGAAACGCAGCTTGAACTTGCATTTGCGACCAGGTTGATACCGACCTAGTATTGTCACGGTTGAAATCTCCAAGACGATTGCAAAAGACACATTCTAAGTAATTTTCGCCTTGATAATAAGTCGGTGGTTTCTATGAGCCCAATACTATGAATCAGCAAAGCACGAGGATAAGCTAAATGTCATCCTATTGGCTGCGCGATTTTGCTCCCGGTCATGTAGACCCGTTGGGCGTGTCGCCGCTTGGCTGAGGTTGCGGAAACGCTTGCAACCCGGCACAGCGCACAGGACTTACCTAACAAATGAATAGTGATAGGGTAACTCATTTTCTTGGATTTCATCTGCAGTTCTTTCTGTCACCTTTTTTTTTTTTTTTTTTAGTTTTCTTGAATGCCAGCTTAGGCAAGAAGTATGTAGTTCTGGACACGGTCCATGGCGTTAACCCAACAAGATGACCCCCCATCGACTAGTATGGAATTTCGACATTCACGCCCGATTTGCCTTATAGCATGGTACGTCCGCTTATGCACGTGGCGATGGCCCTGATCTCGATCCTCTGAGTCGATGAACTGGAAAAGACATTGCTCCTCGTCCTCGTCACGAATCGCACACGCGGCCACACACAGGGGCCACAGAGCATGATCAATCATTCCACTCTTGCATAACCCTTTTAAGGATTTAATCAAATCCACTGTGCCTATTCGTATCTCGTCAATGTGTAAATTCGACCCGGATAGGACAAAGTGCACGTGGACGATGGCGGCGCGCGCATAGACGATCGTGATATCTTTTGAGAGTTCTTCGAGAGATCTGTGGGCCAGTAGCTCTGGCGAGATTCCTCTTTTCCCGTTAGCTACCTGAGGTCTCATGGAAGTCTCAATCTGGCTAGAAATTAGATTGTTGAGTGAGTCCACGATGGTACTACCGCGAGTCACTAGCTCAATCGTGCTTAGCCTTCTCTGACTTTCGGCCTGCATCTTCCAGCTTTTCAGAGCGGTAATTTCATTCAACGCCAAGACAACATCGTTGTGGCAACCAGATGCCTTGACCATGTCGATTTCAGCTGAGTGGAGAAGAACATTGTGTTTGATGCCGAGAAAAGGTCCTTTTCCGGTAGAGACTGTGGCCAGGACGTCGAGCCAGATCAGCTTACTCAGCAGTGCCTTTCCTGTCGTCAGCCACAGAACGGACTCGCCATGAGCCAGTGAGCTGTGGGCAGGGAGCTGGTGTTTCTTGCTTGAGATAGTTAAGTCGATAAGGCTTTGCGTGTATTGTCCCGCTTCTTGAAGGTAGTCTACCCAACAGCTTGACCCTCCGTAGAAAATCTATGCTTCCATGAGTAATTGCATTTATCCTATATGAAAGTCAAGTATCTATGAACGAACCTCTAGCTGTATGCACTGAATCAGACAAGCGCAAGCAGATATGGTTTGTGATATCCTTTGTTCGTCGTCGAGAAGCGATATCGTTGCTGAAGGGGAGGGGAATGTCTTGAGAATCCTGCTTATTTCAGATAATTGATCGTCATATTCCTTTGGTAGTTCCGATCCAGCCACAGATACAAAACTGTTGAGGTAGTATGCCTTGCTAAGTACCATCGAGACTTCTAGGACTTGTGTGCAGCTTAGGAGGAGAAACTGCAACCACTGCATGTCTTCGGGGTTACTAACCCACGCGAATAGGAACTGCTTTGGTATCACTTTGCTCATGTAGTAAGATAGCAGCATGGCCCTTTCTATGTGTGATCCACGAGAGTCGGCAGATGATGAGCCTGCAGAGATCGAACTCATCGGTGAGATTCGGCCATAAGAGAAACAACGATTATGATACACTGGATCTGCCTGTGGGAGCTCCGGTTGTTCTAAAGGGGTTTCATTTGGCGCTCCTTCATCTGTGATTATCTTACCTTCCGGTTGCAACATCTCCGTCAAGGCTATACTCAGTGGCTGTTTAGGACTAACTGTGTCAATACCGGAGAAAGAGAAACACCCTAACTCAAGGTCAATGGGCGATGAGAAGGTTAAGGGAGACATGCTTGGCATATTTGTCATGATCATATCCATATCCCCTATTCCTGGGTGCCTTGAGTCCTGCCAGTTCATATGGTTCGTGACGAGCAGATCATCAAAAGACATTGAAGGGCCATCACTCCCGTGAGCCATCGGATATGTGTGTCTTGTAAGCTCTTGGTGCACTTCCTCATCTCGAGCTGCTGTATTGCGAGAGCAATCCACGGGGGGAGTAGATATGGTAGTTGCCTTCCGGCGATTTCGTGTTCTCTTTGGTCCATTCAGAGCAACGGCCATCTTCACTCTTTCGGCTGTTTCCTTCTCAAGAGGCCCTCTGTCCATCCATATAGGCTTTGGCCCATACCCCTCGCAGGAAATTCGCAAGACTTCGCATGTCTTGCATATGGGTTGATGTTCATCGCACTTCTTCCTCCTTAATTTACACGTCCAGCAACCATTCTGGCTCCTGGTACCTAGGCGCCCTGAGAAACTATTGAGCGTTTTCCAAGATCAGGTATGTCATAAATTTTTTGTTACCTACTTTTGCCATTGCCCTTGGATACCATCTCCATTTTATGGGTTCCAGATAAGCGAGGTATTGGCAGGATTATTTTTGTTAGATAATCCGTTGCCATGCGAGTAATTCGCTTCTTTTTAACGATACTTCTAGATACTCTATCTAATCTCACCGCCCAGAGGTGATGCATTGATTTTGCCTTTCCGAATCTGGCCACATGTAGCGGAAGGATCTATGCAGCCCGGTGGCGGAGGTGCGCACTACACCGTTTCTTTCAAAAAAATATGGGTTATGCCATGATAAATGTGCATTTGCCAATTGCAGATTGATTCTAATTTACTCAGCCGCCAACATACCTGAAGATGTGGGGTGTCGATCAAGCAAGTGCATTAACATACACATCCGGGCGGTATTAGGGATCACTGGCTGCTTTTATACTACCCGTGATACTGTGACTAAAGCCCTCGTCTCTCAGACAGATCCATTATTCTTACGGATATATCATGAATCTTCCTCTCACCGAAGTTCCAGTTGGGGGCGCTGCAGCCCAGACAACCCCTATTGTCCGAGCTGACTGACATAGTTGTTGATATTCCACAGCTTCGGGTTCAATTCTCGAGATGAATTCTCTTAATATGTCTCCGTGACTCATATGGAGCCAAATAGATACCATCTATAATGATTCGTCAGCAATACATGTGATAGCTGACTCTGCAGCAATGGGCATGTACATTGCAGGAGGGTCAGCAGCTCGAGCTCGACGGTATGACATGTTAAGCTTCAACAACTAGCTAATAAATATTCGTCGGTTACATTTATAAGCTATGCGATAATACGCCTCATTTGACTACATAAACTACCAGATATGATTAAGCAAGCCTTGGGGAACAGGAAAGTATTGTTGGTTGATCACCAGCGTGACGCAGTAAGATTTAATATTCCTCCAACATTAGTGTAGGCGACACGCCAGCTTATGCGCACCCCAAGTTGCCTGCCGGCGTCTCGGGTAGGGTGCCGCAAGGGAATCAACTGCCAACACCTTGGATAACACTGCGGCGTTCGTTGAGATTAGGGTAGATCTTTTGCGAAATAGAAGCACGCATCTCAATAAGCATCGCCCAGCATTACACGATTCACAAGATGTTCTGAGGGATTATCATGAGATACACTCACCGATCTGTTTTGCGGTTATGTAGAAGCTATTCTAGGGTTTTGCTACGTCTATGATATTGGTTAATTGCTGTCGCCACGGTTCCTCAGTTCAAGACCATCACACTTTCGAATTCCAGATTCTGACATCACATTTAGCGGATGATGACCACATGTACACTAGATAGCAATAGGTCCTTCGGACCTCGAGTGGATGCAAATTGTCGAAGCCTAGATTTCACGCTCAAGTTTGAAGATCTGGTTCTCGCCTTGGCCGGCCTGTTTGACAAATATTGGCTAGAGAACCTCATTGAATAGGTTCAAGATAGGGCACACCACTTAATGCCCCGTTCAACATGTACGGCTAAGCCCACCCGGCAGCTCGGCATCCGTCAGGTGCGAGGCGCCTATCGGGAAAGCTGTCATGGTTCCTCATCGCCTTCATCATGAGCGTCGCTAGCACAAACTAACCCTGGTAGGTGTTCGAAGAGCTGCAGGAACCGAAGTATGCACTTACGCCCCCAAAATGACCTCATTTTTGGCCGCGCTATCTACGGGATCGCGGGTTTGAGGATGTACACGGGCGGCATGATCCTACTCCCTGTAAACCATCTGACATACTTTGCGCCGCCCTCCCTGTCAAGAGTAATACATGTGATCCCATTAGATTATCTAGAAGTCTAAGTTACAATACAGTTATCCGGCTGGATGAAGGTCTTATTTACAGATTCCCAGCATTCCAGTATGTGGAACGCAAGTATCACCGCCTTCCCTTTCTGACACTCCCGCATATCTCAAGAGAATGGCGACATTATTCATACACTCTATGCACTAAGTGTTCCTAAATGCACACCTGCCTGGTGGGTTGCAGAAAGCACGGTCACTGCGGTTGGATGCTGCGCCAATCAGACCAGTTGTCAAGATACTGCGCATGAGGAAGCATCTAAGTTTACGATTAGTACAAAGTCTTTTCGATCACTAATTTGCGCATATAAATTTGCGTTTGGCCCATAACCAAAGCGTATGAACCTAAAGCCATAGTCGATGATTTCAACAGGACTGCGATTTGGTTTCTCCGAAGACCGGAATCCCATATATTTAAAGCTTCTAGCCTCCCTTGATTCAAATTTCCTTTTCCACGCACACACACTACACACTACTGACCAATACCTCTTACCTACCTCAGGACAAATACAAGTTCCTATTCCATTCCCGCTAACATTTGCGAAATTTCAATTTATGTCAACCTCGTTACGATGAAAAGTTCCCGGACGTGTCTGCGATGCTGGAGGCCGGGCTTTATCTTGGCTTCTAAACTTTTGGTTTGCTCAATCGTTTTTTATTTTTTGTCCACGATTTATATCGTGCCTTGGTTCCTCCGATGTCTATTTGGCTGGCCTATTTCATGTCATTTTACACCATTACAGCCATCTTTGTTTTCTTTTTAACCCGGCCTACTTGGTTTGACGAGGAATCACCAGAGGAACACACCCATATTGGGACGGGATTTCTATGCGAAAAGTTGTCACAGGAATTAGGATGGGATAACGAGCTCGCTCCGAGGTAAGACAGCTGTGGCCCATTCCTTGCCGATCGTGCAAGATATCCTCCTTAGCGAGTGAGGCTAACACAGGGCAGAGAATTTCGGCGACCCGAACCGGAAGGCGGAGCTTAGTGCCAAAACTTTGCGGTTACTTGGAGGAACCCAAGTTGGCCTTTCCAAGCCTCCCAAACAAGCGTCCTAGTACACAGGCCCGCAGCACAGCATGGGGGGGGGGGGGGGGGGGGCATAATTTAAAAAAGAGGAGCTTTACCGCGAAAAAACACAAAAACCACCCCATCGAGCCATGAGAAGCAACTACTGCAGCGACGGAGAGGCGGAG